ATTAAAATAGAATGCAATTTGATGTATTTTCTATAATTATTAACGGATTTAAATATTTCTTATTCATTTTAAAGCTTTGACTATAGACTTTATATCTTTTTTCTCGAGCACTTTTCTTATGTCACTCGGGGATAAATATAGTAAATATTGCAAATTTGTAAGTACTTATTGACTCACCCTCGTATTTAGTTGTTTTTTTAATTAATCCAAACAAAAGGTAATAAAAGGACACGTCTAAATGACCCGGAGCAAAATTATTATTGTTGGTCCAATTACCACGCTTTGTTTATTGTCAGAGAGCCAATTAGTATTTTTGCTAATTTATTTTGTGCAAACTTGATAATTAAATTGTAATCTCTTTGATCGCGTTATTTCTGATATAATAACCGCATTATTTTAATGCGCAAAGTAATTTTAAATTTTGTTGTTTAGTATTTTTGGGGATTTGCCTTACTAGGTATGATTTATTAATTTATTAATTAAGTTTCCGTAATTAAATTTAACTAATGACTTCCCAGGTAGCACAACGTGACATTAAAAATTAGAAGTGACGAAAACGAGACAATATTTCGTTACGATTAAGGAAATTTTAATAAAAAGTAAATAAATTGCGTGACGCCAAATTCGTGACGAGGGGTCTATGAAAATACGTGACGAATTTTTTCATAAAGTCGTTAGTCACACGAAATAGTGATAATTTTACTTTAAATTTTGGTATAAAATTCTTGACGTGCAGCTCGTTACAAAAACGTTACAAAATATTTATACAAATCGTCACGAAAACATCACGTAAAGTCGTGACACCAATGCGCAGTCGCCAATAGTCATATGTTCTGTGCATCAGAGATAAAGTAGGATCTCCATTTTGAATGTTTGGTAACGACCCAAGCCATTGGTTTCTGTAGGTTTTTCTATATTTCTGCAAAGTTTTTAATGGTAAACAAAAGGATAGTTTAAAACCGTAAGTACTTTTGCTTTTCTATATTTCAGTAGCTTAAGACAATTGTCTGCAATGCTAAACAACTCCACACTCTAATCTAAGAAATGTTTTGCTGTAGCAACAAAATATAAGTAACCACAACATTTTTAGTGTGTTAATATATCCTTAACAAATTTATTATTATAGCTTAAGTATTTTAAGTTGAATTTCTACTGAAAGAGGAAAAAATACATTTTTTTGTACGTGAAATAAATTTTAACAAAGCCATGGAGAAAACTGCTTATGTCTTATGATCATTTTGCAGGTCAATTAAAATTAAAAAATTGGTAACCAACATAACATAGACTGTTTTACAGTCGACACTCTGGACACACTCCACACAACTGGATATATCCTATAGGGACGAACGAAAACTTTAGACTAAAAGACATATTGATGGCAAACACAATTGTCTTGGGTTGTCTTGGGGGAAAGAAATATTACAAAGGATGACGTTGAAAAGCACCTGCCTTCCAGCATACATATGATAAGATGAAATCACAGGTTTGTACTTCAGCTGAACCCTAGTGTTATTTAAGTAAGTTTATTATAAATAAATGTTTATTATAAATAAATGTTGCAGTTAAACTGCAGAAATAAAATAAAAATTTTATACTAGATGAATTATTTAATTTAATTGACTTCATTCATTTCATTTTTTAATTTATAAGAGAAATAGAGTATACTTGTTTATTTTGTTATACTGTTTTTTATATTAGGTATATTCTAATAAAATAGTGTTTTATTCTACAGGAGAATTATATTTTTGTGTACTGTTTTATCCTTAAAATAGAAAAATAATTTAATTTTTTTTTTCAAAGATATGAAATTTGAAAACTAATTGCAATTATTGCTAGTTTTCAAAAGTGGGGGTATTTTTATTTTATAAGAGGAATATTTTTTTATTTTGTTAGTGTTTTTCTATATATATATATACATATAATATATATTATTATAGTTTATTGTAGAATATGTTTTTATTGTTTTTCTAATAAAATATAATTCAGTTAAATGTGCTTTCTTTGCATTAACATTGCAAAACTAAACAATCCTAACAACAATATGTTATTATTTGGGGATGTAATAATATTGTGTAGTGTAATATTATTACACCCCCAAATAATGCAACTATACGCCACAATTACGTGACCAGTTCAGTTCACTATTCGGTAACGAAGCGTCGTGACCATAGAGAAAGGAAAAAAGGAGAGGAACACTTTACGTGTTACGATTAAGGCACATAGTTTCGAGCGCCCTCGGTGGCTACGGGAATGAACTAGGTGTTTGGAGGGAGATTTAAAACTAAAATAGATCTATTTATGATAGGAATAATAAAAATGCATATTAAGATAAATTTTTTTATTCAAGAAACAAATGTATATAAATAATAGTATAAATAAATAATAATAGTAATAAATAAATAAAGTAAATATTATAAAGTAAATAGTAATAAATAATAATGTGTGCCTGGTTGCCAATTGGAAAAACTTTTTTAAGACAAAAATTGTTACGTTTTAAGAAAAAATTTAAACAAATATACAGGGTGCTTCCAAATCACGGATTAATTCATTTATAGAATTTTTTTAGAGAAAGTCGATGAAAATTATAATACGAAATAATAAAATATTGAATGCCTAATTTTATTTAAAGATGTTAATTTTTTAAATTTATATTTGGTCTTTAAATTGCCAACTATAAATATATATCTATAGATATTATAAAATATTATAAATAAAGGTACTTTTTGAATTTTCATAATTTTTAAACAACCTGTATATTTGATTAATTTTTTAATGGGAATCTCATTTTTAAATAATTAGAAGATATTATGAAGAATGTTTTTTCGTAAAACGCATAATAAAAATGTTCACAAACCCCTCTGGGGAAACACTGTATTATAAAACAGAACAAAAATAAAAAATAACAAATAGGTACCTAACAAATAAAAACATTTTTAGCAGATATAATATGGTGAAAAAATTAATAAACTTTAATCTTAAATATAAACAAAACAAAAGAAACATTTTTGCATAAAAACATCTTATACAGGGTGTCCCATAATTAGCGTGCATACAAAAATAGGTCGAGAAATGCTCTCCAAGGGAGCTACAGCCCCCAAAACAGGAGCCCCTGAAGATGGTTTTTATTAAATATCTCCAAAACCGTTTAAGATAAAAAAGTGAAATTTTGGGATATAATCAAACTTTATATAGCCAATAAATTGGAATGATAAAAAATTCAAAATTTTTATAAGGGGTGGGTCAGATAGAAATGGAGGGGGGGTAAAACTACCCTAACTTTTTTGTACGTATCATGTGCTATGATTTGATATCAGATCATAAAATTTCAGAGTTTTACACACAAAAACGGTCCTCTTGATGAACTTCGATAGCATGCACCGTTTTCGCTTAAAATCGATTTAAAAATTACCTTACATAGCATAAAAATTCATAATTAAATCACAACTAGAGAAAAAGATTCAGCGTAGGCCATGGACAATTTTTAAACATGGCCATGGACAATTTTTAAACACCCTGCCACATATTACATAAAACTGTCACCTGTATTAAATAATTTTTCCTAAAGATGGCAGCTGTGTTCCATGGCCTACTCTGAATTTTTCTCTCTTGTGATTTCATTATGATCTTTTATGCTATGTAAGGTAATTTTTTTTAAATGGATTTTAAGCGAAAACAATGGAGAATATCAAAGTTTAACAAGAGGACCTTTTTTGTGTGTAAAATTCCTAAATTTCATAATTCACATCAAATCCCAGCACGAGACACGTACAAAAAGGTAGGGTGGTTTTAACCCCTATACCCTATCAATCTGACCCACCCCACATGGAAATTTTGAATTGTTATTATTACGTAATGTACATCTTATTGGCCATAAAAAGTTTGATTAATTTCTACCTTAACGATTTTGGATATATTAAATAAAAACCATCTTCAGGGGCTCCTCATTTGGGGGCTGTAGTTTCCTTAGAAAGCATTTCTCGGCCTATGTTTATGGGAACTTTTTTTTCTTATTTTTGCACGTAGTATTGCACGCTATTTATGGGGCACCCTGTATATTACATATAAACCATATAAATTTTAATATTATTACCTCAAATAAAGCTGTAAACCATATGTGGTTTATATTTTTATAATAATAACAATTTAAAGTTTAAACTGCCCATTATTATCTTTAGGGACATTGAGAATCTCCTACCAGGTATATCAGAACGATTAGATCCTAAAAAACAAAGTATTAAGGAGGTGCAGAGTGTTTATAAAATTATTACCTTTAATGTAGCTCTGGACAAAGCATACACAAAAAAATAAACAAATAAACCATGTACACAAACAATGTAACCTCACAAAACGAAGTTTTATAATACAAAAATTACTCAAACACACCCGCTAGAATGTTGTCTTTGTTGAATACATATAAAAACAAAGACGGCTGCAGAGCAGTATGACAATTATTAGTTGTATATAGTTCAGCCGCTCACCACCATGCGCTATGCGCTACGGGAACGTTATGCATGCGCCGTCCTATTCAATTGGTGGTCTTTTTCTTTTCTTTTGTCTATGGTCGTGACGAAACCGTGACAAATCATCGTGAAGAATCCGTGGCGTATTCTTAACTACATCGTGAAGATTTTTATTCATATTAATGTAACGTATTCGTCACAAAAACTATGCTTAAATTTAGCGCGGTTTAGCAACTGTTTTTAATTAAATACGTTACGATTTTTAAATAACGTCCAAGTCACGACTGACTGAAAACGTCTCGTTTACGTCAAGATTTCGTTACGTTGTGCTACCTACCTTAATCCAATTTATAAATTATAATGTAGATATAATCTCCTTTCCGTTTAATATTTGTAGTGAACTGTATACTTTAAAATATGATGAAAAAAGTATTATCTATACCTACTTGCATATTTTGAACTTTTAGCAAATGTCTATAGATGACTATTTAAAACTGTAAAATTGATTGTCTTTACATTCTAGTTACTTTCTTGTTTTAGGGTTGTTTCCAAGTTGGTAGCACGATACGGCACGCGGGAATCATCGGCCTATGGGCCTCGCCAGTGACGGCGAAAAAGGGGCCGGGGGGGCAGAAGGCCGGCGTACCCCCGGTCATGAGGCACACTGGCCTTCAGAAGCTGGGCGGGCTCATCAACAATGCCGTGCACGCCACCAAGCGCACGCAAACGCAACCAAGTAAGCTTAGCTTAAGTTGACACTTATATAAAGTTTTATTTGACATTCTTAATATATTTGACAATTTTAAGGCAATAGTCTATAAGTTAACATTCTTAAAACATTTGTATATTGTAGCTTAGATTTTAATAGCTAATATATCGATGACTTTCTGCCAAAGTATCGCAATCAACATAACTTAAATTTCGGGAATTGAAAGCAACTTTTGTTTTAAAGTCTGTTTTAAACAATATATAACCTATAGGTGTTATAATTATAGCTATTTACTTGTTATAAAACCTGGGTTTTATATGGTTTAAAACAGATTTTAAAACAAAAGTTGCTTTCAATTCCCGAAATTTAAGTTATGTTGCTTGCGATATACTTTGGCAAAAAGTCATCGATATTTGGCTTTGTTTGTGCAAATGTATGTAGGCAACCCAGATTACTCATTGATAATACTGCGCTCTCATTGGCGGGTTTAAAAGTTATTTCTGTAATTTCAGGATTTCGAAAAAATGGTGGAATGTCAGGAGGAATTTTACTTAACCTTTTAAGTAGAGGTGGCAAGTTTGATTCCGATTCGTTCAAAAAGAATGATCATTTAAATGAACCGAATGAATCGAACAAAGTTTGTAAAAGAATCAATTCTTTTTTGAATTATTTTTTTAAATCACGGCGAGTGAACTAAAAAGTGAATCAAACCAAAAAATAAATATAAACTTGGTTACAAGCACTGAATTAAATGCTAGGTTCGGATCACTATACGCTAAAATGTTGGTCTTTTTGAATAACTGGTGATATTTTTAGGGATATTTCAGGGAATTTTTAGTCAAATATCAAAATACTCTTTTGATTCAAAAGTTTCCAATACAACCTAGGTACTTGTATTTTGTTTTTTTTATGTAAGCTGTGCTGTTATTGCACCGGAAAAGCCATAGGTTAATTTACACGTAAGCAAAATAAAAATCGAATCCAATAATTTAATACATTCATTTAACGATACAAGTAATCATTACAAATGATTCAAGAACCAAGTCATTAATTCGGTCGAACCTGAATTGTTCGTTAATTATCTGTTCCTGAACCAGAAAGTGAATCAGTCGCGAACGAATCTTTATGAACGAATCATTTTAAAAGAATGAATTAAAATAATTGATTCACCAAAAAGAATTGAACTTCCCACCTCTACTTTTAAGCAGCCAATTTTAGGACACCCTGTATATTTTATATATTTGCAGGAAGAATATATTTTAAAAAATGTGAAAAATTTGTAATCATGCACTGGATTTTTTTTAATGAAAAATATTATTATTTGTATAAATAGGTATTAGAATTGTTGTTTTTTAATAATTTTTTTTATTATTTTGGATACTTTCGATAGTTTTCCCAATTTATTCATTCATTGGTTTCGGACCCTAAATAAACATTTTTTAAATCAAATATTAAACGTATGCAACCCAGACAGCATTATCGCAAATTGTCGGCGCCATCTGTGGGAGTGGCCTCGTTTCACAACCACCTTGCGAGCGGCCGGTCGTGCGGATTTCTGTCGCCCGGTGTGTGTTGAGTTCACAGAGGGGGAATGGCGGAGGAGCGTGTGTTGCCGACCTGACGTCACAAATTTCGGCTTAGAGAGAGCGATTGTGTGGTGTGTGTGCAAAGAGCAGAGAGAAGCCCTCGTGCGGCGGCCATTTTCAGTGTTTTTCGTTTGGCGAAATTCGCACATGAAGTATCGTGCTGACGAGATTATTCCATACAGCCCGCGGATCAAACGTTCGCGTTATTCGAATTGCCCGCTCGCGAACCGTGTTATGGCCGGTAAGTTGCTGTGCTGCGTTTGCCGTGACCCCAGATGAGGGGCAATTGTGATTTATATTTGTGTGCAAAACAACGCTTTTTATTTGAATGATGGAAGGTAATTCTATGTGTTCGTGCTTTTGTCTCTCTACGTGAACATCCAGCAGGCTTTTTACCGCGAAACAAACGAAATACGCCGCATCTTGATCCTGTCAAATACTTTCCCCCTTTCAACCGCATTTTTGCGCGGAATTACGACTAAATTTAACAACAAATCGTCACTATTCAACCGAAGATATCATAAAATCTAACAAATATTACCATTTCCAACTTAACATCTACACAATACACTTTTCGGTTTTTTTATTCAGTAACCCCAACCCAGGTAAAATCTCTCGGATTCCTTGAATCAGACCACTAGATAAACTGCTAATTTACTTAAAATGCACACAGCATGTAATTTGCCAAAGGTTATTCGTTTTTTTTACAAACATTAGCCATTTCAATGTTATATTCGTTCTCCTTATTGCACATGCATACAGCTGTTCAATTATTTCACTAAATATTATGCTTAAATTGTGAAGGAAACCCAACAACAATCAAGATTTATTTGAAACCTAAGAAACGTTATTTTTGACAGATGTAAGATATATTTGTTAAAAAATCAAGTGACAGCATTCTACCTTAAAATGTCCTGTCAAATAGAGTCATGATTTTATTTTTGACAGATATTGTACGATTATTTTATCAAGCCTTGTTCTAAGTGATTTTGTTATAATTTTTCATAAAACTAACCTCAAATTAACCTGTCACAATAAAAAATAGTTAAATTTTAAAAAGTTGTTTGACAGATGTCAAACGTTTGAATTAATTATTATTTTAAAATCGAAAGTTGACATTTTTAGAGCAGTTTAACTTGACAGTTTTAAGACAGTTTATTGATAGTTTCAACAGTTAAATGTAGTTTAAGTTTACATTTCAAGACAGTTAGCTTAAGTTTATTTACATTATTAAGGCAGTCATGTGGCTCAATTTGACATTCTAAAGAAAGTAAGATCTATTCAGTTTATATTTTTAAGATAGTTAATATACCCTAGCTCCCTTAAGAATATCAATTTAAACTCGAGCTAGATATCACTGTCTTAAGAATGTCGAATTAAACTACATAGGTACTGTTGCTCTTAATTTTGTTAAATAGAGCTAGCTGTTTTTAAAATGTCAATGTCAAGTCAGATATAACTGTCAAATTCCATTTCAAAAAATGTTTATTTAAGGTAAAGTAACACGTAAATTCATACTGGAAACGATTAGTTAATATGTAAACACAGCGTAAAAATTAATTTTTGTTTGATGTTCTTATCATTGTTCTTGTTTTTGACAGTCGTGTAATGATAGCATAGGTGATGTGATGTTATTTATGAAAAACAAGATTTTTAACAGAGGTCAGTTTTTTGATGAATTGAGCTATATCGGGAAATAATCCGCAATATCGTGTTATAGTGTTATCTGATAATTAATAATTGTAGATTGATTGATAAATGATAAATAAATAATTTGCAGTTTAGTTTGTTTACTTTACGTTACATGCATTAATTGATATGTATTTTAGTTTTCTATTTATTTGCGTAATACATACTACCTATTTTATGTAATTTTGTCTTTAATTCGTAATAATGTGCCACTGATAAGGTTAATCCCTTATTTGTTTTATTAACAGGCTACCAACTTAATACCGTTTTATTTTTCCATTAATTTTTTTTTTAATGTTTGATTGAACTTTTATAATAAAAGCTCGAATAAAAGTTATCAATCAATATTTGTTGGTTCATTTGAGTTTTGCTTTTGATATATTAACCTTTTTTTATCTAAACTTTCCGTTCTTTTAGATGCACATTTTAAAATAAATTCACTATAAAATTATAATTTTATATGTTTATGTTAACATTTAACGCCATAACATAATTCATGATATGAAATAATCGAGTTAAAAAATATTCCAAAATAAAATCCAAAACAGATGTACAAATTATTGGATTTATTTTTAGGATTTTTTATGTTTTCACAAAAATAAAATATATACCATTGAAACCAGTAAACATGAATAGAATTTATATCGGAATTTTTATCCTTGTTTATGACCAGGTATAAACAATATATAAATAATGTTATTAAAATCTTGTTTAAACATTTTTAGTGACCTAATTTAAATACTTTCTAAATGATATTGTACAATATATGATGATTAATTTGTATTGTATAAGACTAATGTAATTAAATAGTATCATTTTATTACATAGTAGTTTTTTATGCTTTAGGGTCCCTAAAGAGTCTTAGTAAAGACCATTACCAAGGGCGTAGATAAGTGTTACACTGTGTAACTTACACAGTGTTCATAGAAGTCTGTAATTGAATTAATATTAAAATAACGAACCAATAAATATTTATGTGTTAAATGAGAGGTTTTGCTCAATTTTTATTACGCCATTAAATTTTCAGCAATTTTATTGGAAACTTATAAATTTTGATGTCTTTCACTTCATTCTATATTTTGTAGATAATAAAATATTTTGCGATTTTACTTTTTAACTAATTTAATATTAAAATGGTTGGGTTTATTACAAAGGCAAAAATAAATTTATTTAAACAAAATTCAAATGATTTTCCCATTTAGAAAACAATTAATTCGATTCTAATTTTACCTTTTAATCAACTAAATTCAAAACAAAACTTTTGTACTTTCCTACAAAAATAACATAGGTATGTATGCGTTTAAACTTTAAACGTAAATATGTATATAATAAAAATTGTGTTCGTTTTAATTATTATTATTATATACAGTTATTTTGTTATCAATTATTTATCGATTTTTATTAATGGGTACCAATTAATTTTTTGTGTTTAAAGAAATTAAAAATAATTAATTTGTTATTTATACCAACTAGGTATTTTAACATTTCCACATTTTTAAGTCGCAAAATTTATAAAAAATACGCAATTCTAAAATTGGTACAACAAATTCCTAAAATTGTGTAAAAAAACATAAACATTGGTTTTTTATTTTTTTTTAGAATAATTATCTTTTGTTTTTAAACATAATAAAAATTAAATAACATTTTAAAAGCTTATAACTCAAAATTGAATCTACTAAGCTTTAAACCCAAAAGTTCACCTTGACATTTAAATACTAATAATTGAGGTTATCTATCTGTCATTTTTAACGCTAATTTCGTCTTTTCTATAAATTATACAATATATTTATTTAATATTATTAATAATGTATAAGTATATGTGTATATATGTATATTTTACAATAAATTTCTCCAAAATTTGTGTTCTAAATTAAGACAAAAATTTAAAAGACAAAATATACATATATTGTACTATTTTCAGAAAATAAGACAAAATTAGTGTCAAACTGACAGATGGATAACCTCATTTATTTCTATTCATTCATTTTTTTATTCAAAATTTGACGTCAAAATTAAATTAATTTACATATTTTTTTAGTATAATTTAACAATGGATTAAGTAGCACCTAGGTGTGCAGACACCTGTGTGTGCAAAACAAATTTAATAGTTTATCAAAATGCTGTTTTTTCTTAATTTCTTTTTGTTTGGGATTGTTTATTATAATTTTAACCATTAAATAATAAATATTAAAGTAAAATTAAGGCATTGAACAGGAGTACCAATTTGAAATATTAAAATCAAATTCCGAATAAAAAAAAACAAACCAATGTAGGTATTTTGGGTTATTTTCGGGATAACTTAAAAATTGTACAATACTTCGAAAAAACGTTAAAAAATTAAAAATACGTTAAAAACTGGTTTTGCATTTTTGTAATTTTTTAAATAGGTAACCTACTTGTGTAAATATTTTAATATTTAAAGTACTTAAATCTATTTATTTACTTAATTTTACTAATATATAACTGGATAAAAAACAAACACTGTTTTTGAGTTTCACGAATTTATTTAAATTTTATTTGACAATTGTTTCACTAACACAGTAGCTTCTTCAGAAATGATTTCTGAAGAAGCTACTGTGTTAGCGAAACAATTGTCAAATAAAATTTAAATAAATTCGTGAAACTCAAAAACAGTGTTTGTTTTTTATCCAGTTATATATTAGTGACATGGAGTTTCATCAAGTAAAGGTCGAAACAATAAAATACTTAATTTTAGTTCCATTATTGTGTAAAAAACCGTTGTTCGAAAAATGCCAGCTTTAGCAAAATTCGTTTGTGTTATTTCAGCCAATGGGGACATCCAGTGGTGTTTTTCCCAGGTGAAAGGCACACTCGACGATGACGTCACCGAGGCGGACATCATCTCCTGCGTGGAGTTCAACCACGACGGCGAACTGCTGGCCACCGGCGACAAAGGGGGCCGCGTCGTCATTTTCCAGAGGGACCCGGCGTCCAAAACGGCGCTGCCCCGCCGAGGCGAGTACAACGTCTACTCGACCTTCCAGTCGCACGAACCGGAATTCGACTACCTGAAAAGTCTCGAGATCGAGGAGAAGATCAACAAAATCCGGTGGTTGAAGAGGAGGAATCAGGCGCACTTTTTGCTTAGCACCAACGATAAGACTATCAAATTGTGGAAGGTTTCAGAGAGGGACAAGAAGGTCGAAGGGTTCGTTTTTTTTCTTTTTCAAATATACCTACTCAAAACTTGACACGATTTAATCTAGACAATTTTAACAAGATCACACGTCTTTTAATATTTAGTCCAAATTTTAAGCCCCTAGCACCAAGTGTTAAAATCTTTTGTAATTTGACTTTTAAAACGAATTTTTAAAATAATCTATGGGAAATCTGTGGAAAATAACACTTTGTGCAAGTGTTATCTGCCATTTCTCTGCCATTCTCTGCCAAAAAATAATGGTAGAGAACATTTTCTCAAGTGAAGTTAAATTTGAAGTCAATGAACTTTGTAAATGTAGATAACTTTATGTTGCAATATACAAAAGTCGAATTGTTAAAATTATAGGTAAAAACATGTGTAATAGCAAATTATTCACATGTTTATTTGGCATTAAAAGATGTAAACAATATTGTTTACTTGTAGAAATAGTTTTAATCAAATTACGTTTTAGATGCAACCAATATTGTTGTTTTTTAACAATTTATTTCGATATTCCATTTTTTTTACTTGATAATTTAGGATAACGGATTTCATAACCAGCATACCAGTTTTTGTGTATCGTGGGTAGGGTTGCAACTTTTCATGAAAAGTTGAAATTTTTGAAAAGTTGGGTATTATTTTTCGGAAAAGTTTGGAAAAGATGGAAAAGTTGAGTTTTTTGTAATGTAAATGTATAAAACATAAATAATGCTTGTCAATGTATTAAAATAATTTATTTTTTATGTACTTATACATAATATCGTCGTTTATCTGACAAAGAGGCGTATCTCATTTTTAAACAAAACGGTGTGAATTGAATTACGCCAGTTTGTACGGCACACAAAATGCAAAAATATTAGTTACGCCGAAACTCCTTTATGCTAAAACTTTATTTGTACCTATTTATTATAGAGCTACGCCAGTTTGTGAGATTATAAAGTTGATTTTGGTGATCATTCTGGTATAACTCAAAAACGAATTTTTTTGAGTTACGCCTCTTTGTAAGATAAACGACGATATGTAACAAGTTGTTTTATAACAAAATAACAAAAAAAAATAACATACAAAATAAAATGAACAGACAACATAATCACAACAAATATAAACTAGGTTTGAGTTAAAAAAAATCATATTTTTTAAGAATATAAATTTATACACACCATAAAAAAACACATACGAAATAAAAAATAATTACAAAAAAATATGAAGCAAAAATTATTAAATTTATTGTTGTTAAAAATAATTAAAAATAATTATTATGGAAATTTACAAGTAAAAATTAAAAAAAAAAGAAAAGAAAACTTTCTTTTCCACTTTTATATTTTCACTTGCAAATTTCCATAATATTTTTTTCATACTGTGTATAAATTTCCACTCTTCCAGTTTTGATTTTAATTAATCTGGTTCTGATGAAACTTTATATATATAGTAGAAAATGCTGTTAGGAGACACCATTTTTGATAAAGTTTGACAGAATGTTCTTCCAAAAAACAATGATTTTAGCACGTTTTACTAAAAACACTTCAAATCTAGCGATTTATATCAAATTTTGACCAAATTATCTACCGAAAAAAATTTATGGTAGTAGAAACACTGGTTAGAAGTCAACTCATTGTTCATTGGCTCCCACCTAATAACTTTTCCAACTTTTCATAGGGGGTGCCGAACTTTTCCAACTTTTCCTTGTTTGCAACACTAATCGTGGGTCTGCGCAACGGAAGAAATCGCTCATTTAGTGGTCTTCTAACCATTCTAATCTCTTTCTTATCGTTTCAGACTGAAAATAATATTTAAAATTTGTTAAATATCTCTGAAATTATTAACTTTAAGTATAGGCATAGTTACATCAATCGAAAGATTTGATTATGTAAAAACCGAGTGGTAAAGAAGTTTATTTATTTATTTATGAAGTGAAACTTTCAGTTACAATACTCGGTCCGACAACGGCTCGCTGATCGACCCGGCGAACGTGAGCGCGCTGCGCGTGCCCGTCATCAAGCCGATGGAGCTGATGGTGGAGGCGTCGCCGCGGCGCATCTTCGCAAACGCGCACACCTACCACATCAACTCGATATCGGTGAACAGCGATCAGGAGACGTACCTGTCGGCGGACGACCTGCGCATCAACCTCTGGCACCTCGAGATCACCGATCAAAGTTTCAACATCGTCGACATCAAGCCCACCAACATGGAGGAGCTCACAGAGGTAACAACAATATTTACCGACTAAAGTCGAAAATTTATAGTTTTTAATAATGTTTTGATGTTTTATAGTTTTGATAAAATTAAAAAGTGTCTATGAAAGAAATGTATATAAATTCGATTTATGGTAGTTTTTTATCATATAATTTAAAACAAATATTCACTAGTAGTATTTAAACATGGGCCATTTAACGAAAACACAAAGAATTGAAGTTTTAATTCCATCCCAAAAGGTATACATGTGCATATTCTTAATCTATTCGAATCTGCAAAAGAGTACAATTTAAAAAAATGGCCAATGACGTCATAGCTTCTACAAAAATGGCGGCAAATATGAAAACTTTACATTAAAATGTGCGGAATTAAAAAACAAAATTTTTATTGAATTCATTCCATACTGTATTTATTCGAAAAAAACTAGAGATATGAAAATTCACATTTGACGAAAATTTCCGGAAACTTTCCATCAAAATTTCCCGAAACTTAATAGAAGTTTAAAAAAAAATATTGCGGAAATGAGTTTTTTGTGCCAGGTGGATTGCAAAAATGTTGGCAAATTTTATTAAAAAAAAAATTGTTTACATGCATATGTATACATATGCGTTGTATGGTGAAACTTAAAAAATAAACTGTTAACTCACTAACCAGAAATTCACTACTAGTGAATCACAAGATATTACATACAAAAATATAAAGGAACAAAAAAACTATATATGTAGTTAGAAATATTGAAAAGTTCTGACTACCATTACCCATAAAAAACAATTGCAAAATCAAAAAACACAAATTAGGAATTTTCTTCAAACCAAACAAAAATAAAAGTGTTATTTCCGTAATTTAAACTTTTAAAAATTGTAACTTAGGAACTGAATTTTCAAATATTGCATTAGTAACATTTGATGTACTGCATTAAGCATGTTTTTTTTCCCATTTTGTAATAATTCCAAATATAAGGTTTTTCTCTTGGCATTGTACTGTACCTATAAATAAACAACAAAAACGTTAAAATGATTTTAACTTTGTTTATGGTTTTTATTTTGTTTACCTTTTAAAAGACGATGATGAGATCCTCAACAAACTAATACTGTACTTCTTCTTTAAATCAACACAAATTAACTTCTTATTCAGTTTCTTGGCATTAATTTCGCAAATTATCTGTTAAACAATTGACATTTACATAATAAAAACCGGGAAAATTTCCAGGATTTTTTCCGGTAACTTTCAAAATGAAAATAAACTCTCGACTGGAAACATTCCTTAAAATGGAAACTTTCCGATTGCCATCTCTAGAAAAACAGTCGTTTTTAAATTATTATTATTATAATTAGGTGATAACGGCTGCGGAATTCCACCCGGTCGAGTGCAATCTGTTCGTGTACAGCAGCAGCAAGGGCACGATACGCCTGTGCGACATGCGCGCCGCCGCGCTGTGCGACCGCCACTCGAAGCTGTTCGAGGAGCCGGAAGACCCCACCAATCGCAGCTTCTTCAGCGAGATCATATCGTCCATCAGCGACGTCAAGCTGTCGAATAACGGCCGCTACATGATTTCGAGAGACTACTTGTCGGTCAAAGTGTGGGACCTTCACATGGAGACCAAACCCATTGAGACTTATCCGGTAAGTGGACATTTTATACAGTGTGCTTTAATTGGTGAAAAACGAAAACGAAACGAAAAAATTCGGAAATTGACATTTGTATTTTTTTCATTTTATTTAAAAGGTAATATAAAAAATTGTCAACATTTACAATTTAACGGATACTATCCTTACACTGATACGATAAAAAAAGAAAATGTTCGATGCTGAATATAATAATAATATTATGATTATAATAATTATTCCTTTTATTTTAATCCAATAAAAATAATCTACCGGGTCGCAACAAAAAACATATTCGGTGCTGTTACAGTATATTTAACGTTTACGTTTATTTTCTTAAATCAATTTAGTTTTCAATTCAATGTTTGGTTTTATTTTTTTTTAATTAAAATAATGTTTTGTCGATTGTCACTCAAATGTGTATATTTCCCTAGACAAAAATTGAATTTTTCCCAAAAAAAGATAATTTGAGAAAAAACAGTTTTTTTTTTCGGTTTTTATCCGATACTTTAAAACCCTAGTGAGTCTCAGGTAATTTAAAAATCTAAAACTTTCTAAGAGTCAAAAAGTAAAAGAAACCCTTGCTTGAAAAAAATTTGTTTTTTCTTACCTTTTTATGATTTTTTCTGATTTTGAAAAAAGTGGTTGGTGCTCAAGTTAAAAATTAATTTAAAAATTTGAAACTTTGAAGGATCTTCAGAAGAGTAAAAAATTAAGAAAAAACTATGAAAAATTATGATTTTTGACATTTTTAGGAATTTTTTATTTTTTTTTAAACAGGTTAAAAAATAATTTAAAAATCTGAAACTTTGGAATACCTTCAGAAAAGTCAAAAATAAAGAAAAAGAAATTATTAAAAAATAATGATTTTTCCCACTTTTTAAGATAGGGAATTTTCGACGCTGAATAAAAGGAATAATTATTATAATCCTAACATTATAATTATAATAATTATTTGTTTTATTTTAATTCAGTAAAAATGTTCTACCGGGTCGCAAATTTAATTTAATTCAATGTGAATATTTCTAAAAAAAACCCCAAAGTATGACAATTTATATTATTTATATTGCATACGTTTTCCTATTTTAAATAAAAAGTGTTGTCTTAACATTCCAAGGTTCAGAACACAGACCACCAAAACAAATGGACGGCGCATTGCCATTCAATAACAATGCTTTATTTGCGGTCAACAAACGGTCACAGTCTAAGCGTCAAATTGGAGATAGAATTTTATGTTTTCTTCCAGTGACGTATTGGGATTAAAAAATAATAAGTAGGTAGGTACTTACAAACGATATTTCCATGTATTGGTGGTCTGTGGTTCAGAATGTGGAAACGTAAAAACACTATCTTGAATGTCAAAAGTAAAAAGACAAGTTTTGTTAAGAAAAGGCCACAAGCAGTGATGACGCACGCAGTAATCCTAACCTTGTTCTCGTCTGTTTGTTGAGGTGCACGAGTACCTTAGGGCGAAGCTGTGCTCGCTGTACGAGAACGACTGCATCTTCGACAAGTTCGAGTGCTGTTGGAACGGCAACGACACCGCCATCATGACCGGCTCGTACAACAACTTCTTCCGCATGTTCGATCGCACGACGAGGCGCGAGGTGACGCTCGAGGCGTCGCGCGACATAGCCAAGCCGAAAACCGTGCTCAAGCCGCGCAAAGTGTGCTCGCAGGGCAAGCGGAAAAAGGACGAGATCAGTGTGGACTGTTTAGATTTTAACAAGAAGATCCTGCACACGGCGTGGCATCCCACGGAGAACATCATCGCCGTCGCGGCCACCAACAACCTCTTTTTGTTCCAAGATAAGTTCTAGCCCCACTCCCAACCCTACCAACATCTTTCAATATAAACACCAGAAAAAACGAAAACATATTTTCTTTTTTTCTCTTGTTTAGTATGCAACCCTAAAAACGACGTTTTTAACAGATTTTTCAATATAAACAACCGAAAAACCAAAAATATCCACGCCATCAACATCAATCATTGATTTTTTTAATACAGCTTCAAAAAAAAACCGTTGTTACATCGTATTTGATGAAACGTCGATAAGTTTAGTTTTAACGTTGTTTATATTATATTATAAACCAAGACCTTCAACCGGGTGTTCCCCGCGTTGTCGGGGCGCCACCTGCTGTTCCATAGCGAAACCTTTCACTCCTACTCTCGCGAGAACGTTCATTTTCCACGTTTATTATTATTAATATTATTATTGTTTATTTTTTTGTACATGTGGAATTCTTCCATTAAATACAGTTTTGATGTTATTGTCCTTCATCGTTTTTTTAGCTTTATATACGAAAAAAGGTGTGTAACAAAACTTTCTCACATAAAATCTCAAATTGTTATATTATATTGTTGTGATAATCAAGAAATAAAAGTAATTTTTACAACTGCTTTCGTTATTTTATTTTTTACATTTTTCTGCCGATTTTTTTGAATCTACAAGCAATGGTATTTTATGTGAAAAAGATGTGCAGATTAAGCCCATTGTTTTTGTAAACCAATGTGATATAAGTACTTGTGAGTGGTATTGTAAAAAACAAGAAGTGAAATAAAATCTTTTTTGGTTTAATTTACTCAGTATTGAACAATTTGACAATTTATTGTATTTTAATCAATTTACTTTAAGCATATCCAATTTCTTAAAAATATGGTTCAGTCCCTGGCCCACCTCACAAGTTTTCTTTAATTTTGAAGAATGTGTAATACAGTCTATATATTCTCACAAAAATGCATTTTTGAACTACAAAATTTAATGAAAATTAAAAACGACTTTTGAGGATATAAAACATTTTGTAATCAAAGTTTATTCTCAAAAATATGTTTTATAGGCGTTTTTGTAAAAGAATCTTAAAATTAAAGAAAATGCGTGTCTAATAAATTGGCCAGGGACTGTATGTATTCTGTCATTTAAAACATGTTTGTTGAATCCGAACTGTTTTTAAAAATGCATTAATTTTATAGATAAAAAGTGTGAAATTATTTGCAATATAGCTTCAGTTTTTTAACAATTATTAGTGAAATTTAATTTTGTAAGAATACAGGGTGTTCCTTTGAAGCTTAGCACCCCATCCCAAAACTGTTTAGCTAGTAAATAATGTACAAATTGTAAATAAGTATATACAGAATTAATTTTTTACCAATAACAACAGTTTTTTGAAAATTTGGTTGTAAATAATGAAACAATATGCATTAAGTAAATACCTAGTTTCCTTTGGTATGAAAAAAATTGTTTCAAATGGCAAAATGTTACGATTTTGTTATTTTACTACAAAAAAAACTAAGCTTTTCGAATGACATAAGCAAAGCAAAATGAATGCCTTTCAGTGCCATGTATTTGTAAAGTTAATAATATTAATCTCTCCAATCAATAAAAAAAACTTGAAACACCAATTTTCCCTATTTTTTTTATTTATTAAACACTTTCTGACAAAAACGCAATTTCGTCCCAAAGTGTTTTTGTGTGTAATTTTATCCTAGTTGATTAGAGAGAAATGAAACAGCAATCAAAAAATAATATTTTCGGGCTTTGGCTTTAAGGTTCTATAAAAACGATATACATACAGTAATAATTTTAGATTAAGCGTATAAATTATAATTTAGTTTGTAAGTTTGGTTAATAATAGACACCAAATAAATTATTTTAAGTTATAAAACCTACAGTGTAATTTTAATATTGTTAGTCAAATTGTGTACATTCCTGGTTATATTCTAAATTGCTGTAATAAATATTTAAAAAGTATGCCTTTGGTGTACGTTTTCAATTATCAATACATTTTTTTTAATAAAGTGTATTTTATTTAAATTTCCCACAATCAATTGTATTAAATTGATTAACCCTCGTATTTGCAGCTCAAGTAGTTCAAATGCACATATTTAGAATCTAATTTAAATGTGTTCAAATGTCATCTATACACTAGTTGATTTTATAACACTGTTGCCACGACGCGCTTTGAACATTTTATTCTTAAATATTTTCAACTGAAAACAAAACGTATTTGATGTAATAATTGTTTAAACCTATAAATGCAACACACCCTGTTGTTTTTATACATACAAAGTATTTAAAATCCAACAAAATTGGATAAATAATCCTCCAATATTCAGTTGACAACACCGCAATTTCTTCGACGAAAATTTCGTTGCGCACGCGCACAGCCATCCTGCTGTCATTTCGGTTCTTACATCCAAAATGTCGAGCGTTTTTTTTACTTAACCTCAAACCGACATATGTGAACGCGAAAAATATGATGTAAACACGCAAAAACCGGAGAATTATCAATTAATGTCCGTAAATTGTTGCTTTCCAGTACTTGTAACGCATAGTTACCTAGGAAAAAAAGTGTTGTAAATTCAAGGTTAAGTTAAGTAAAATTTGGTTGTTTAAGTATAAGGTTGTGTTCGGGCAGGCTAATGCATAACTAAAGTGGAATAAAGACAAGACTGAAGTCTATCGTTTATTATTGATAACGTAGTCGTAATATTAAACATTCAAAATGTCTAATACTTTATGTAAGTCCTCTGTGCTGAAAATTTATCAGGACGTTATGGAGGACGTTATATCCGGTGTGAGGGATATTTTTCTCGAGGAAGGCGTCGACGAGAACGTTTTACAGGAACTCAAACAACTCTGGGACACAAAGTTAATTGCGAGCCGTGCTGTCCACAATGAGGAAGAAAAGAAGAAACCGGAAATAGTTTCATCAAATGGCTATCCCAAACAACAGCAAGTTGTAGCCCCACAACAACAACACATAATCCCACAACAAATGCAAGTCGTGCAAACCAAAATGGTGCCCATACAAATCACACTTCCCCCACAACCTGGCACCGATAACGGCCAAAGGGTGTTAACAATACAAGTCCCCCACACGGCTCTGCAAGATAATCAGCTGCAAAAAGTCTTAACCGGGCCGGTTATTACAGCAACTATGGGTCTACCAGCAAATATAGCTTGTTCAGTGTTGCAGCAGCATGTGAATGCAGCTTTTGCTAGTCAGCAGTCTGTTACAATTGTTAATAAGAGTGTGATACAGACTGATGGGGCCCAAGATGATGATGAAGACATTGAGATTGAGTTTATTTTGCCTGTACCCAGCAAAAAAATTAAGGGTAAGAAATAACTATTTTTTCTATTTTAAAACAGTTTATTGATATACAAATATTCAAAAGACAATTCCAATAATGTTTTGTTCATTGTTAAGATTATTTTTTAAACAAATTGTTATTAGAAAATTGGGGCCCTCACTGTAGGTATAAAAAGCACAGTTTTTATGCTTAAAATAGGTTCATACTGTATGTAAAAAGGAAACATTAATTATCATTAATTATTCTATTAAAGTAGGACAAAAAATGAACCCTATAAACTAAAAACTTGTATAATACAATGACTATAATTTTTAAACTTTTGTCATTGTTTAATGATTTTTACCGAGGGGGAAACCACCTTCCGCAATACGTGTACATTTGGCCCGAAATCACTCGCAATCGCCGAAATCCTTACCCGCAATCCCGCAGTCACTTCGCAATCGCCGAAATCCCTACCCGCAATCCCGCAATCGCCGAAATCCCTATCTGCAATCCCGCAATCGTGGAAATCCTATACTTGCAATCCCGCAATCGATCGAATTCGACGATGATGGGGGTATAAATCGGCAACGCCTGCGCTCTGCAGCCATTTGCATAAGATTGGCGGAAGGTATACGTTGGTACCTATGCATTTTAAAAAACAATTGTTTATAGTGTTTGTGAATTTTGCGATTTAGGCTGAATCATTCAGCACATGTGGTAAGACTGGTTAGTACATATCAAAGTTAGATACTAATCTATTACGCGTATTTCGCCCCGTTAGGAATTCCATCGAAACGAGACAAAAGAATGCCCCCTCTCGCCGAGAATCTCTCTCGATTTTTCCGGTACTTAAAATCAAACAGATATTTATTTAATATAGATATACCGCAAGCTATACATAGGGAAAATACATTGTAGGTGGACCAGACAAGTTGAAGTCAGCGCAAAGCGAAAAAGTTCTCAGAAATTATTTGGACGTAATAAAATTTTAATCGCCAGTAAACAAGGTCACCTGTTACGTCGCATGTTAGTCTACTAATCCACTCGTCAAAATAATTTCTGGGAACATTTTCGTTTCGCGCTGACCGCGCCGACTTCGACTTGTCTGTTCCACCTACAATGTATTTTCCCTATGTATAACTTGCAAATGAAGGTACGGTAGAATTCCATATCACCACGCATGTACGTACTGTGCACCTTTGATTTATTTGCCGCCGTTAATATAAATTTCCTGAAATAGTAATTCTGTATAACACATTAAGAATACCTACTTGTTTTAAATTTTAAAGTAATCGCAAATGTTTTTAAATATAAGATTTGAGAAAAATATGTTATTGATGAATAAATTAATTGAAGACACTAGTGAATAAAGCGTCTAAGTGACAAAATTTTGACACTTTGTTTTTTGGTTTGGTTTTTCAATTATTGACAAGTATGTGTATGTGCATTTTTTTATAAATTATTGACATTAATAAAATTAATAGAATAATGATGTTTAGTAACTGCTTAAACAATCACTAAACACACACTAAAACTGTTTTAGTAAAACAGTTAAGAGCCAATGGTTGGTTTTGTGTGTATGTGGTTTTTGAGGTCACTCATTAGGAATTTGATATCCATTTTTCTAAAAACAAAATGGCTGATCTAATATGGCGGACATTTGTCGTTCAGCTTTAACGATTTGGATGAAATTTTGTATAAAGATATTTTTGGGGTAGCTGATTATGAGTTTTATATAATTTTTTTTTAACAAAATTGCGGATTCAAAATGGCAGATATCTGTGCGCAATAAATACTAGATGACCGTACCTATGCGCAGTGGTTACCAGATGACTGTACCTATGCGCAGTAGTTACTAGATTACCGTACCTATGCGCAGTAGTAAGGTGCACTTTCGGCGTAAAAAGTTTTACTTTTACACAATTTTTTTTATTTCGTGTTTAAATTTCAACAGAAAAAATTTTTGTACTTACCAATTTTATCCAAAATATTTTTTTGTGTTTTAATTTTATAGCTACTTCGAGAGAAGAGTATTCTCGTCGAGACGTGGACCCATTTTCTCTCCCTGTACGAGACGAGACAAAAGAAACACTTCTCTTCTTTTCTCGTTTCGCGACATCACTACGCAACGTCAACAAAAATTAAGTCTAATTATCGGCGCACCAGACCCATTTTTTGTTTTTTTTTTTTTTACTTTAGCGGTGTTTTTATGTCGGTTTTTATTCTGGCGACTGTTTAACTAAAATAAAAATGAATTAGTCCAAAGAAAAAAAATTCGACTATTTTTCAGTTGGTCCCATTTTTGACACTTTTTGGAGGGTAGGGAAGTTATTATCAGAGATAAGAGTTTTGCGGTTTTTACTTCAATGTCCTATTTTTTTCACGAAACAAAAGATCCCGGTGTCAAATTTGCCATAGCCTTCTTAATTCGTATTCTACAGAGTAATACTAAAAATTACCAGTGGAATGGAATGTGCGCAGAGAATTAAAAAAAAGTTTCATGGCTTGTAAAATCCTCATATATTTTTGAGAGGTTCTGACACTGATTTTCTTTCGTTTAAAGAAAGGTTTTTGAAAAAAATCAACATGCTTCTTCTAATTAATAGCCGTGAATATTTTTTTTAACGCCAAAAACAAATAAACAGGGCATTTCGATAATTAGAATTAATTACTAAATGACGACATAAAAAAATGAGCTGCAATAAAAGTACCCATCTACATTTGACACCAAGTTATGATTTCTATTTACGTCGATTTATTTATTTTTTTATTAGAAAATGGAATTTCCTCAGGAAGTTTACGAATCGAGTAGTGAAATACAAAATTCCAAAGTTAAAAGATCAAAATGTAAAACTATAACAATTTTTAAGGCATGATTTTAAGGAAACGGTTCATCTGACAGAAAATTTCGTTTTTACCTTTTTTGTAGAGCATTCAATTTTCTTCAAAAAATATTTTCGAGTAAATTTTGTTAAACTCAAAGGTTTGGGTTGGGAGTTCTGGGACAAAAACTTGCTGAGGAAAAAAAAATTAAAACTGCGATGATAGACCTCTTAATATTAATATTATGGACTCAAATTTTCACAATATTTTTTTTGTCACCCCAAACCATATTTTCGATATACTTTTCAAAAAAAAAATAGTTGATCTTTTTGGCCCAGTCTAATGTAGCCCGTATTCAATTTTAAAAATATTCATTTTTTGTTCCACCCTAATGTTTACTTTTATAAAACTACTTAAAAGGTTAAAATTAAAATAATAAAAATATTTAAACAGTATAATGGTTTTTCTAGACTTGCTAACTGACTTTTTCCTTCCTTTTTTTGCTTTAGTGAGTTTAAGAAACTCAATACCTTTATGCTTATAAAATAAGGTAGGTAGATTTTGTACAATTAGAGGGGATTGTCCATGTCACATTATAACATCTTGCGACATGGACGTCATATAGACTCTTTTTGCACAAATTAACTACCGAATCAAGCTAGCAATCATGTCTACAATTCAACCCTACCCAACGGAAATCGTCTCACAATCCCATTGCAGCCCTGCAATCACTAATTTCATGTCGCAATCCTCCAAAATCCCAACAATTTATAAAGAATTCTCCGAAATCACCGCAATCATTCCGAAATCATGGGATTTCGGTCGCAATCCTCCGAAATCGCAACAATTTATAAAGAATTCTCCGCAATCATTCCGAAATCATGGGATTTCGGACGCAATCCTCCGAAATCGCAACAATTTATAAAGATTTCTCCGAAATCACCGCAATCATTCCGAAATCATGGGATTTCCGCAATACGTGTACATATTTTTTGGAGGTGGTTTCCCCCTCGATTTTTACTATTGATAATTGAATATTTTATTAATTATTATTATGTTTATTGGTTATAAGATTAATTATTATTTTATAATAATAGCTATATTATTTAAATTTTTATCCAACAAAATTTTTGTTTTGTATGTATTATTAAAACCATTTATTTAGGTGGGTATATAAAATTATTTAAAAGGGTACCTAAAATAGGTTCAAACTGTATGTGAAAAGGAAACATTAATTATAATTTAATATTCTATTAAGGTAAAACAAAAAGAGAAACATAAAAACTTACAATAAAAAAAAGTTTTATCAATAACAAGTCTATCGAGACTTTGGGCTGTCAAATGGACGTGCGGGACATGCGCAATAGTAAAAATATTTTCTATTACCCATGCGATTTTGGTATTGCGCATATCCGTGACTGTTTATTGATTTATATTATTGATACTTAAATTTAGTAAGTAGGTATTCATTATTATCTTATTAATTGGTTATAAGATAAATTATATTTGTTCATACTTAAATTTGTATGTAAGTCTACAAATATGTTTTTTTTTGTATTATATTCATTAACCATTTGTCCTTCCCAATAGCAGCTGCTATATGAAATCTAATTTAGAAAGCACCCCAAATCTTTTGTTTTTGCAAGGGAAACACTTGAGTTAATTGACACTTCCTTTATATTTATTTTGTTTATGGTTTTGTCAGTGACTCATAAGTATTTTTTGTGGTATAATGACGAAATATGATAAATTACTTTTATTAATTAAATATTGGACTACAATTTTTACTTGTATTTAAAATCCACCTATTTTGCAGGTATATAGGTATGGAAAATTTATATTATTGCGAAATGAATATGAATTTAATTTTTTTTATTTTTGTGTATTAGCAGTCCCATTTTAAAACTGTTTTGCTGGTAAACATTATACACATTCTTAACTGAGAGGACAAGTTATGATTGTAAATAAAAATAAATATTTTTGTTTGAAGGTGTCAGGTTACATTAAAATTTGAAAATAACGAACAATATTGTGATTGCAAATAAAAATACAATATTGTTGTTCTTATTAAACACAGATTCACTAGGTATACAGAATTAGTTTTTTAAAACAATTAGCGTAAAAGGTAAAATGAAAACTAAAACAAAGTATGTCTCAGCATATAAACTTGTTGTTAGCAAATACTTAGCCATTGTAAATTTAGTATCAGACACAACAATCAAAGTGTATTTTTACAGAGAAAAAATCCAAAACACCTAAAAAATCCAAAGCCGTGCCAAAAGCGTCGACCTCGAAAACTCTCTTCCAAACCGACGGTCCACTGGACACGTCCGACGATGACGACGATGCCTCCAATGACGACGATGACGATGACCTTGACGACGACAAGGACGAGGAGGACCAAGAAATGGAGGATGAAGGTGAGTTTTAGGTTTTTTTTTGGTGAGAAGAAAGAGCAACGGAAACTTTTTTGTTGATTAGGTGGTGAAGAAGAGCCTTTAAACTCGGAGGACGACGTAACGGACGACGACCCGTCGGACCTTTTCGAGACCGACAACATCGTCGTGTGTCAGTACGACAAAATAATCAGGAATCGTAACAAGTGGAAGTTTTATTTGAAGGACGGCATCATGAATTTGAGCGGGCAGGATTACGTCTTCCAGAAAGCCAACGGCGACGCCGAGTGGTAATTTTTCGCGGCGGAGTGGTTAAATAAAAAATATGCAAGAACTATTAAAATAATGCTAGTGTCACTTCTTATTTACACGAAAATGTTATTAGTTTAGTACTAAAAATAGACTGAATGTTTTAATAACCTAATATAATGCAAGCCAAAAAATAAAACTATGAAACCGCGGGTTAAATTTTTGCAATACAAATGAATACCTCTCTGAAAATAGTAAACACTAGTCGTTGTGAACGAAATTTTGACGTACAAGATTATTGCTTTGGAACTTGTAATCTCAAGCCAAAAAAATGACTAGTGTACTTGTTGAATTTTGAATGTCGGGCCAATATAAAATTGTGTTTAATGTGTGATTCGCATTAATAAAGAAATTTCATGTAAATATATTGCTTTACTTTAAGTTCTAGGTGTATTTATGAGCATGTCACTTTTTAGATTTCATTTCATACATGGAAATTAAAATAACCTTCTCATGTAGAATACTAAAAATTGGCTTTCATTTTTACAATTTTTCTATATAAAAAAACCATTCTGAGTAAGTAGGTATCCAATTTTGTATAAAATACGGAATTTGTAAAGTTATTTGTTCCTAGTTTTACTACTTATTTATTTTTTTATTCACAACGCGCTTCAGTATACATTTTTAGCGTTTGTAATCAATCTGATTATCCAAAAATTTTATAGGAAGTCTGTGGTCAAAGCCGTAAATTTTTACATTGTATTATTATTTGTGAATAAAACTATTTTTCAATAATTAAGAAAAAATGCAGTTTTATTGTCTTTGAAGATGACATCAGATTTTGTGACCTTCAACATGGACGTAAGTAGACACAAGTTTTTTTAAAACATTTGAAACCTAGGGGAAAGGGTAAAAATTTAAAAAAATACTTTTCTGTAACAAATTATAAATCAAATTTAGACAATTTTATTTGTTAAATGATACATAGAAGATACAATTTTTAAATGCAGAACATGAGGTTAGAACTGAATTTTATGATTGGTTCAATCACGGTGAATAATGAAATCGGCCAATCACTGAAGCCTAAAAACTAATTACAAGTTCACAATGATTTGTATTGGCCTAGGCCAGAATCAATCATTTCAGTGTCGAGTGTTGACGACAATAAAATTAAATTTATAGACCGCTTAAGATTGACGTGTGTGGCCTTGAGAGTAACATCTGTTACTTAAAAAAAAAACATGAGTAGCTATCATGATACATCTTTGTATCATGAGTAGCTATGAAAGTTTTATTAAGCATTTCACTTAAAACATGAAAATTGACAAGTTATTTAATAAAAAAGTTTTCCCAACAATAAATTATACTAAAAACAAATTGTCACCAATTGTATATTTTGTAATGTTAGATAAACTTTATGTTTGGAGTGAAACTTGTGACCTTTAGTTTTTTAAAGTCTTAAAAATTAAAATTGAGTCCTTTAAAATTTTATTTAGTTTATAAAACAGTTTTCTCACCTTTTCTACAATGAATTATGTTAAAATCAAATTGTCACGCAACTTTTCTTTGTATTTTTTGACATTTTATATTGACGTTTGTTGCCTTGATGGTGACATTTGTGACCTTGAGGTTTTCTAAAGCATTTGCAGTCTACAGTCTACAACATTTTATTAAAATAACATAGGTATAAATTTATAAATAAAAAACAGTTTTCTCAATTTTGCCTTATTTTGCATTAAAAACAAATTGTTGACGTTTATATCCTTGAAAATGACATTTTATAAGAAGTAAAACTAAAACAGGTTTGTTTTAAAAGGTTTAATAAATTATGCGTGTAATAAAAAAAACATGTCACCAATTTTTCTTGGCTCTGGAAACAAGATTTTTCAGTTTAACTTTAACAACTTTAGGTGGATCATCCCTAGGTTTATATTGGGCAACATAAACCAAATATGCTTCAGTCAATTGAAATTCCAGGAATAATTCCTGGATGTTTTGCTCGCTAATCCTAGAACACTCCAGGAACATTGTTTTAAAGGAGTCTGGAAAATCGTTGAAAAAAATGTCGAATTTGTGCTTGGACATCAGGTCTGGGTATCTTATGAAGTTAACCCAGTATTTTTTGAATGGATTGTAATGTTTGGTGTAGGAGCTACCTGTGGGTTCGATTTTGAGGGGTTTTCTTGGTTTAAATGTATTTTTGGTATCAAACAATGGTAGATTTTCATCCTTGTTTTTCTTTTGTACAGTGACTACTTTTCTATCCTTCAATCTTTGATCCCTATTCTCAACAGCCTCATTTTTTATATCGTTTATTTGTACATTTTCATTTGCTCCTCTTTCAATAATCTCAAAATTTTCACCATTATTAACAAGGTTTAAATAATTATTAGGTTGTAACAAGAAATCAATGGAATCGCCAGAAAAATTACAACTGAGTAAATCCCTATTGTAATCCTTATTTTGAAGTTTAAAGGACTTTAATAGAACCTCAGTATAATCTTTGAAAGGCGTTAAACTACAAGGAAACTCCAAAGGATTAAAAAAATCATCCTGCACATTATTTAACTTGGTTAGCAGTTCTTTGTAATCCTCCATATATTTAATTAATTTTACATCTTCACTGTATTGTTTGGGTTTGGTGGAAATATATTCCAAATATAAATCACTATCGACGACTTCAGGATTATTGTTAAGCTGAGTTGGGAAGTGATACTCATCTATGACAAATTTTCTATACCCCAAATATTTTAACCAATGGTTAACATCAAACATTTTTTCCGGTTGTTTTTCGTTGCATAATTTTGAATATTTGGAGAATTCGTTTTCGGTTGCACCGTCGAGTCCGAATAATAGTTTCAATACCACCAGAATTATTGATAGAACTCGCCCTTCATAGTTTGGAAATACGCCTTGTTTTTGGAAGAGCATTTTCGGGAGAGCCTTGCACATTAATTTGACTGCGCAGTCATTTATAGGGCCTAAAAAAAGTTATTGTTATTCTTGAAATTTGAGACCTTACTTTATAAGTTGCAAATTTCACCTGGTAAATTTAGTTCCTTGCAAAACCTCTTGCAAAGCCTTGGCAGATCTGGTATAGTCAAGTAGCTCTGAACACCTAAAAGAATAACCAACCCAGCCACTTGCTTCCTAAACCCCATGTTAGTATAAGGTTTATTCACAGTGTGGTTATTGAAATTCAAAACTTTATCGTGATATTCCTCCGGGAATAGATCAGAATAAAAATCAAAACTAATATGACCTTCATTTATGAATCTCAATAGGTCACCCAGTTGAATATCATCCTTGTTTATTAACAAACCAATGTATAGTAGGGAATACAACTTCATTGGACTTATAACAGTGATTTTATGTTTCTTAGAAGCATTTTTGTATGTGGCTGAATGGCATGTAATGCTATCACCACGTTTATGTCTTTTCATATGCTCCCTTCCAATTACCTTTCTTAACTCTTTCACTGAATGTTTATTAATTCTAGTTTTATGTAATGTAGATGAATTAGAGCCACTTTTAATACTCGTCAACGTTTCATTGTGCAAAGAAGACGATTCTTGCGCAGATTTTTTAGAGAGTTCTTCTAGTTGAGACTCTGCTAAAGCCCTCTGAAAAAAAAAGTTATGGATTAATTAAAAACTGCTCTGAAGTCAAGCATAATTTTTCTTGAATATATAACGCGTTGCGCACTTGTTTATTATTTCTATCCTTTCTCCTCTAAAATTAGCGCTGGGACGCATGGGTCCCTTTTTTTTGGAGGGGGATATTTGGTGTAAGTTTAAGGTTTAAGTTTAAATTAATAAAAAAACACAATTGTATAAGTTTTTTTATTTGTTTAAAATAATTAGACAATGGTTTCCTTCTCTTTGTTTTCCGCTTTTCTGTTTAAAATGTTGCTGTTCAATTGAACTACTGCATGTTGTCTGTTTGTTTATTTTTTGTTCACACACCTTTTTATAATATTTTGTTCTTTGTAATTGACTTCATTTGTTTTCACAACTAATTGTTAGATTTTAAAATATCACTGCATATAGAACTGTCACTGCCACTGTCAAAAGAGAAAAGCAATCTTGTCCCGTTTAAATCCTATTTTTTTTGTTTTTAAATTCAGTTTTTTGTGTTACAATAAATGTGTATATGGTCCTTTTTGTATTAAAATAAAAAATAATTAGAAAATCAAATGTAATAAAATGACAATGCAAGTTGGTACCTATCGATATTTATGCATTAAGTATAAAAGCAACTGCCTGAACCTGTTAAGTTTAAAGATATGAAAATATATTACCTTTTTTCTACCCCTATCTCTTTTAATAGACAGTGAAGTATTTAATGAAGTTGAAGTCTCATCTGATGAAGACCGTCTTCTTCTTTTTTTAATCCTTCTTCCATACAAAATTTCAGAATCCCTAAAAACACAATTTTTACACAAATTAACTCAAATCTTGAACACAAACTTTCTGTTATTAATAATGGGCAACTTGGGCATCTCGTCCTCGCGATTTATAACCTCCAACTTCTCTAAATACAACATCCAAAGGCACTTTACAATTTCCTTTAATTTTGGGTCGGCACCTAAATTTATCAACTGATTCGTCAACGAATACAAAATAATATTGTAGCACTCCCAACTGGTGATCTTGTTCTCTTTTTTTTCCACGCTCTTTTTAACCCTGGTCGTGCTTTTGATGTTAACATGTTCAATTTCGTTTTCAAAGACATGCTCCTGGATTTCCTGGGTTTGAGTTTGACAATCCTTGCAGAAATAATGACCGGATTCCTTGTAAAAATCGTTCCCACCGCATACATCACACTCTACGTCAGGCATTTCGAAATATTATTAAAATAGTTTTGTTTAGGTATGTGACATTAAGCTTAATTGAGGTTATGTGGGTAATAGTTTGGTTATGTCTGTTGCATAGATTAGATAAAGTCTGTTGAGTAGTCTTGGCGGTGAATTCAAAAAGAAATTAACGAAATGGTGTTTTTATTAAAATTTATTTAATAAAGTGTATAATTCTGGATTTATATTTAAAATAAATTGTTAAAAAATCGTCCTTTGGGGTTGGGAGAGTTTGGATCGTTTTCAAGGTTCTGTAGTTGGTTCGTCAGATCATTTATTCTTTCATCTTTAACGTGTAATAGATTTTCTAAATGTTCTACCTATAATAATAATAATAATTTAGGAAGTAAATTATAAATTATTGTGGTATTTACTTTGTTTTTAAGGTTTATAATTTCTTCTGTCTTCTCTGCAAGATCTTTTTCCATTTTATCAAATATTTCTGAGGGGACCATTTTTTGGTCAACGATTTTAGAACCGTTCTTGACTTTTATAGGAATTATAGAACCTTAAAATAAAAACATAAAGCAAAAATAACGTGTTAAAGTAACATTTGTACCACCATAATTAGATAAACCCTCTAAATAATAAATTTTTCCAGGTGTATTCGTTATATTCCTATCCCCACAATCAAAAGTTTCGATTTTTTTCTTGACTTCGTATAAAAGTTTCTCGATTGTGCCGGGTACCGCTTTGGACAAGTTGTCTACAGTTTCAGGGGTTAAATTTATCTGTAATTTACGCAAAACTTTTTTATTCAAAGCGTTCCAATTGTTAATTTTTGGCTGTATAGCGTTTTGAGGACTGTAATTGTGAAGTTCTACCAATTTTGGATAGTGTTGTTTGAGGATTTCTGCTAATGGTACTAAAATAGGGATTTTTTATAAAATGTTTTATAATGGACCCTTTACATTCAAATCTCTTTTATATTATATTTTGGCGCCCTTTCTCATCGTACGAGAAATTGTAAATTAAAAAACGATACCTATATGATTATAATTATTGTAGGATATTTTAAGATCTATTTTTACCTACGATTGATAGTTTGGCCTCGTTAAAATATTTTCGGATTTGAACTAAAAGGCCCTTGTATTAAAACTTTTGAACCTGCGTCTGAGAAATCCCTGTTAATATTCCTTTTTTGCCTTGTTATGGGGTGCTCGTCGATCCATTTGTACAACTCATCGCAATCTATCTCCATTTTGAACGATTTTTCTTAACAAAAATAATTAACAAGCTGTCACTTTGACAAACACAACTGATTTTTTATTAATTATAATTAAACAAAAAATGCCGTTTTTGTGCGAAATTTTTTATTATTACAAGTACTTTTTACATGCTTTTTCGCTGACATCCCAAAATATGCCGGACTTATTTTGGAGTCTTCGGACGTTCCAGTAGTCCCGGACTTTTTTGCAGTCGACAAAGTGGGCTCCATTGCAGTCCTTAATGTTTTGGTTCAACGAAACGTGGATTTGGGTTTGGGCGCCTTCCCAAGGGGTCTAAAATCAAAATATTTTTTTTTATTATTTTGATTTTAGACAATTGCATTAAAAAAATACTAAACATTTTGCTTCAGTTTTTCAAAAATAAAAACATGTAGGATTGTCATTGTAGATGCAATAATGGCACCATTTTTTATTTTTTGTCATTTTTTATTTTATATAATTTTATTTAATATTTTTTTGTAAAAATGGCGAATGCGCCGGGATTAAGTTACTATACAGTGTGTCTCGAAATGACGCGCGATTTGTAGTTCTTAAAATTAAATTTTATATTATTGTACTTATGTACCATGTACTTATACAGGGTGTCCCGAAAATAGCGCGCTAATGGTACCACACATATTTAAAAAAATAATTATGTAAAAAAAATCCGAAAAGTAATTTTAAGCATTTAATAACTCGACAACGCTGTTTATTTTCTAAGCCGTTATATCACACATAACCCACAAATTATACTTAAAATTGACTTTTGACAGTTTAATGACAGCCCTGATAGAATAAGTTTGTTTTTACAAAAGGAGTAAAATGGTTTCCCTTTGCACTTTAAGGCCTCTTTTAAGGCCTGTGTAAGAAACACAACGTTTAAAACGATTATTAATCTGTATAAACAGCACAAACCCAAAGAACAAGAATTGTAAGAACAAAAATGGCCGCCGTTAAACTCTGTGCAGTGTTGCAGTGATTTTTAGTACGAGATAGGTGGATCGTGAATCTAAGGACATTTTTAAAATAAAAAGTTCAAATTTGTTTTAATTTTTTATACAAACTGTCAAATTATCGTCAATTTGAGTGGTTTCCATAACAACCGTTTAAAGATGTGTAATATATCAGCTTATCAAATACACAGGGTTGCCAATTTTTATTAAACTGAAAAGCTTTTGAATATTTGTTATTTATTGCTTAAATAATAAGCCATATATATCTTAAATATACCTTAATAAGCCATCTGAACATCCCAACAAACATGCCTTTTGTGAAGAAATTTCTGAAAAAATCTGTAGCCACCACACCAGGATGAACTGAGTACGCTGTAACAGTAGTTCCGGCCAATTTTTTGGCCAATGCTTTGGTAAAAAGTATATTGGCCATTTTGCTATTAGCATAGGCTATAAAGGAGTTAACATATTTGTTTGGATTGTTTACGTCTAAAAACGCAGTGGCTGCAGCTACAGAAGATACGTTTACCACTCTGCTGTACTCTGTTTTCCTTAGTAAATCTATAAAAAATATTTTGATTGCACAGCGTTTATTGTTTTATTTGTTTTACTTGCCTAAAAGTAAATTGGTCAACAAAAAGTGTCCAAAATGGTTGACTTGCATTATCAACTGCAAACCATCTTTAGTTAACGTATCTTTCAAACCCCCGGCTCCAGCATTATTCACCAAAATATCCAGACGGTCCTCCTTTTTTATTACATTTATGGCAAAACTTTTAACCGACTCAAAATCGCCCAAATCCAACGATTTTATAAATACATTCTTATTCCCGGTTTCACTTATAATCTTTTGTTGCGCAAAATACGCTTTTTTCAAGCATCTGCATGCCAAAATCACTTTTGCACCGCGCTTTGCAAAGTCCAAAGCCGTGTAGTAACCCAATCCTAGAATTTAGAACGTTTTCACATAGATGGCGCTGATACAACACTTATTATTTGTTATGTAGTATCCACGATATTATTTTTACTCCGTGAAAAACGTCATTTTTATTAATTGCAAAATGTAAACAATTACATTAAACATAAACAGTTTATTATATTTTTTATACCTGTATTGCTTCCAGTTATTAAGGCAGTTTTTCCGGCTAAACAAACGTTACTTTTACAAACAGGGCTTTTCCAGGAACGAAGCAGTAAACATATTATCACCACGATTGTAAATATATTGTAATAAATCCATAGTTCCATATTTTGTGTGGGGTTTTGGTTGGGATTGTTTGTGCTTACTTACAAATTTAGGTTAGCTGTTAAAAATGACGGTCAAAGGAAAATGAGATTAGGAAATTGTTTTGGGGTTACAATTGCGCCCTCTACTGGCGAAAATGTGATTTTTGGTGACATTATTATAGGGTTTGAACATGTAATAGTTATATATAAAAAATATTTTTCAAATTATTTTTAAAGGTATACCTTTTCATGCAAATGGTATAAACTAAAAATTAAAATAAATCATACCTTCAACAGAAATAATAGTTTTTATAGTTACAAATTTGTTTTAAAAAATATCTAAGTACTAAACATTTTTTTAATCGATTATTGTAATCATGCTCAATAGTAATTTATCTATTTAAAATGGCGCTTATCAATATAAATACAAACATTTAAATAATGTTTATGTTTCAATGCGATATGAAGCTATAGTAATTAGGTATTTATTTATTTTTATTTAAATTAAAATGCAGGGTATATCACTGATATCACATATCTAAAAATGGTTGTCAGGAAAAAATTTAAAAAAGACAGCTGAGGTTGACATTGTTAGATGTAGGTAGTTTGTGTAAAAAAACTAGCATTTTACATTTTGAACTAAAAAATTTAAAATGCGCATGTCCACACGGAGAAAAGAAAACGGCAACCATGGCAATGCATTGATGCGCAGAACATTAATCCAGTCAATAGTTAACTATTTTGACTAGTACATTGACATTCATGTCAAATATACGCAAAAGAGTTTATAAAAAATATCTACGAATTCATGGCAACACAATTGTGTATATTAATATATAATATATTATACCCGTTTTTGGTATTTTACCGTTGAGTGGAAACTTTCTCAATCAAAACTTTTAATAATGCATAACGCTGTTTGAATTTAGATGAATTATTTGTTTTTGTATTTTTACTAAAATGTTTACAATGTTCACGTAAATCGTTACTAAAATGTGTATTTATTGTATTTAATAAATATAATTTATATTTACAGGGACTGTATGCAATTTATTTCTTCATTCGGATTTCCACGGTTTATTGGGAAATCGTAAAAACTCAACCAAGGATTTCCTCTCCAAAAAAAATTTAGCATAAAAACATTACAATTGGCATTCAATTTAAATTGTAACTTGTTTGTATTTATTATTCAATTCCCAGTAAAAACAATTATTCTGCAAACATTGTTCCGATAATTTTAATCAATAGTTAATTGAATTTTAATTTAAAAATCAAAATTATCACACACAATGTAGGTAGGCAAGCAAACATATTTATTGACTTAATATTCCAAACGGATATGACTTTAATAAATAAAATTAAATATAATTTAAATTCGTTTATTCAATAATGACCATATTGTCAGTTCAGAGTTTGCTTTTAATCAGGGTGACAATGCTTAATTTCTTAATAGGTTTTTTTGTGTTACCTCTTGTAGTTCTTAAGCTATGGTTAAAAATCAAAACTAAGACATGTTTGAGCAAGACTTCGCTTGTTGGAAAAACGGCCATCGTGACTGGGGCTAATTCAGGTATGTGAAAAATTTTGATGAGCTGAATTCAACTATCTCAGAACTATTCCATCAGAAAATCTTATGTATTTTTTAGGTATTGGTTATGAGACAGCTCTAGACTTCGCAACTAGAGGAGCTAGAGTAATTCTAGCTTGCAGAGACCAAACTAGAGCGGAACATGCAAAACAAAAAATAATAGAGTTAACCAGCAATCCAAATATCATCGTAAAATTAATTGATATGTCTTCTTTGGAGTCTGTGAGAAACTTTGCTGAAGAAATTAAAAGGACAGAAGAAAAGTTGGACATTTTGGTAAACAATGCTGGATCTGCTGGAATAAAGAATAAATTGACCAAAGATGGTTTGCAAATTTTGATGCAGGTTAATTATTTTGGACCGTTTTTGCTTACTGTACTTTTAATAGGTAGTAAACCTTTTTGTTGGGCGTTTAGTTTAAAAAATTCAATTACGTTTATTTTTAGATTTGCTGAAAAAATCCGCACCAAGCAGAATTGTGAATGTTTCTTCTTTAATGGCAAAATTCGCAAAGTTAGATCCAAATGATTTGAATAAATTCAGTGGGCATAAAGCAGCATATCAAAATTCCAAGATTTGCAATATACTTTTTACCAAGGAATTAGCAAGAAGAGTTAAAGAGTTTAATATTTCTGTATATTCCATACATCCTGGAGCAGTTCAAACTAATATTTTTAAAGTTATTACTACAACCCATTGGAGGGTGCTTTTGAATTTTTTCTATAATTTCTACTTTAAGGTAAATAATACAGGTCCACAGAAAAAATTGCTCCATCACGAGGTATTTTTTCTTTACAAAACTCTGGAGAAACAATTGTTTAGATTTTGAAGAGAAGACTTTTAGATAGCATAAGATTGAGAAAATATCTCGTGATGTAATAACTGAATTTCTCAAACACCTGTTGGATTCTAAATCAGCGAAAACTCTACTAAACTTGTCGTTGGTATTTCAGACAGCAGAAGAGGGTGCCCAAACGATAATACACACAGCTATCGAAAAAAACATTGAACACTTATCAGGAGAACATTTTCACGAATGTGCCAAAGTTTCGCCTTATAAAACTGTTGGTGATTGGAGGCTTCAAGAACAAATTTTCGAAGCCACTGAAGAATTAGTAAAATTAAGCCAGATGAGAGAATAAAATAATTGTATTTATTATGGTAGTTTTTCTTCTTGTGTCATGTTTACGTATTGTTCACTTGCTGTCCATATTTTTCGACAAAAATTCGTGTCGTTTAGACCTGAAGGTTGCTCGTGGATTTGGTAGTTGTCGAAATATTTTCCTGTGGTTTTTTCTAGTTTTTCCGATGTTGATAAGTGGACTCCCAGTTTTGCTCCATCGTCAATAGGCTTAAATTTGATTTTTTAGATTTTTTCTCGAGTTTATCTTACAGTTTTACCTTTGTTACGACATTTAATATCTTCTTTGCAAAAGGTTTAATAAAATCCTCAAACTTCATCTCACCCTTCGTCTTTAATAGGAATTCGGAATTCATCATTCCAGGATGAAAACAATTCGATGTAACAAAATCATTTTTCATTTTTTCCGCAAAACCCTTCGAGGCTATCATGTTGCACAATTTTGAATTATAGTAAGTTAATGTTGATGATAATAATTCCACAGTAAAAATTTTCGGGTCGTTTAAAGTATCTATTGATAAGTTACTAAAAAATGCTCCACTCGAAGTGACGAAAAGTATCCTGCTTGGAGCGGATTTTTTTAAAACATCTTAAAAAAATATTTTTATAAATTGTTTACATTTACAACAGTTATACCTTTTAAGAGACAAGTGAGCAAAAAAGGTCCAAAATGGTTAACTTGCATTGTAGGGTGAAGACAGTCATCTGTTCTGTCATTACCATGACAAAATATTCCGGCATTGTTAATCATCACATGCAGATGTTTTTCTTTTTCTAAAAACTCTTTGGCGAAACATCTGACTGACGCTAATGAAGCCAAATCGATGTATTTTTCGTGAATATTTTCATTGCCGGTTTTTTCTTTTATTTCTTGTTTCGTAAATGTTAAATCCTGTTTATCCGCCAAAATTATTTTGTATTTTTTACAAGCCAACTTCAAAGCTATGCGATATCCCAAACCTAAATCATTTATCACATACTTAATTATATGGTTAATAACTTTTTTGTTTGGTTCAAAACCACGCACCAGGGAAAAAATATTTTACATTTCTAAGAAAATTTCATTATTGATCATTTTTGCTTGATTCTGTATTTGGTTCTAAAAGTTATACAAGTTATAGTGTTAAACTGTTCACAGCTTGTTGCAATTATTATTAAACAATGATGTTAAATTAATTGAGTAGGTCAGTAATTACGAAATTAATATTATTCACAAATTTATGTTAATTTTGTTTGTTTACTATTATAACAACAATGACAATTTAACAAAAGACTAGACAATTTTAATGGTTAATTTTACCATAAAAACTCTTTAATCAAACCTGTCAAAATTCAATTAAAATTGAAAACTAATAAGTGTAAATCATCCGGCCTATCTTAGGAAGAAATAAATACTTAATAGGTTGTGTTAATTTAATAATCAATATCTCCACCTCTAGACCCAATGCAAGCAAGAATTTATTTTGTGAGACAAAAAGAAGTAGATTCTCCTTAAATTCTAATTTATTATTCTCAGAGAAATAAGAATTTTATGTTATTTGTTCATAAGGTGCTTGTTATTTTCAATTTATTTTTTAAAAAGTAAAATAATGTTTCTCGTAATTACTGGGTGATTTCATATAAGATTGGTGATTTATCTTACCTTCCTTTGCTCCAGTAATAAGCACTGTTTTTTGCAACATTTGTCAATTTGACAGAAATATACTGCTTTGGGTCGCCAATGTTGGGACACCCGGTATATGTTTTTTTCAAATTGAGAATCAGTACATTATAATTTTTTTGTAAAATGCATGCCTAATTAATTCGGCATGTAAATTTTTTTTTTAATATCATATTAAATACAAAAAGACTATTTTATGTACCTATACAGATTTAAATCTCATGAGATACCTATGCATAAACATGAAATTAACCTGATTGTTAGAAAAAAGAATAATAATAAAGCATTACAATAATTAAAAAAAATAATTACGGTGAATGTTATTATGCAAATCAGTTTATATTATAAGTAGAAATAAATATATAAGCGAATTCACAAAGGTATCGACCTGGGCGACCTTAGGCACATATAAGGTGAAGTGACTACAATTTCGGGTATTCATCGACAATAATTGTACTTTTCATTTATTACAATTTTGTGCGTTATTTCGTTACTTTCAAATCATGCTGCTGGTGGTACTGCAGATAATTGTGATTTTCTTTTTGGTTGTTTACCTGTACAACAGGCTTACGTGTGGGGTAATGGAAAGCATAACTTGTTTGGCGGGTAAAACCGCCATTGTGACTGGGGGTAACTCAGGTAGGTATTTTTTTGGATTTACCGAAAATAAGTTAAAAAAAACTATTTCTTGACCTTTCAACGTTTTTATGGTTGTTTTAGTCTGGTGTACGAAAATAAAACATTTGACTAATTTGATAAAAGTATGGTTTTGGAAAATTTTTAACTGCTTTAAAAACTTAAAATTATGTAGCAATTTTAAACTAACAAAACTATGTATATTAATTGTAAAACAATAAAAAGGTTTAAAGGTTTTTTAAATAAATTAAAATATATATTCTATTTTTAGTAAAATTTTATTAAATGTACAATAATTTCCCATAACATAATTTTGCATTTGGATTGTAATCCTGGCGCATTCGCCATTTTTGTAATGATCTTTAAATATACAATAGGTATTAAAATTATTAAAAATCCTAAATTTATATTCATATCAAAACAAAAGCTTTAAATAGTCTTAACGCGATGGATTTTTATAAACAGATTTTTTTAAATGTTTAATTTAATATAATTTAAAAATATATAGAAGTTATCGGCCGGAAAAAATCTGAAAAAAATTGCACTTACTTTTTCAAGCTGCCTTTCGAATAAACTTTTTTTTTAATAAAAAATATATAAAAAACAATTATTTAATGAAAAAAAAAACAAAAAAATTATACTTATGGAATTCTATATTCCGCAAAAAAATTTTTGGATTTTGTCATTTTTTGGGTTCCTCTATTGACCCTCAAAATTTGAAGCAACTCGGATACGTCACCGTTGGTTTTTTATTATGATTTATTTAAAACCGCTTAAAATTATAAACCATCCGATATAATAAATAATTATAAATAAAATGATTATAGTCTACGAGTATAATAAAAAATATATACCATTAAATTATTAAATTTAGTTACGTTTGATTAAAGTGGTTTTTGTTCAAGGATTAGAAAATTTAATTCTATATTTTTTTTTAACTAAATTACGAAGTATGGTTATAAAAACCTGCGCGTGTAATTAAACAAAAAAATTAGCTTGCAAATAAATTATTAAAGTAAAAAAATGTTTAAAGAAATATATTAAATGCAATTAATAAAGTTTTAATTAAAATTAAATTAGATTGATTTTTTTTTAATTTTGGAACTGTGCGATTTTTTAATTTTGATCTACTGTGCGGATGTGTCCTACGATTTTAAATTTATGCTTGTAAGGTCCGTTTCCAATGATCCAATTTTATTCGACTTTGGTCAGTTCTTAATCACCCGAAACATCCCAAGCAGCATTTTAAGTTTAAATAACTACAAATTTACCACTAAAGTCAACTTTAAAGTATTTTTTAAGGTTAACCAAAACGGTTTTATAACGGTATATATACAAATTTGGGGAATGGTTTATTTCGTTATTTTACCTACATAATAACCTTTTTGATCTACTAAGAGAATAACGTAATAAAAACAATATAAATACCACAAATTACTAACTGTTTGCTCTCTCTTTCTAAAACATTGACATTCGTAATTTCTTTGTTCTTTTAATTTATATTTTACAAAATGGTACTTACAAAGTAATAAAGGCCACCCTAGAGTAAAATTAAATATAACTTAAATTGTCAAAAGTTTTATTTCAAAGTAAATTTTTAAGGTAAATTTAACAAAATATTTACTTAAATTAAGTAATATTGCCTATTTACTTAAAATGCTGCTTGGGATGCTAAAATTTCACTCCTAACGCCCCAAAAAAAGAATATCTTCAATAAAATAAATATATGAAAAAAAATTAGGATATACCATGGTGTAACACTTGAGATAAAAATATTATAATACTTGTATTAGACCAAAACATTTTTATTTCTGTCAAAATCCATATAAAAACTTTACATTTTTTTTAACAATTTATATATATATTTATTTATATATTTATTTATTTATATCCAACAGGCACAGGGCCCAATTACAGGATTAAGTTTTATACATTGTATTTATTTTAATTCCAAATCTTTCTCAATCCATATCCATATTTATCTCTATCCAAAATCTACATCCCCATCTTGATAATTGTCCTCATTTCACGTTTTCATAATCATTATTACCTTCTAAATCAATAATTTAAATCCATTTAGCAAAAATACTTATTAATAAATTTTTTTTAGGAATTGGCCTACAAGTAGTGAAAATCCTGGCCTCCAGAGGATGCAGGATCATAATAGCCGACAAGGTCGATTCAGAAAAAAGCAAGCGAGAAGTCATAAACGAGACCGGCAACCCAAACATTCTAACAAAACATTTGGACTTGTCGTCTTTTGAATCGATACGAGAATTTGCCGCCGACATAAAAATAACCGAGCCCAAGCTGGATATTTTAGTAAATAATGCTGGAGTTGGGGCTTTTTACGACCAAACTACGAAAGATGGGATTAATGCTTTGATGCAAATTAATTATTTCGGACCCTTTTTGCTAACACATTTGTTAACAGGTACATAAGACCTAAAGAGTTTATTTATATAATACATACATGTACGATATGATTATTTTTTAGATTTGTTAAAAAAATCTTCTCCAAGCAGGATAGTATTCACGAGTTCTTGCTTGGCATTTACAACAAATCTTAGCGAATCGCTGGAAAATTTCAAAAACCCTGAAACTTCGAAATGGTCCATCATACCCAACTCCTTGATTTACACGTATGGAAACTCAAAATTGGCAACCCTGATTGCCTCTGATGAGATTGGAAATAGGCTTAAGGGTACTGGAGTAACCAGTAACTCCTGTCATCCTGGTGCTTGCAGGACGAATATTTTTGTTACCAGCCTAAAGGGTTACAATTTTTTCTTTTATTTTACCGAGTTTTGGAACTTTATAACTTCTAAGGTAATTTAACAAGTCCAGTGAAAGTACTTAAAAATCCTTTTGGAATTGTTTTAATATTCTTTCTTATCTTCGAGAAATCACTAGTCAAAATTTATGAGTTTTGTTTTGGTGGAAATTTTATTCATCGTGAAGATACTGAAGAAATTTAAAAACAATTGAAAGAAAAAGAGTACTTTTAGATGGTATAAAGAATTTTTAAAACAAAATATTCAAATTCGTCTTTAAAACATTTTTCTTTTTTTAGACGGTTTGGAATGCGGCTCAAACTACAGTACATTTGGCAACATCTAAAAATGTAGAAAACATAACTTCGAATTACTTTTGGGACTGTAAACCTTTCTATAAACCATTTTTGGCGAAAAATCCTGCATTTTGTGCTAAACTTTTCGAAACCACTGAAAATATTGTTGGGTTGAAGGAAAGTGAAAAAATTGTTAAATCATAATTAATATTTTGTTTTGAATAAAATTATTTTAATACGTTATTGTTTATTTTTTATTTTAATCTAATAATTTACTAATATTAGCAAAACATAACAATAGATTGATGGTATTTTTTTTCTTACAATTAGAAGTGTTTACCGGCGAAGAGTTCTTTTAATATACAAGACCAAAAAATAAAACGTTTTAAAATTTAATTTACAAATTTGTTTATTCTATTTATAAATGTCCAGGTATAAAAAACCTTTTTAAAGTTTACTATAGCCAATTTTTAATATGACTTTAGCTAATTTTATTATATTGATTGTTTTTATATACTTTTTTAAATTATTTTAATTTTATTGTAATTGCTCTAATAATATTATATAATATATTAATATAAACATTAACCTTTACCAAACTTTAAACTTTAAACCACAAAAAGAAATGAAAAGATCACTTCAATATTCTTATCTAAAACAAAAACACGTGTATTTTGCTATTTCATTAGTATAATACCAAAAATAATTTCCCAATCAATTTAGGAAAATTTGCGATAATCCAACGTTTAAAACAATTAATTTTGTTTATCTTCAACCGGTCAATAATTTAAACTTTATTGTTGTCAACAATCGTTACTAAAGTGATTGATTATGGCCAAGGCACTTAAAAACAATTTAGGCCAATCGGGTGAGGTTATTCATGGTCTAGGCTGTAAAATTAATTATTCGGTACTTTGAACCAATAAAAAAATCGAGTTTTGTCAAATTTATCTACCTCAGTTTCTACTTTTAATAATTATACTTTTTATGTATTATTTAAGAAATAAAATTGTGTAATTAAAATTAATTATTTATTATATTATAAAAAAATATATCATGTCCTATTTTAAAAAGATTTGCAAAAACATTGTAAAATAAATATTTGTAATTATCCCGATAAATATTTATTGAAAGAGGAAAAATAAATATTGTTGTATCAATCACTTTTAAAGATGTTAACCACCTTAATACATAATAAATGTCAATTTGCAACATTGTAAGCAAATTTATTACAAAAAATAAATTAAGTTAAGTAGATAATTTTGATCGCTTTACTTTACTTAAAATATAATTGTTTTGTTGTTAAAAAATAAAAACATTGTTTCCTAATGTTTGTAATTAATACGCTAATAATGGTGTTAAAGCTTACATTTTAAGTAATGTTTCAGACTGAATATTTATTATATTATTTTACATATAATACAGCTTATTTTTGATTACTTTTAATTTTTTAATTTGGACTTTGAGAAGGTCAATATTTAGGGGAGTTATTGTTAACATATTGGCAGGCCTTAAATATCTGTCATTATTTAAGAACTTAACTTGATCCTCCAGATATATTATACTCAAAATTAAATCGATATGTCGAATTATAATATGTTTATTAAATTATTAATAACCTAATAATACGAAAGCAAAAATGATAAAAATTGTTTACTTATTAAAAAAACATATCAACTTTTTATTTAAATATACAATTTAGTATTAAATATAAGTTCTTGTGTATCAGGTTAAACAATTTTTTTACTTTAATTTAAGCATTGCACGTAATAAACTAATTAAAATAGTTTATCAGGATTAATTATGTCGAAAAGTATTATAAAAAACAAATATTCAATGAAAACTTTGACGCTCGTGTTTTTTTTATAAGCGAGTATATAACAAATCGTAATCTTCCAAATGGGTTTTATTTTCTTCGAATCACTGCCCAAACAAGTCGTTTAAGAAAACTTTAAGTCCCGTGGTGTGATGTTGGTCTTTATTTTGAGCGCAGTGCTTTTGGTTGCTTTTTTTCTTTTTATTTTTAACAAACTGACTCTTGGTATTTCCGATAGTGCTGTTTGTTTGGTGGGAAAAACTGCCATTGTCACAGGGGGAAATGCAGGTAGTTTTTTATATTTTATATATTTTTTAAAAATGTTTGTTAAATTACTACATTTTTACTAAGCAGTTGCTTAGTAAAATTACAAAATGCTGTATTGTATTGCAATTTTAATACGCTTTTGTTGTAATATTACATTTTGTTATAGCCAAAGTACTAAACAGGTTCCAATGTTTTTGTGTTTGTCAGATACTTATAGTAATTTTACAATTCTGTATTGTCCAATTGAATTTTAAATTTTGTAAAATTTCTATACATATTCGAAATTTAATTTTACTAAGATAATCAATAAAATTACTAACCAAAATTTGCTATTTGAATTACAATGAGTGTTTGGAAATATACAAATCATTATTTATTTTATACAACTTCTGTTTGCATTTTTACTATATATCCTTTTAATCATGTAAAATGTTAAATTTTTTTGTAAAAATTACAATTGTTTTGCAAAACAAAGGATGAGTAAAATTACAAATCAGTGTATCCCAATACAAAATTCCAAGACATGTTGGGAAATCTACTAAGATAAGTTGTAATTTTACAATCTATATGTATAAATCCTACACGTATTGTAATTTTACTAAACATTTTGACAGTTTCTAATAAAAAGCATCTTAGATTTACAAACGATGTTTGTAATTTGATTTTTTATGTGATGATGTTCTTTCATCTCGCCTCAGTTGACTTAGGTGGACAGTATATATATATAGGTTTTTATATGCAGGTTTTTTTTTCGTAGAATAATTACAATAGCATCATTCGTAAATTACTAAATATTTTTAGTGTAATTTGTTGTAAAAAATAACAATTATTTGTATTGTAACATTGCGAAACGAAAAAACTGAGTTGAAATGAATTTTATAGAATAATTACAATACACCATTTTAAAATTACTGAACAAATTTTTAATAAATGCTTAGTGAATTTCAACAAAGGTTTTGTAATTTTCCCAAATTGAGTTGTAATAAATCGTGAAGTGAATTTACAAAACTGAGTTTTATTATTACTATATTGTGGTGCGTAAAAACTTCCTAAACATGTTTAGTAAAATTAAAATAGAAATTTTTAACAGTGCAGTTTGAAAGTAAAAGTAAAATTTGGCTTAATTATCGTAAATACTTTGAATATTGTTGTTTAAATCCGCATTTCTCAATCATAGATATGCAATTGGTTAATTTTCAGGAATTGGTTATCACATAGTAAGAATCCTAGCCTCAAGAGGATGTAGGATAATAATAGCAGACAGAGATAACTCTGACAAAACCCGAGAAAAACTTATAAATGAAACGAAAAATCCCAATATAATTTCCAAGCACTTGGATCTGGCTAGTTTTGAGTCTATACGAAAATTCGCTGAAGAGTTTAATAATTGCGAAGAAAGACTGGATATTTTGATAAACAATGCTGGAGTTGGAAAATCCTTCACAGACAAAACTGTGGATGGTTTTAACGATGTGGTTCAAATTAATCATTTGGGACCTTTCCTTTTAACGCATTTGCTTATGGGTAAGAAGTTTTCTCTACTAACATATTATATATATCTAACTATTACAGACAAACTAAAAAAATGTGCGCCCAGCAGAATAGTAAACACGAGCTCTTCACTGGCATTCACGAACAACTTGACCAAAGAAAATTTCCTGACGCACCAAAATTTCGAGTACTGGATAATACCTTTCAACATGATGACCAACTACAGCAACACGAAATTGGAGGTGCTAATGACGTCCAACATAATGGCGGGAAAATTGAAAGGGACCGGAGTTACATGCAACGCTGTACATCCCGGAATAGCCAGGACGGATTTGATACAAAAGTCCATGCCTACGAATTATTTTGCGCTTTGGTGGACCATTGGATATAATTTAATAACAGCCAAGGTAAGATTTTTAATATTTTAAAGTGAGTGTAAAACAATTTCTTCTAGAATCCTTGGGAGGCCGCTCAGAACACAGTACACGTGGCAACTGCGCATGAGCTCGAAAACGTTACGGGTAAATACTTTTGGGATTGCAAGGTATTTCCGTTTTTACCAAAACCGGCGCAGAATATGGAATTTTCCAGATGGGTATACGAAGAAAGCGAAAAATTGGTTAAATTGAAGGAAAGCGAAAAATTGTAAATTGTCACTCTTAACATATTTTTAAAGAATTCAATAAAATTAAGTAAATACATACCTGTTTTTCTCTAGGTAGCCAGGGATTTTTTATATTTAAAAGTAATAAAAAACACCTATTAAAAACTTTATTTTTTATGAAGCTGCAACGTCCATTAAAGCTAAAGCAGTCACTGCTTTCTGATGACCTGCATAATGCCTTTCCATTACCCCAGTATTTACATTCCATAACCTGGCATAACAATCTGAAGAGGCTGAAAAAGAATCAACCTAAATTCAAAAGCTTTAGCAGAAAGTCTAAGAAGACTAAACAGTTCAGTCTTTAAGCTAAATTTTTAAAGACACAGGCACAATCCACACAACAAGGTCTGTTCTATCTCATACTAAAAATACTAAAAATTACTGCAACACTGCACAGAGTTTAACGGCGGCCATTTTTGTTGTTTACAATTCTTGTGCTTTGGATTTGTGCGGTTTAATAATCGTTTTAAACGTTGTTTCTTACAAAGGCACTTGTCAGCCTCAAATGAGGCCTTAAAGTGTTAAGGACAACCATTTTACTCCTCTTTTGTAAAATTAAACCTTATTCTATCAAAGCTGTCATCAAACTGTCAAACACAAATGCTGTCAAATGCTTGGCATTTAATGCTGTCAAATGTCAATATTAAGTTTAATTTGAGGGTTATGGAAAATGGCAGTGATTTTTAATATATTTGTAGTGTGTGGATTGTGGACACAGGTACCTATTAAAAAAATTATCTTACCAGTAAAAACATATTGTGAATCAGCACTAAAGGCAGCATCCCACACCCATCTCTGACTATCTTGTTTTAATTCTTGCAGCAAAGTAAAATTGGGAACAGACCATATTTTCGCTGTTTGATCAGCAGATGTAGTAATCAAATACCTAAAAAACACTTCAACATTTTTAAAACAAAATATTATAAAACTTACTCAGAGTTTGGACTGAAATTGCACTTCAAAGCATGTTTTTTATGTGCTTCAAACTTGTGTTTTGGCTGTAAGTTTGTAGGTGTGTCAGTACTGCCATATTCTAAGCTCCATATGTAACATCTACCTTTATTATTCACTGACGCCATATAATTGCAAGTAGCGTCTATATCCAAGTCTAAAATCATTGCATCTGGCTCTGGAATCTTAAAAAAATACAGATAGGTAACTAAATTTTACTACACATTAGTAATATACTTACCAATTCCTCAAAAGTATTTGTTCTAAGATCCCACCTATAAATAACGCCATTTTGATCCCCCATAAACAACTCAACCTGATTAGGATGCAAACAAATACAAGTTATGGGAGCTTGAACTTCAAAAATTTTAGGACACGATGAATTGTTTCTGGATCTTATGTCCCATATTCTAGCCCTACCATCTTCACCCCCGGAATACATCCACCTACCATCTGCATTAAAACCCACACAAGTTACATTTTTACTTGTTCCTTCATAGTTAATTATTGCATTTTGATTATTTGATGTTAAGTCGTACATGTAAATATGCTGATAGCTGGCAGTGGTGAGGTGTTTTTTGTCTGGCGTAATCTTTAGTGCATTTATTTGCTACAATTTGTATTAAAACATCAAAAATATGAGAGTAAATAATAATAATTTACCGATTCTCCATGTTGCATCGTTCTTTGACATATTCCTGTATGCGTTTGCCATAATTTTATGGTATGATCATAACCACCAGTGGCTAGTATAATTTGGTCACTCTCTGTTTTATCTTTGTTCATGTTTAAGTTAAAATATCACAGATTTAGGGCGTTTTGAGGATGTTATTGTAAACATAACCTCACTTTTTTGACGGTGCTGTCGCCATATTTGGGACACTGGAACTACTTTAGCGCTGTAGATTTTTGTTTAAAATAATAATAATTATTATGCATCTATGTTATGCATTTAAAAATTGTGCCGAATTTACTTATATCGGTTAATATTTTTAAAATAAAACAATAATTGGTTCAAAAATATATATTTACAATTAAAAAATGTACAAAATTAACTCAAAACAGCCTCATTTCTTTGTTTAACGTATCTTAAAAGCCTAAAAACTGAAGAAGGAGTCACTCCAGGTATTCTACTGGCGGCTGCAATCTAAAAAACACCAAATAAAACTCAAAAATCACAAAAACGCCATTTTTCTTACAGTTTGAGGTTGGATTGTCAACAATTTCTCTCTCTCCTCGAAACTCAAGTTCAAAGATTGCGAATTGTAATCCAAATTTCTCGGGATAACCAATTTTTCGTCTCTTCGTACTTCTTTGACTTCCTCGGCCTGTTCTGCAGCTGCGTGCTCGTAGAGAGCTTCAATGTGAAGCCGATTTTCCAAGTTTGGATCTTCGGTAAGGATTTTTAACTCTGGCGCCGCTTTGGATAAGTTTCCAATCGAAATGCCTTCGTTAAATAAGTCTATCATGTCGAATGCGCTGTAAAATGACAAGTGTGAGGTTTGGTGTGGCACAAGGGTCCATTCTTGGACCTCTAGAGTTGGCATTTTGTTTGGAGACTTACGATTTCGGTAGATGGCTACGAGATGGCGTCAGATTCGACAGTTCTCTCCATTGGTGGACGGATTTTTTTATGTTTTTGAGTAAATTGATGCCGTTTTTTAAATCATCTCGTACTTTAAGCGTTTTATCGAGTCTTGTTTTGGACACACAACCAATATTAAAGCCTTAAATAAGATAATAAACAACGAGAATAGTTTTTATTTTTTAATAACCTTTTTCTGTTAATCTTTGGTCCGCGTTATCAGGTCTTAACGTTAAACGGAACTCGGCCCTGCTGGTAAACATTCTATAAGGTTCATTTGTTCCTAAAGTTGTCAAATCATCTATTAAAACGCCTATGTAACCTTCAGTTCTACTTATAATTAAAGGATTTTTGTCAAGGGCCTTAAAAAATGAATACAAAAAACATTTAATGGCGAATTTTTATCTTACCTTAGCAGCTGCGTTTATTCCAGCTACAATGCCTTGAGCGGCAGCCTCTTCATACCCAGTGGTGCCGTTTATTTGGCCACCCAAAAAAAGATTATTGACTTTTTTGAGTTCTAAGGTGTTTTGTAACTCTCTAGGGTCAACAAAGTCGTACTCCACACCATATCCTATGGGTTTTATTAAAATTTCGCATATTTTTGTATGAATATTGTTTTTACCTGGTCTTATTATTTCGGCGTTCTCCAAACCAGGTACAGTTCTAACCAGTTGTACTTGTAATTCTTCAGGTAGTGTACAAGACATACCATTAGGGTATATAACGTTGCTGTGGAGGCCTTCTGGTTCCAACCAGATTTGGTGGGATCTACCACTGAACTTTAACACTTTGGATTCTATGCTTGGACAGTACCTTGGGAAATAACTGTATTAAAAATCCTTAAATTGATTATTTTCACAAACCTGGGACCATTCACTTCCTCACTGACATGTCTATTAACATGTAGATTATTTTTAACAATATTTTCTATTGCAGATGTTGTTCTAGTCAAAAAACAAACCAACTGCTCTTCAGGCTAAAATATATTTAAAAATCAGGGTTAAAAATATCAATATTTATCAACATCTTCATATTTATTTTTTTATTTATTTCATTGAAGGTTTTGGTCAAACACTAATTATATTAGCCAAAATAAAATATTTTTAATAAATTTATTTAAAAAAGTAAACAAAACCCTAGGGTGAGCCAATTTGCTTACAAATAAAACAAACCCGGGTTTGGCCAATAAACAGTTTATTGTATTTATTCCCTTACCTTTATCCAAACCTTTTCATTCATAAAAGAAAAAGGTTGGGGTGGATTATCACCTTTCTGTGTATCACAAACTTTGTAGTTTATAGTGTCAGCTTTTAACCTAGGGGGCGTACCTGTCTTAAGCCTGCTCATTCTTAGATTTAGAGATTCTAAAGTATTGGCAAGACCTTAAAAATATTTAATTATTTGTTGTTAATAGTTAGGATATATGAAAAACCTATTGCAGGTTGATCTCCTATTCTTCCAGCTGGGTATACTTTAAGACCAATATTAATTTGACCCTTTAAAAAAGTGCCTGTGGTTATAACAACGCTTTTTGACCTTATTTTTGTCCCATCATCTATATAAGACATATTATTAGAAACATAAATGGATATTTTTAAATTTTACTTCTTACTCAAAATAATTCCACCACAATCAACTATAGATTGATTATTTACACTTGTAACAGGATTTTCAATAATCAAATCCTCAACAGGGGCTACCAAAACATCTAAATTTGGGGTATTGACAAACAATTCCTTTTGTATATGCAATTTATACAAATCCCTGTCTATTTGTGCCCTATAACCCCACACAGCAGGACCTTTCCTTCGATTTAAAACCTTAAAACACCCAAAATAAACACAAAATCACATAATAAAACCCTAAAATGTATACTTTATACTGAATTCCAGACATATCACATATTCGACCACAAATTCCATCTAAAGCATCAATTTCCCGCATTAAATGCCCCTTGCCAATACCACCAAAAGAAGGATTACATGACATTTCACCTAAAATTAACCCACAACATTTAAAAAACCCTACGCATCATATTTCTCACCAACAGTCTCCTTTTTATGTGTTACCAATAGCGTATTGGCCCCCATTCTAGCCGCTGCAGCACAAGCTTCACTGCCAGCATGTCCGCCACCAACAACAATAACATCGTAACACTTTTCCGTCGAAAATTTACGCAAAATCGCTTGGTTTTTGAGTAGTTTTGTGGTGTTTTTGAATGCATACATTTTGAGGTTATACGAATGAGGTTAGGGCTTCCTGACAGCTGTCATCTAGGTGGAAAGTTAGGTTAGATTAAAAAATTATAATAAAAATCGTTGTAATATCTGATTTAGGTATCAAAATGTATAGTTTGTTTGTGATTTTTGTAGTGGTTTATGTTATAGTTGAATATTTTATTATTGTTTACGCAAAATAAAACATTTTTAAATATTCAGAGTGCCAACCGTACAAAACAAACTTTTTATTTTATTTTAGTTTATATTTTCTTGGTATTTACAATTATTTTTTAATAAAACCTATAAAATACAGCTTGTTTAATAATATTTTGTAAATTAAGTTTGTAATTATATCGTATTTATTTTAAAAATCCAATTGGAAAAAAACATTATTGATCCTGTCTATTGGCATTACTGCAAAAATAGTTGACGTATAAAGTGGGTGGAAAATGGCTGATATAAAAAATCGGCTATTTTAGATTTACTTTTGAAGTCTCATGCACAATTTATAAATTAGGTAATTTGTTTTACTATATTTCATTTAAAAGTGTAATATATATTTAGTGGGAAAAGCAGTTTAATTTCGTAAATAATGGTCCAATTTAGTTTGATTAATTTATCAATTTAATCTTATTAGAAGAAGTTATTGTGAGATGTTCTTGTATTTATATGATTGCTTGGTAAAAATAAAATCGTCTAAATAGAATTTTTAATATTTATTTTTAGTTGGATAGTTTGAAAACTCGCCAAAATGATTGGGGGTTTATTTGTGTACAACCACAAGGGTGAGGTGCTTATATCAAGAGTATATCGTGATGATATTGGCCGAAATGCTGTCGATGCGTTTCGCGTCAATGTTATCCATGCTAGACAGCAAGTACGATCACCTGTTACAAACATAGCTCGAACATCGTTTTTCCATATTAAGGTTTGTAGATTGGTGTTTTGTGAGGATTTAAGTAGATTTTATGGGGTTTTTAGAGAGCTAACATATGGATTGCTGCTGTAACCAAACAAAACGTTAATGCTGCCATGGTGTTTGAGTTCTTACTGAAAATTATTGAAGTTATGCAGAATTACTTTGGCAAAATTTCCGAAGAAAACATTAAGAATAATTTCGTCTTAATCTACGAGCTTCTCGATGGTAAAACATATGATACATAAAACAAACAAAAAAACATTATTTTGTTCTAGAAATCCTCGACTTTGGTTACCCTCAGAACACTGATACAGGTGTTTTGAAGACATTCATTACTCAGCAAGGTATTAAGTCGGCAACAAAGGAAGAACAAGCTCAGATAACCTCTCAGGTCACTGGTCAGATTGGTTGGAGAAGGGAGGGTATCAAATACAGGAGGAATGAGCTGTTTTTGGATGTTTTGGAGTATGTCAATCTCCTCATGTCTCCACAAGGTAAGAAAAATACTTTTTTAGTTGTTAAAAATCAAGAAAATTGTGCTTTTCTATGTTTCTCAAGTTTTAAAAGTAAACACTTATTTTGAATCAAAATAAGTTTATTAATATCTTTACAAATAATATTAAATGTTTAAGTTACCAAGTTATGAAAACAAAATTAATGTTGTCATTTTATTTAAAAAACAGACATTTTTAAAAAATGCCATTATATTTTAAAAATTCAAAGTAATAGTTGAAAGTTTTAATACATTTAGTAACCAAAATATTGACAAAATATTAAATATAATTAAAACTAGTTTACAAAAAATTAATAGTTTTTTTAAATATGGTAATAAATTTTTGTACCAAAACTGGGTACATGATTCATGAAATATTTTAGTTTTTTTATATTTCTTATTTTTTATTACCTTCATCATTAATTTTGAACAATTCATATTTTATTTTATAATTTTTATAGTTAAAGGTTTTTTAAACATATAAACTTTTTGTTTGGAATATAATTTCTGACAATGAAAAATTTTTGGAAGGGATATGTCATACTCATTTGATAATAATTGTATTCCAATGAGTTATAAAATTATTTAAAAAAAAGAACCAATTTTTCAGTGATAGAAGTCAAAAAAAAAATTTTTAATCACACCAATGTACATTTGATAGTATCAAATTGATACTATATTTTTTTAAACGATTTATTATAAATATACACAACATTTTCTTTCAAAAAGCAACATAAGGCATTGAACTAAAACATTAAAAAGAATCTCCAGTTAAAAAGCTCCTTTTCTTTGGGACAAGTTCTTAAAAATTAAAAATTGATTTCAGTAGTATTTTTTTATATTAGGATTATTAATATTTTATAATTTTTTTTACGTTTTTAGCATTTTGTGAATGTTTTTGTGGGTATATTTTACCAATATTTTATTTTATAAATCACATATTTTTTACAACTATTTTTTTCTTAAAATTTACTACCTACCATTTACATTTTTACAAATTGCTAGGATTTTTTGACAAAATTTACATTTCTTCATAATTTTTGACGATTTTAGATGCTTTTTAATACCTAACATATTTTATGCTAAAATAATTTACCTTTTTACAATTTTACATTTTAAAATTATATTGTAATCTATTACGATTTTAAATTTTTTTCCCGCAATTTTGTTTCATAAAATTATTTTTTTTATAAAAACAATTGTTTTAAATTATTTTTTTCAAAAATTTGACACAATTTCATCAAGTTTTAAATATTGCTTTGCAAAATTCTCATTTTTACAATTGACTGATTTTCTTTCACAATTTACATTTTTCATATTTTTTACGTTAATGATTTTTCAATAAAATTACAACTAAATAATTTTCTAGATTTATTTTTGTACAATTTACCATGATTTTCTTTTATAATTTATATTTTTCAATACTTGAACGTTTAACGCTTTTAGGATATTGTTAATAATTTTTTAATAATGAAATTTAGGATGAAATTTAACTGTTTTAAGTTACTACGAGAATTTATAATTTACATATTTTTGCCGCGATTGTTTTTATAATATTACTTTTTGGGAAAAATGGATTGTACTATATTTTTTTAAACGATTTATTATAAATATACAGAAAATTTTCTTTCAAAAATAAAATACAAGTTTCTCTAGCAACATAAGTGATTGAACTAAAACATTAAAAAGAATCTTGAGTTGAAGAGGTGCTTTTGTTTAGGGCAAGTTCTCTCGGCGCACGTGGCCGGCAAGGTGGTGATGAAGTCGTACTTGTCGGGCATGCCCGAGTGCAAGTTCGGCATCAACGACAAGATCGTGATGGAGGCGAAAGGCAAGGGCGGCATAAGTTCCACGACCGATTCCGATCCGGCTAACCGGTCCGGCAAGCCGGTCGTCGTCATCGACGACTGCCAGTTCCACCAGTGCGTCAAGCTGAGCAAATTCGAGACCGAACATTCCATTTCGTTTATACCGCCGGACGGAGAATTCGAACTCATGAGGTCAGTGCTTTTTACATTTAAGTTCAGTACCTAGTATTTTTCCATCAAGAATATTAATGTTTTATTAACTTTTTTAGCATTTTTTTAATTTTTATTTTGTGGGTAGGTATATTTTACCAAGATTTTATTTTATAATTTACATATTTTTACAATTTATGCTTTTTTATAATTTTTTTCTTAAAATTTATTACCATTAACATTTTTTAACATAATTTTTGACATTTTTAGATTTTGTTATTCTTTTTTATTAACAAATTTTAAGCTTAAATAATTTACATTTTATATATTTTTTTATGTTTTTAGCATTTTTTGAATATTTTTTCAATTTTAATTTTTTTTATAATTTTTTTCTTAAAATTAACTACATTAACATTTTTAACATAATTTGACGTTGATAGATTTTAAGCTTAAATAATTTACATTTTCTAATTTTTTTACGTTTTTAGCATTTTGTGAATGTTTTCTTTTATATATTTGGGTATATTTTACCAAGATTTTATTTTATAATTTACATATTTTTTTAATTTTAATTTTTTTATAATTTTTTTCTTAAAATTTACTACCATTTACATTTTTTATCATAATTTTTGACATTTTTAGATTTTGTTAATGTTTTTAATAACAAATTTTAACCTTAAATAACAAACATTTTATAATTTTTTTTACGTTTTTAGCATTTTATATTTTCTGGGTATATTTTACCAAGATTTTATTTTATAATTTAGATATTTTTTACAGCGATTTTTTTAATTTTAATTTTTTTATCATAATTTACATTTTTTATAGTTTTTGACATTTTTAGATTTTGTTTTTTTAATTACAAATTTTAAAAATGAATTCTTATTTATTACGATTTTACATATTTTTGCCGAAATTTTGTTTCATAATATTATTTTTTTATAAAATTTATTGTTATTTTTGCAAAAATTTTCAAAAACTTCATCAAGTTCTAAATATTGCTTTGCAAAATTCACATTTTTAAAATTGACTTTGATTTTCTTTCACAATTTACATTTTTCATATTTTTTTAATGATTTTCAATAACGAAATTGTTATTTTTAAAATTACAATGATATTTCATCTTTTAGATATTTTTTTTCTACAATTTACCATGATTTTCTTTTATAATTTATATATATTTTTGTACCTAATTGTTTATTATTTTTTAATAATGCCTTTACATATTAAAATTTAACTGTTATAAGTTACTACGATTTAAATTTATAATTTACACATTTTTTGCCGCGATTTTGTTTCATAATACTTTTTTATTATTATTATTTTTGGTTTTTGGGGGACATTGGACTGACCCAAACTAAGTACAACCCGGAATCCCACTAAACCAGGGATTTAGTAATACCCCCACCAATTCAAAGTTCGGACACTGCAGTCCGCAATTGTTCGCCCCACTGTGCGAAACCTTTTCTTCAGTCTAGGGTCGAGAACCATCGATAGATAGTTTTCGCTAGTCGGCAATGTGACTACCGATAGTTAACAATGTTTTTTTTGTTTATAACGAATTATGCGAAAATTATCTGTAAATGAAAGTCTTATTAAAATAGTGGTGTATTGGCATGTTTATTGTTGATGAATTGAACTTTTTGTTTATGTTAACGTCTATTGCGTATCATGGCTGTTTGTTTAACTTTGGTTTTGTGGGAATTCTCTTTTTCTTGTTTGGCTGTTTTGTTTTCCTGGTTTAGATGCGTTGAAGAAGCTTAACCTCTTCGAGAAAATGCAAGATTAGTTTCTTAGTAGATAATGCAAATTAAATCATGCTGGTTAAAGCTATTGAACTTATCTTTTGTTGCAAATTAGGGAGACTGGTACATTGATTTTATCTGCACAGGTGGTGTAACTGATTTCTTGCATTCTTCACTTGTTGTATTGCATTGCACTACTGTATTAGCGCTTTGCTGATACCTTGGTTTACCTGCACAGGCTCTAATTGCCCACTGTGTATGTCTGCATCTTATGATGTATTTTAAAATTTTTGAACATATGGAACAAAATGCAAAAAAGTTTTTTTCTTCAGATATCGAACAACAAAAGACATATCGTTGCCATTCCGCGTCATCCCTCTGGTACGCGAAGTAGGTCGCACGAAAATGGAGGTTAAAGTCGTCTTAAAGAGCAACTTTAAACCCTCTCTATTGGGTCAGAAAATCGAGGTTAAAATCCCAACACCGCTTAACACTTCCGGAGTGCAGTTGATCTGTCTCAAGGGAAAAGCCAAATACAAAGCTTCGGAAAACGCCATTGTTTGGAAGTAAGTCCTCTATATTTAAAAAAAATGGGATACAAATAGTTTTTCTCTCTGCAGGATAAAACGTATGGCCGGTATGAAGGAAACGCAGCTCTCTGCCGAGATTGAACTTCTAGAAACTGACACGAAGAAAAAATGGACGAGACCGCCGATTTCCATGAACTTTGAAGTTCCATTCGCGCCCTCTGGCTTCAAAGTGCGGTATCTAAAGGTCTTTGAACCTAAACTCAACTATTCTGACCACGATGTTATAAAATGGGTGAGATATATTGGAAGGAGCGGACTTTATGAGACGAGATGTTAGATCAGAATTGGTTTTTCTAGGTGCATATTTATGCACTGCTTTATAAATATTCCTTTAAATTAAATCGAATTAATATATTTATCATTTGTCCCATGGTTTTTAGATCTAGGCAATTTAATCCATATTTTTTTAAAAATAATCTTAAGTTTAAAAATGTTATAAGTACTCATTTAAGAGCCTTGGTTTAAACTAGCTGTAATTATTGATATAAATTTATCTTGATGTGGAGAAATAACACAAGTTGTAGAAATTATATGTATATTTGTGAAATGTAATGTTAAAGCTTGGAAATGTTGTAGCCCAATAAATTAATTAAAGTTTTACACGGGTTTTATTTCAGGTAAATAAATACAATAACAACATAATACTTTGTTTATTGTGTAAATAAAAAATAACATAAAATAAATAATATTAAATATAGTCTCTGGTTAAAATAAGCAAAAAGCCTATAGGTATAATACTGAAAAACAGGAACAAAAAGTACGTATATAATCACAATAAAAAAAATAATTTTTCCATTATACTAATAAAAAAACAATACTTAGTCAATTAATGGCAAATCCTCGACTTCCCCCATCTCCGTAATATTTTCATCGTCGATAACATAACTGACGATGAATTTTATCGAAACGCTCATTTTATTTGGGTTCGCCAACAGAATTACCTGCGTTATTGCAGTGGGGGGCAAAAAAGCGTTGTAAGTTGGAAGATTTGTTGTCGAGGGGGGCTGAAGTTTAATTTTACAACCCTAAAAATACATTTGGTTAGTTCATGCTCTACATAAAATGTTAAGGTCGACAAAGTGAACTTTTTTAATTGACACCCCAGTAAAGGTCCTAATTTTGTCCAACCATTGGACTCCAATGGTGAATGGGTATTTTGTTTAAGCCACTGGGCGTTAATACTTGTAGTGGCTTAATAATAATTAAAATGTATATATTGTCCAGGACTATTAATGACCAGTAACTTGCAAATTAAAAGAAGAAAAAGTTTCGTGATTATTGCTTATCTTTTTTAAACCAAATGGATGCTATTCTCAAAGACAGGAAAATTAACTACTAGATTTTTCACAAAAAGGTTTAACTAGCAAATTTTGATTTTTCGTTTTTTTTATTTCTGAATTTTAATCTGCTTAGCTAAACATAATGTGTGATTTAATATTTGTAAAACCAAAAACGTTACTTTTTTACTCCAAAAATGTCCATACTCATTGAGGCATTTGGCATAACTTCATCAAAATGAAGTTTTGCCCTTAAAAGTTTTTTTTACTTTAGAATCTGATATTATTTTTGGCATAGTAATTTTTTTATATTGATATTAGGTATACCTATATATATACATATAATAATTAACAAGTAAATTATCAATAATAAATATTACCGTCAATTTGAGTGTATTTAATTTAATTATAAGGTCTCAGCAGAAGTACAATTTTTTAAATACTAAAAATACTAAATTAAAGTGGCATAAGCTACCAACTTAATAAAAAAACACGAGTCCAAATTAAAAAAATTAACTGTATGTGTTTGCTGGGATTTTTATAAGTTGGTACAAAAAAAGCTATGATGGCAAAAAATATATGCATAATAAAAACACCATTTTTATGTTAAAAAATATTACTTACTTTTGAGACTATGGCCTGGCAAAGATAGTTACTCAATGGCAACTCACTTTTACTAATTGTTGTAATCACATAAACAAAAACATTTTCCTTGGGTTTGTCTTTGGCTGAATGCAGAGTTACCGTCAATCCATTTCTATCATCTATAATCACAATTGGAGGTAGATTACTGGGTTTTATATTCTCCAGTTTTACATTAACATCTTTAAGATTGACTTCAACTTTTTGAGGGCTCTCTTGTTCCAAATTATTTCCGTTAATCGGATCTTCGTTTGCATCGATTAGTTTTTCATCTGTGATGTCCACTAGATAATCATCAGATTCCGCGAGATCATTTTTAGCCGATTTCGGAGATTTGCTATTGGAGGATGTACCCATGAGGTACGTCAGGTCTAAGTCCTCGAGTTTTTTGGTCGGTTTGCTGTCTTTGGAGTCTTGTTTTGTCAAGAGATTCATTGGAGTTTTGTCCATGTTTCTAAAATTGCCTAGCTTCCCCAAGTTCTCCTTGATTAACTGCTCACTCAAGACGTCCAAATCATCGAGACCCTTGTACTGATCATTTTTGCCCTTTCCGTTACCGCCGTTGGGAACTTGCTCGGGCTGAAGCACTTCCGCGTCGTTCGGTACTTCACACGAAGCGAAAATGTCGCACAGAACGTCGACGTTGCCGGTTTTACTCGTGCTACATTCGGTAGGTTCCAAGCGGTCGATTTCGAGCAAATTTTTGGTTGTGCTTTCGGGAATTTCTTTCTTTACAATTATTTTTTGGTATTTGTGGAGGGCGGCTCGTAATTCGTCGCTTGTCTCGAATACTTCCACTGAAATTTCGCAAAAATGTTATGAAGTGTTTTTTGGTTATAACTCCGAAAAGTTACAAAGTTTAAATTTCAACACTATTTTTGGAAGATTTACCTTAAAGTTTAATAGTTTTATTTAGACAAAACAAAATTTTACTTATTTTATTATTAACCAAAAAACTAGTGGACTTATAACCAAGGCATGGATTTTAAGAAAAACACCTTTTGTTGAGTTTTTAGGTTTTAAAGATATTTTTTTGTATTTGTCCGTTTTATAAAAAATGGAGTCATCTGACTGAGTTTTATTTGACCTTAAATACCTTTTTTATTTTTTTTGCACCTAAATTGTTTGGTATACCTGTACTTTTTTACCCAAAATGTACTAATTTTGCGTTTAATGCTCTTAAAATATTATGTATAAAGCCTGATTTATAGATTGCCTTCCTTCCTTTCTCCCGTAAAAGATGAACAATACGAAAATCGTAGTGCCATTTATAGAATTTTCCTATTATGTTTTTTTGTTATTTTAGAGTTCCTATTGTTAGCAGATAATTAATTTAATGGTTATTATTATTATTATTATTTAATTTAACTATTCCGTTTATTAGATTTAGTCATAGTTATGTAAGTTTAGTTGTTTTGATGAGCAATATGATGTTATTAGGTAACAGCTGGCAATCACGGAAAAAATTTATTATAATACGTGCGCTTGTAGAGGAAAGCCGTAAATAAATTGTTAAAGTAAAATTATCGTTTTTCCCTTAATTTACGACTATTTCCCTAAGACTATTGTTTTTATGCTGTTTTACTTTGTTTGTTATTTGATATGTTCACTTTTTTTATTTGTTATTTTCCCGACCAAACATTTTTGTTCAGTTATTTTTAATAATAATTATTTTATTTTTAAATTAAATCCTTAATTGCCAAACATTTACAGAGCAATTAGGTATAATGTAACTAAAACTACATAAGACCTATGTATGGTTTTACAACAATATCAACATTAGGTATAATGAAAAAATTTTAATCAGATAATTTTATTTTTTCATTTAAGTACCTAAAATTTAGGCACCTAAAATAATAACCTAATTTTAAAACTATGCATAGTTTTAAAAAGTAAACAAAATTAGGTCACATGTGACCTAATTTTGTTTACTTTTTAAAACCTAAAAATCCTGGCCTTCCTTATAACCATAAAATTTGGTGTAAAAAAAATTAGGACAAATAACATACTAAAATTTGATTTGGCTATCTATAAGAGTTTTTAAGATATTACCCAAAATGTCCTCGCTATGAGAAGAATCTTGTGCCATATGTAAAATAGTGGGTTTGAGTCTTTCACAGCTTTGGTAAAGTTCATTTATTAAATCAATTTCTTGACAACCTGGTTTGTAAGAATCCAACATTTCACTTAACAAACGCACATTGTTTTGTATTGACTCTAGTTCTGATATTCGTTTACTTTTCAACTCAGCCAATTTTTCATCCTAAATAATATTGTATTTGGAAAATATTTATACATTATTTATTAATTTTACAAACCTCTTTAACCATGCTCTTAATTAACCAGTTAGCTGCTTGTATATCCTCTGGATCAGTACTTTGCAATAATCTCTGCAGTAACTTTTGTTTTTCCACATCATAAAAAATGGAATCAGTCGTTAGCTTATTAATGTTATTTGGCGGTTGTAGTGCTACATTTGGGTTAGGCATATCCCTAATTACACCTTGTTTTCTTAGCATATCATATGCTTCCTTTATTTTAACTTCTTTTGGGTAATCAAGAGTCCAAACATACAATAATTGCAATACTTTATGTTTTACCATAACAGGGGTTTTATCACCTAAATATTTAGGTGATACCAACTTGATCATTTCGTTTAGAAACCTAAATTTCCCGACCTCATTTTGGAATACAGTCCCGCATTTATTCATGCATATATCTAGTATGTTTAATGTTTGTAAAACCTCCTTTTCATTTGGAGCTAAAAGCCTAATTGCTATCACTTTAACACCTACATGCGCACCATCTTTTTCCTTAAGTATTAACGTTGTAAAAGCTTCTACAGCTGCGGTATCTGTGTTTTGATTTTGTGCATTCGTAGCTTTAACTACAAAAAATGTATTTATTTAAGAAAAACTATACTATGACAGCCTCTAATTTTCAATTAAATGCAATACTTACGCAAAAGAGCGTCTAAACTTTGCGTCAACAAATCCATTTTAAGGGTTTTCTGTTAGTTAAAACATTGTTAAGCAATTTTGTTGTCGTATTTTGACGTTTCTAGTTTGACAGATTGGTTTTTCTAACCCCTCCCCAAAAAATCACTAGAGAAAACTGCAGGGTGGAAAACTTTGACAAAAGGAAAATCCGACAGATGTCGGGATAAATTTTAATTAAACTTTGATATCTAATTTCTTGGTTAATGTAGTTAATTATAGATACTGTAAAGCTTTATCTTGTTATTTTATTATAATAATTTTATAAAGCATAAATACTTTGACAATTAAGTGTTTATTTGTGTGAAGTATACAATTTCATGGTAAATATCGAGTTTAACAATAACATGCAGGTATACAACGCATTGATATTTTAAACTTTTAATTTTAAATCCCCGAATTTGCATTTTAAAATAAAACCGGAAATAGCATAATTTAAATCGACCAATGAGAGGGCGGTATTGCTTTAGTGCCAAAAACTGTCGATAGAGGCGCGTCATTCGCTTACGCCATCACGTTTCGTTCGTTTGTTTGGCGTGTTTAGCGTTTCTTTTGCGCTTTTAAGCTCAAACTTGTGCTATTTCTTGTTAAATAACTCGATTTATTTTCGTCATGAGTGATAGAGAGGTGAGTGGTTTGCGTTGTGCGGGTATTTGACTTCGTCCAAAAATAGATTTGAGGAAGCGAGACGCCGGTTTTGCTCACTGGGCCACGCTTTTTATTTCGGTTATCCAGGGGGGTTGTATATTGATAAAACGGTTGTTTTTCGGTTTCCAGGGTAGTCGCTCGCCCATAGACCGCAAACCAATGATAGAAAGAGACCGTTCGCCGCACAGGCGGGAAGATTCGCCCAGAAACCACAAGGCTAGAAGTTATTCAAGGTAAGTTGTCGAAAAAAACCTTGAAATACACGTGCAAAAGCATTTTTTTAACGTACAATGACCTTTGGTGTGATTTATGTGGTAATGATGTGTTTTAGGAGTCCTAGCCGAAGCAGAAAAATGTCCTACAGAGAAGGTGATCGGGATAGGGAACGAAGAAGGGACAGGGGCGACAGAGAGGACAGGGGGGATAGAAGAGATGACAGGTAAGGCTATAAATAATGCCAACATATAATTTTTCATTATAACTCTTTGAAATTTAATATTATAACATAAAAAATAATTATCTTTCTTTTGGAATATCTGAACTTGTTATGGTTAAAATGTTACATAGTTTATTATTTAAATGGTTTTCAAAGAGGTATAATTACAATACTCCAGTGTTAATTTTATTTCCTGCAAAACAATACTGCTGATAACAGCTATTAAAGTTTATTGACTTAATATTTTTGTAATTGGAGATAAAGTAACACTTTTGCATGCACAATTGTATTTTTTTATTGGGGACTATAGCGTTGTCTGGGTGGGAGCAAACTTCTGTCAAAAATACACAATTACCCTAATTTTATTGATTAAACAAGTAAAACCTATTATGTGTAATTTATTTTAAAATAAATATGACTGTTTGTTTAATCAATATGGATTACAGCTGATAAAGTTTTTATTTACTTGATTTATTCATTTATTTTTGTGCAAATTTAAAACATTTGGAATTCTGATTTAACAAATTGCAAAAACCATGCATTTATTCAGCAAATTAATTGATAAAAACATTTAGGTCAATTTATTTAACTATTTAAGTTATATTTAATTGGTATTATTTCACAAAATTATACATATAGTAGATTTGGTTCACAAGATTATTATGCTGCAAGGAAAGCTTATTTATTACAGTTGTGTGTTTATTTTTAACCTGTGATTATTTGAGAGCTGATCTCTCTTCAATGGGCAGTTTCTTGATGCACACAGGAAGATTAATTAAGGAGTCCCGTGCTGACAAATTTATCGTTGCCCATCATAATAACTTTATTGATATTATCTGGATTTTCGAAATTTTTGCTCAGCTCCGTTTACTGCCATAACAATATTTCTATAAAGTGTTTTAGACATTTGGTAGAGAAAAAAAATACAAAAAATGTCAAAAATTAATACAAAAAAACCTATAAAATGTACAATTTTTAAAATACTGCTTAAAAAAAAAATAAAAAAAGTTAAATCCAAGTATTTTTTTATTAAAAATCTTAAATAAGTCTAAAATTCAACCATTTTTCGCAATGTAAAATTTTGTACCTATTTATTTAATTTTTTTAAACGCTCAAGAATTAAAAAAATTCAAACCCAGTTAAATGTAAACAATATAAAGAAATTAATTAATTAAACCCATTTTCCGTATATGTTTTATTCTTTTTTTAATTACTTTTGACTTTTGTATTTTTTTTTAGTCAAAATTACAAAAAAGTAAGTAATAAATTAAAGAAAACTATAGTTTTCTAAAATAAGAAATTTTGATGTATAAGAACATCCAGATTTCTTATTTTAAAATAAGCAGTTTAAATCTATTCAAAAGAAAATTATTGCAAAAAAGGTTAATAAATTAAATATTTTAGAAAGTTAAAATGGCTATTTAAGTTCAAAGTATATATACTTTGAACTTAAATAGCCATTTTAACTTTCTAAAATATTTAATTAATTAATATATTATAAAGTGTTAAAACACAAATTTAGAATGTTTTAAACACATTTCCTACATTTTTAAAAATGTCTAAATTATATTTGTGCAATATATACTTTGAACTTAAATAGCCATTTTAACTTTCTAAAATATTTAATTAATTAATATATTATAAAGTGTTAAAACACAAATTTAGAATGTTTTAAACACATTTCCTACATTTTTAAAAATGTCTAAATTATATTTGACTTTTTTGTAACTATTTTTTAAACCTATATGACATAATTGAACAATAATTTTAAAATTAAATTTTATAGTCAAAATCATAAGAATGTCAAAACATATTTTAAAATAAAAGACTTTTTAAGTTCAAAGTATATTTTAGAGTGTTAAAACCAAAAATAATAAAATAATTGTAACATTCTCCATTTTTAAGATTTAAAGTTATATTTGACCTTTTTGCAATTATTTTGTGTAAACAGATTTTCAAAAGACAATTATTGTACCATAAAACCAAAAATAATTTTAACATTCTCCATTTTCGAGATTTCCTAAGTTATATTTGACTTTTTTGTAATTATTTTAAATACTTACACATGTTTTTAAACCCATTATTGTACAAGAATTTTAAAATAAAATTGTATAGTCAAAATCATAAGAATGTTTATTTTAGAGTGTCAAAACAAAAAATATTAAAATAATTTTAACATTCTTCTCCATTTTTAAGATTTTTTAAGTTATATTTTACTTTTTTGTAGTTATTCTAAATACTTAAACAGTTTTTAAACCCATTATTGTACAATAATTTTAAAATAAAATTGTACAGTCAAAATCATAAGAATGTTAAAATGACTTCATGTTTATTTTAGAGTTTCAAAACCAATAATATTAAAATAATTTTAACATTGTCCATTTTCAAGATTTCTTATTTGCCTTTTTTGTAATTATTCTAAATACTTGAACAGTTTTTAAACCCATTATTCATTAAGAATTTTAAAATAAAATTGTACATTCAAAATCATAAGAATGTTAAAATGAAGTTTATTTTAGAGTTCCAATATCAAATTAAGAACTAAGATTAAGGCGAACAGGGCCGTAGCGAGGCTGGTGCAGGCGGTGCGGTGCACCAGGGCCCCCGACCTCAAAGGGGCCCCCAAAACTAAAAAGTTTTACTAAAAAATCGTAATTTTCGATATCCTATCCTATCCTAAAGTTTTGCACCGGGGCCCCTAAGTCCGTCGCTACGGCCCTGAAGGCGAATTATATTTAATAGACCCTTGCAAAACAAAATGGTCTTGTGGCAAATCTTACTTAAAACTTATAAAAAATATTTCCTGCAAAAATCGATGAAATTGAAGCAAAATCGAGCGAAACGGAATGTTGTTGTTGTTGACGGCAATGTTTGCAGGTCGCGCAGTAGATCGCGGCGCTCAGACAGACGTTACAGGTCCTCACGCAGCCCTTTGTCTTCTAGCGACAGACGGCACGGCGGCACGCGAGACAACCCGAAGCCGAGCCGGTGCCTGGGCGTGTTCGGACTGTCGGTCTACACGACCGAGGACGAGCTCTACCACATCATGAGCAAGTACGGCCCGGTCGAGCGCGTGCAGGTGGTCATCGATGCCAAGGTACGTCGCGTCTGTGTTTTAACGAAGGCTTTACAAATGCGAATACTCGTTTGAAAATTATTTCGAATATTGGAATAATTCGAATTATTCGATTATTCGAAAAATTCGAATATCAAGTGATATATGTCGGATATTTATATAAATATCATGATATTTTCGAACCCTGTTCACAGGGCTGGCAAATATCATGATATACCGGGTGTATCTGAGAATAGGCGCACCACTGTAACCTTTTTATTTATAAAGATACGACACTAAAATTGAATTTTTGACGTTTCGTCATCAGAAAATGTATCATCATAAAGATCAATCTAGAATTTTCTCACGATTCTAAATTTGTAAAAATATATAGGGCGTTCCATTTAAAAATCGAAAGTTGATATCATTTCCGGCAAAACCGGAAGTTCAAAAAATTCATTTTGTACTCTTATAAGTGGCATTTTATATCCAAAAGAACCATGCTAAATTTCAAGTGTCATCTATTTAAATAAAAAAGTTACAAGGGTGGTAAAAACAAAAAGCAATAACTGGAGTTAAAAAGGCTGGCTAGAAACAAGTTTCGCGCATACTAAAAATTATGAGAGTAGGCAACCCACTACAAAGACTTTAACGGCGGCCATTTTTATGTTTACAATTCTCGTGCTTCGGTTTTGTGCTGTTTATACAGACTAATAATCGTTTTAAACGTTGTGTTTATTACAGAAGCACTTTAAGGCCTCAAATGAGGCCTTAAAGTGCTAAGGACAACCATTTTACTCCTCTTTTGTAAAAAATACACCTCATTCTATCAGGGCTGTCATCAAACTCAAATGTTAATTTAACATAACCCACAAATTTACCATATCCACAAATTAACCTTAAAATTGTTGTGTGGATTGTGGGTATGCCAAAACACATTTTAGAATGTTTAAATCAAAAGAACGTGAAACTTATTCGAGTTTTAGTATGTCAACCAATCTTTTTTTAGAAACCTAATTTTAGATAAAAAAATTTTGGTTAGAAAAAAAAATCTGTGATTATTTGAGAGCTGATCTTTCATTGATGGGCAGTTTCTTGATGCACACAGGAAGATAAATTAAGGAGTCCCGTGCTGACAAATTCATCGTCGTCCACCATAATAACTTCATTGATATTATCTGGACTTGCGAAATTTTTGCTCAGCTCCGTTTACTGCCGTAACAAAACGTCACTTTGCTAAGCGAAGTTTGCCGCAATATTTAGTACTTAATAAAACCAGGGATTATTTTTTTAATGTCTTCTTTAGACTGGTCGTTCCCGAGGTTTCTCCTTTGTATATTTCGAGAGTACGGAAGACGCCAAAGTGGCTAAAGAGCAGTGCACCGGAATGAAAATCAACGGCAAAAGTATCAGGGTGGATTATTCCATTACAGAGAAAGCTCACACACCTACGCCTGGCATTTACATGGGCAAACCTACCTAGTAAGTATTGCTGTCACATATTTTTTATAATTTCAACCAAGATCAAACATTTTGTGCAAGATTTTTATTAATTTTGCACGCTGTTTGCTTTTGGGATATAATGTAATCTTAAGGGATTAGACTGCACGATGAGAAGGTGTTAGTTGTGCGTAAAGGCCCCTTAAGACATTTTGTTTAACACTACAGAGAACAAATAAACAAAATTTGTTTTTTATTTTTTACAGTAAAGTGGAGCGTTATGATTCCAGATCTAGTAGACGTGGCGATAGAGAGTGAGTGTTTTGTTTATATTTTAACTTAATTTATATACTGTATTGTTTGGAATGCTTTGTCTATAAATACATAGTGTTCTGTATTATACAGGTAAATTATATAGATTTTTAGTATATTTTTGAGAAAATTAGTTTTTCCTAAGACTTACTTTTAATCTGACAATTTTTTTTTATTTTGTTATATATATGGGTCGTTCCACGCCAACTCGACCACTAAAAATTTTTTCAGATTTAATTTTAAATGTACTTTTCAGACAAAAATACAACAAAAAAATGTTCGACGTCAAGTTCTGTGCGATTTTTTTAGAAAAACCATAATTTTTTAGGTTTAATTTTTTTTTATAAAAAAAACTTCAATTTATTCTGTGATTAATGCAGCTTTTCCCAAAGTGGACCAACTTTTTATAAAAAAAATTAAAATGGCAAACTTTAAAAAAATAATGGTTTTTCTCAAAAAACAAAAAAAATTTATAGAATATAGAAAACCGTCCCATTTATTTAATATTTTAAAAAGTTATGGGTATTTGAAAAAAGCCATTATTTTGAAAATTCGTAACTTTTTTGGGTTGGGTAAAAAAATCTGAAAAAATTATGTGAAACTTTTTTAGTGGGTTGAAAAAGATTAAAAAAATTCAGCCAAAAATTTTATACAAACTTTTTTAGTGAGTTGGAAAAAAAATTAAAAAATTCAGCCAAAAATGTCATATTTTTATCAATAAACGCACCCGAACGCAACCCACGCTAAAGGAAGTTCGGTTGATAAAAAATTGTAAAACAATTTTTTTTCTTACAAGTTAAAACTCTGCACGAGATTTATCATAATAAACCTTGTATTAAAAAGCAGGAAGCTTCTTAGATAAAAAAAACTTTGGACACTAAAGCATTGAAACTAGTATTTGAATGTTTTTTTTATTTATCTTTCAATATAATTATAACATAATTATCGCAGCAGACTTAAATTTAAATATGAAATATGTACTTTTCAGAAAAATACACAACAAAAAAATTTGATGTCAAGTTCTATACAATTTTTTTTTAAAAGCGTTTATAAAAAAACTTTCCTAAAGTAAACAAAATTAAATACATAAAAAAATTGATGGTTTTTCTCAACAAAAAAAACATAGTTTGACGTAGAAAAATGTTTAGTAATTTTTTCTGAAAAGTATATTAAAAACGTCCCATTTAGAGATTTGGGTATTTATAAAAAGGTATTTTTCTGAAAAGTATAAAAGAGCAAAAATTTAAAAAAAACGTCCCATTTAGTATTTTATTTTTTTAAAAAGTTGTGGGTAAAAAGCAATTTTTTCGAAATATTGGTAACTTCTTTTGGTTGTGTAAAAAATATGAAAAAGTTATGAGAAACTTTTTTAGTGGGGTAGAAAAATTTAACCAAATATTTTATTTTTTTATCAACAACCCGAACGCAACCTAAAAGGAAGTTTAGTTGATGAAAAATTGTAAAACAATTTTTTTTCTTTGAGGTTAAAACTTTCTGCATAATAAACCTTGGAATAAAAAGCAGGAAGCTTCTTTGATAAAAACATTGAAACCAGTTTTTGAATGTTTTTTTTATTCTCTCAATAGCGATTATTATGGGGGCGGTAGAGGTTCGAGATACAGCCACCGCCGCTCGCCGTCGCCGTACTACAGCAGCAGCAGAAGCCGCCGCCGCTACGACAGAACCAGATCCAGAAGTTACTCGCCACGTAAGTAACATATTTTTAATTCATTCATTTTAGGACAGTAAAAACCGAAGATTTTTTCTTTGAAACATTTATAAAACCAAAACGGCGAGGCGGTTTTATAAAGGGTTTCAAGTCGGGATGTCTAGCAGTCATGTGTTAAAATAAATTTTGTTTAGCATTATTTCATTCTTTTATTATGTTCGCGCGTTGGAAGCTATACTTCTTTGGCGCAAAATTTTTTTTTTGGAAATGTGTATTGTAGAAATTATAAAATTTATTGAAATTTTAAATCTTGGAAGTTTAAAAATTGTGAGTTTTTAATTTTCCAATTTTGTTCGAAACTTTTAAAAATGCTCGAGAGCCGCTAAACATCGGTGTTATAACCTAACCAAAATTAATAAATTAGTTATTATAATCCGTAAATATTTTTATGTGCAGTTTTCATTTACCTGCTTTAAAAAAAATTAAATTTAAACTTGGGCAGTTTTCAATTACCTTAAAAATTAATTTTAATGTGCATTTACAAAGTGTACGTTTTTTGCGTTAATAAAAAGTAATATTTTTATTAAAACTTGAATACAGTAAGGCGCAAAAAAGATGTGACCATTTAAAGATATAAAAAGTGTCGCAGACAGCCCCCTCTATAACTGACATTAATTGTTTTAAAAAATTTAATTTTCCCATCCTGAAAAGGAAAATAAAAATTTTGTGCAAAAAAGCTTGTTTTTTCCAAAATTATTTAATAATAAAATCGAAAACGAACTTTTAACTTTGACACCCTGTATTTTAATTATTATCAAAAGCTAAATTTAGTTATTTCGCATTATTTGGTCTCTGGAATATGTGGTTTTATTTTGTACAGGAATTTCAGGGACACCTTGTATATCCGATATACAGGGTGTTACTTAAGTATGTACAATAAATTTAACAGACGATTTTTTGAGCGATTTTATTATTATATAAAAATGGGTCCGCAAATGCTTCGCTTTCAAGTTTTTTTTAAGTTGGTTTTTCGTAAATATCTTAAATTTAAATTTACCCAATTTTTTTATTTGGCAGTGTTATTTTTAGTTTTATAGAGCTAATGAAGCTCTAACTTGATTACTTTTATTAATTCCAGTGGCGTCCCGAAAAAAAAATTCTAACTCTAAAACGCCTTTACCAATTTTTATAAGTTTACGTGTTCAAGGGTTTTTCGAGAAAATATCCTTAAAGCCCTTTTATTTAATAATAAAAAACGCTCGAAAAAAAGTTTTATAGGGAAATTTTTTTAAGTAAATAAAAAATATGCTGTGAAATACCGTATTTTTGTAAGTATACCCTGAAAATGTTGTACAAATCAAACGAACAGTAACAAAAATACAGCGCTTCAAAGTCGTCAAAAATGACCACTTTTCAGCAAAATAATCAAAAAGGGGTCATTTTTACCGACTTTCAAGCGCTCTATCTTTGTTATTGTTTGTTGGATTTGTACAACGTTTTCAGAATATAACTAACAAAAATACGGGTTTTAACAGCTAATTTTTATTTACTTAAAAAAATCCCTAAAAGTTATTTTTCGAACGTTTTTTTATTATTAAATAAACGGGCTTATAAAATAGAGATATAATTTGGAGTATTTTTATACAAAATTTCCTAAAGATTATTAAAGGCGTTTTACTTATTATGCGTTAATTTTGACGCGCAGTGTATCAGCGATATCATATCGATATACATTGCTCATAAATATCGTTTTGTTTTAATAAATTACGAACCGTTTATTGCACAGAAGCCTTTTAAAATACTGACAATTTCAAGAGCTTCATTTTTTTATAAAACTTACTGCATTTTTGAATGAATATTTTCAAAAACTCAGCAACTTTTTTGGAAATTGGTTTTCTTCCTTCTTACCTCTTTTGCGATGTTTTTTTTAGTAAATCCTTTCTTGAAATTTTGTACCTCTACAAAGTTTCCTATGAATTGACTATTTATTTAACTTAATTCAATTGGTCCAGTGAACATTTTTGTCTCAACGCGCCAAAAGAAGTATAACTTTTAGAACGTTAAACTCATATTGAAGAATGCAACAATGTTAAAACCTGTTTAAGAATGTCAAAAACACGGTTTCTAAAAATCTTAAGGATTTTGAAAAATACGTTTTTTACTGTCTAAATCCATTCCCTCTTGTATCTTCTCGTCCATTGTTGTCTTGTTGTTTTTTAGCGTATGTTGTAGTTTGTTTGTTTGGCTTTATTTTAATTCGTGTTACTTTAATGTCAATTTCAGGTCGTTTTTAAACACACCGTGGAGGCTCTGCGTTTTGTTTAATGGACTAATTTAGATGTGTAATGATTAAACAAACAAAAAAACCATTAAAACGGTTTTTTTCTTCTACATATAAATATTGTTTATTTGTCGCGTTCTTGCATAGAGAAAAAAATGCCGCCGAGTTTACCAAAAATTTTCACTTTCCCCTCAATGGGATTGTTTTTTTAGTTGACTGTCCAACTTTTAAGTAGAAGTAATTTTAATTAGTTTGATAAAAGGTGATCCTGTTTATTTTAAGAAATGAACGTGACCACCTTTTGTTTTTACCTTGAGGTCAGCTAAAAAAGTGTGCCCCATTAACTGTACAAATTGTATGACATGAGTAGTGCAACAATATATTTTTTGAAAATTGCGATTTTGACCGTATTTAATGAACACGGAATAACTGAATGTATATTTTTAGTAGCACGGTTTTAGATGTTAAAATCGCAGTTTTCAAAATTCTTGCACTACTTTAGATTCAGGCTATGTGTTATTTTTTTAATTTCATTTGTTTTATATAATTAATGTGACTTAGTTGATAGTTAATTAATAAATGATGCGTTTCAACACTAATATTGTTTTTGTTTTGTTTTAAAAAGGGTTGATGAAAACAAGAGAAATTGGATGAATTTGAAGTTTAAAGTTGCTAGAAATTGTCGAAAAAGTCTTTCCCCTAAAAATGTCACAAACACACAGAGCGTCAAGTCGAGTCAAAATATAAACGGTGAAGCTTTTTGTCAAAAGTCAATCAAAAGAAATCACACACGCCACTGCGAAAAATGAAAACGTCATCAAGAGAATTGAGCCTTTTTTAACTCTCTTGAAGAATGAAATTTCATTATCTCAATGAGAAGACATCTTTAAAAACGAAAAAAAATCAAATCAACAATTTCGAAAAAAGCGCCCCACACGAAATTGTCGCCTTAAAATTGGGTCTCTTCTCGCAAAAACTTATTCAATTTCATCCATCCACGAAAAAAGAATCTTTTCCAGAAAATTCCATAGGGTACTAATCTAACTTTCGTAGAATATCGCTCAGAGAACAAGGAGGTTTTTTGGTAAGTATTTTTAGGTCAACATTATCCTTTGGTAAGTTCTTTGTAGTGTAATGAGTTTTAACTATGATAATTAAAATAAAAACAATTTTCTTTATCAGGTATTTTATTTTTAACATAAATACCCTCATTATACAAAAATATAAAAAATACGGCAAAATTTTTATTTTATAATATTTTCCTTTCCTCACTTCTCACCATATTTCCCCATAAAATCGTTAATATAATCCTTGATAATCTCGGGATTATTTAGGTGAACAAAATGTGTTCCTTTTACAACATGATAGTGCATTTTTTTATTGTTCTCTTTTAATACCTCAAAAACCTCCGTGAAATTTTTCTTTTTCTCGAAATATCCGCTTGAATCACTTTTCAACATCAACATTGGACATTTAACTTGTTCAGTTCCACTCAAAATATCTCTCTGAGACCAATTTATAAAACTATGGATTTTTAATCTTGAATCCCTAGTTATGTAATATTTACCTGGCTCAGTTTCAGATTCTATGATATTCCTTTTTAGAATGTACTCCGTGTTTTCCAGGTTGATAGCGTTATTATTTTGCTCCGACATTTTTTTTTTTAAATAGTCCAAGGAATATGATGGCTGGTTTGTGGAATCTTGATTTTGTTTGTCATATTTTAAAAAGTTATCAATTTCTAAAAAAATGATGAAAAAAAACGATTCTATATAATAATAATCATGTCTTACCTCTTTTTAACCTTCCTCCAGTATTTGGCAACTCCAAAGGCTTCAAACCATCAATTAAAATAAGAAATTCTACTTCATCATTAAAAAGCATTGTAAAAGTGTAGCAAGAAATGGCACCCAAAGAATGACCCATCAATGAAATTTTAGGCCAACTAAAATAATTCATTATTGACCTTATTAATATGGGATAATTTAAAAATTCATATGGTACCCCATTGGGTAATTTTGATGATAGCCCATGTCCAGGTAAGTCTATGGCTAGGAAACCATGGTCTTTGTCTAATAAAGGTATTAATCTATCAAATGTACCACAATTGTCCTATGGAAAACTAAAAGTCTTAAAAATGATGGAATTTAAAGTAAAAACTTACTTGCCAACCATGTAAAGCCAAAATGGGTCTTTTATTTTTATCGCTTGCTTCCCATAATTTACCAGCTACATGACCCCATGGTAATGGTATTTTTACTTCATTATATTGTCTAGACACTGAATATTTTCGTGTAAAAGTTCTCAGATAGCCCAACATACTTAAATACTTCAAGTATACTGATTATTTGCAGTTTATTTACCTTTGAACTTATTTTTTTATCTGTTATTAAAAGTAAACATACCTACTTTTATTAATCCACTTTGGATTGTGTGCTAACCTAGTTTATAACTTAAATGTAGTGAAAACAAATAATTTTCTTTTAAAAATTTAAAAATAAACAAGGTGTGGTCCATTTGAACTACTCGGCGTTGCCAGCTCCATATGTATTTACGAAGTATTCTTAATTAAAACTCATTATTAGGGAGTTTTATATAAATCTTGTTAATAATTATATTTTTGCTTATAATATTTAATTCGTTTAAATACTACTAAACCTTCAATATATTCAAATTTATATACTAAAATTAACTACCGAAATCTGACAACGCTATATTTTTGTTATTGAATTTGACATCTGTCAATGCAGATCAAAATATTTCTTGTAAAAATTATAAAAGGTCTATTAATCCAGTATTAAAAGTAATAGCCCAAAATGCTGTCTTCAATGGTAAAAGAGCATCAAGCTAAGCAGCAAGTAAAAAAAGAAATACAAGGTAACATTTATAGGTTAGAAAACATATTTTTTCTGAAGGTTCTGTTTTTTGATAGAAACTAAAAGAAAAGAGGCCTGTGGGGCAGCTAGTGACCTAACGCAAGCCCTCGTGGATCATTTAAACGTCGGGTTGGTTATATTTCAATTTTACATGCGTATAATACTAAATTTTTCTTTATTGCACGTTTTAGTGTAGCTCAGGCTTATTTAAACCAAAAAAAACTCGACGCCGAAGCCAAGCAGCTGCACGCAAGCGCCACAAATTTTTCCAAACAAACCCAACAGTGGTTGAATTTGGTGGAGAATTTTAGCAGCGCTTTAAAAGAAATCGGGGATGTGGAAAATTGGGCTAAAACTATCGAAGGGGATGTAAGGACTATTACGACAGCTTTGGAAATTGTTTATAAGACGTCGCAAGAGTCGTCACAGAATAGTTTAAATAATTAATTAAGTTTAAATTTTGTTGCTATTTATTATTTTTATTATACCTACAATTTTAAATTTACAAATGTTTATTAGATTTACCTACTATCCTAAATGTTCTAAAACTGTCTTAAAATTAAATATCTAAAAACTGTCTAAAAGTAAGTTTAGTTTTTAGGCTATAAAAAATATGGACAGAAAATTGTAACTTATGTTTGGCATTATATAGGGTGTCCCAAATTTAGCGGTAAAGGTAATTCCTTTTGAAATTTCCTTTAAACACGCACATGCGTCAAAATAGAAGTGTAGAAAATAAATATAATATATCTCACAAAATATAGAATTTAACGGAAAATATATAAAAAACACAAAATAGGTTTAAAAAAATATAACAAAACATAAAATTAAACAAAATAAATAAAATCCAACAAAACATACGAAAAAAATTAAATTCAACATTTTAAGTTTTTCTTTACATCCTTTCAGTTTTTAATTTTAATGTATAGCTTTAATTAGAAACGATGGAGTTGAATGTGCCAAGGAAGAAAAAAGTTAAAATTAAAAACTAAAAGGATGTAAATAAAACCTTACCGCATTGGCGAAAAATCTCCCACTATTAGTCTTCTTGAAACTTGTGCGTCGAGCGCCCTCAAACGGTCAAGTGAGGAACCCGAGTTTTAAAATTTTGTTGTCTTTTTTGTTTTGTTTAATATTTTGTTGGATTTTGTTTGTTTTAATATAGGTATTTGTTTTGTTACAGGTGTATTATAGGTTTTGTTGGATTTTATTTGTGTTGTTATATTTTATGTACCTATTTTGTGTTTTCTATACATTTTTCGTTAAATTTATTTAAATTATTCCATTAAATTTATTTTCTAAACTTCTTGTTGCCAAATTGTGCAAACTAAATGAAAATTTTGTTAAATAAAAGTAACATTGTTACAATTCATTCTCTATTATTATTGATGGGAAAAATTAAAAGAATTGTTATAGTACCAAACTAAATTATACTAAGCCGCCGGAGCACTTTCTGGTACTGCCGGTATTGTATCATTTAAAATTGCGGCACCATTTTCAATTATAGTGCCATTTTCTATAGGTATTATACCTTTATCATATGCATATGTACCATTTTCGTTCATAAATATTTTTGTTCCATTTTCATTACCGAAAGGACTTATGGTGGCATTAAAGGGAGGTAGAGGCGTCGGTACTACGTCTATATTAGGCTTAACGCAACCTGGTTTTAGCGTTGTTGTACTTGTAGAGTTGGTTTCGTCTTCGGAACAATCCAGCTCTTCGGGTCCTGGTATCGCCATTGTGGTAACGCAATAGCTGTAATCTTGGCCGCCACCTTTGGCGGTACCGTTACTGTTGGAGTAGTCTATCAAATTAACGTCGACGGTTACGTTCGCGAAGCAAGGTAGGTTTATGTTTGCCGTGGTACTGCCGGCTGTGGCGTTCTGGCACAGAGGGTCGTCCTTGTCGACGCAGGGTATGGTACTGTTGACGCACAGCGCCTGGTTCTGTTCCGGGCACGGTACTGCGGCTTGCATCGTGGTAACGCACAGAATGGTACTGTTGGTGGTGCATATGGCGGTACTGCCCGGTACGCAGATGTTGGTGGAGTTGGTATCGCACAGTGTGAGTATGTTGGCGGGTAGTTGTATGTGCTCTGTAGTTTCCGGCTGGTTGTAGTAATTGTAGACTTTGTAGGGGCGTCTGAATAGACCTGATACCACGTACCAGAGTACCATACCACCCAATATGTTTCTGAAAGCGTGTCGGCCAAAGAAACCGCCCGATTTTTTCATACCGTATCCACCATATCCACCTAAACAAAATTATATTGTATTTTGGTAATAACAGGCCTACAAAAACAATAGTTCATTGTTTTTTATTTGGACAGTTTGATTTAGTATTTTTAGTATTTAAAAAATGGTACTTCTGCTGAAGACCTTAATTAAATACTCCGGCACTGTCAAATTGACAGTAATATTTGAGGAGCATCCGTGCAAAACCGGCTAAGTCCGTTTTATTCAGTTTTTTATTTTTTTTATTTCGCATCTTTGGGTTCATTTCTATCCAGGCCCGTTCCTGGGGTGTCTGGCGCCTGCGTGCAGCATTCGTTGGTGCGCCCCTTTTATATTTAAATACCTATAATACATTAAATATTTGAATTTTAAGCTGTAAAATTTAAAAAATATATATTTTGCGACAATCTGGCAATATGTAATTGAAAATGTAAAAAAACCGCTTAAATTAAGTATAAAAATATTTATTAAATTACCAAACAAACAAGTAATATCCTAAGGGCATCTATTTTTTCGAAAAAACACGTTGCTAAGTAATATTTTAACAAGAAGCATGAGTGCTGGTGGCAACAAAAATCCGAGTCGAAGACGAGGATTTTTGCACCTGCACGAATGCATTTTGTTAAAAAATATTACTTAGCATTGTGTTTTAACGATTTTTTTCATAGTTAGATGCCCGAATGGTATTTGACAAGACTATTTTATGAGTAACAGTTAACAATTAAAATATAAATTGTAATTTTTGGTGACAACAGCTGTCAAGTTTTGCCGCGGGTAAACTCGAAAAAACTGCTGACAGGTGCTGTCATACAGTTTTTCCACATAGAAACCATTTGTAGTTCAAAATTGCGCGTTTGTGATTGGTGGAAATTAAGACGAGGGAAATAGTCAGTGATAAAAATACTCTAAAGAAAAAAAAACAATCTAATAACTACAACTGGTTTTTGTTGACGTACTCTCTAAAAATAACTAGTTTTCAAAGTAAAAAAGCAGTCACTAATAACTTTAGTCCACAGCTATTTGTATTCCGGGCATTTAACAGCTTATTATTATGTAAAATTGTCCCCTCAATCAGAAAATACCGTCAAAAATTATAAAAGTAAAGCAGTTTTAAGATATAGTCAATACCATATTATATGGAAAATTTACTAAATCTCAAAAACGTTCTACTTTTATAACTTTTGACGACATTTTTGGATTCAGCGGACAATTTTACATAGGAGTTGACTGTTAAATATCCGGGATACAAATTACTATTGACAATAACTCTCATAGCTATTTTACACTACATAGGTCTATCTGATGCAGCAATCAACCTACTTATTGACTATCTAAATGAAAGATTTCAGGCAGTTATATATAATAAAAATATGTCATCATATAGAAAAGTAGAAGGTGGCGTCCCCCAAGGGTCAATTTTAGGTCCACTGCTGTTTATAATTTACATCTCTCAATTTATTTTTGCTTGCACTTCTGCTAAATTACATTACTATGCAGACGATAGTCAATTTACAATTTCTTTTAAGCCAAAAGAATCTTCCCAAGCCGTTGCAGCCTTAAATTTTGATTTAAATAATATTTATGAGATTTCAAAAAAACATTGTCTTGTATTAAACACTAGCAAATCTACCTTAATGATATTTGGTCAAAAAAATCAAAGAGGGCACTTTTTACAAGAGTATACTGATGCAATTCACATGAATAACACTGCCCTTAAGTTTCAGGATGATGCCAAAAATCTGGGCCTAACTATTGACCATGAAATGCGTTTCACAAAACATATCTCCAAGTGTTTGAGTAAGGCTTATTTAAACCTTCGGTTTATATATCAAAGTAGGGAATATCTTAGTAAAAAACATAAAATTATGCTGTGTGATTCATTGGTTTTATCACAGTTTAACTTTTGTGATGTAATATATGGTCCTTGTTTAACCTTATTTGACAAAAATCGTATTCAAAAAATTCAAAATTCTTGTCTCAGGCTAATACATGGAATTCGAAGAAACCAGCACATTAGTCATACATTAAAGCACACAGATTGGTTAAATATGGAAGATCGTAGGTACCTACATTCTGCAGTTACATTTTTTAAAATTCTAGTTTACCAAAAACCTACTTACCTCTACACTAAAGTTAAATTTCGTTCAGAGATTCACAATTTGAATTTGCGTCATAAGCACTCCCTTGCATTTCCAAAGCATAGCACTGAATTGCTTAAACGATCATTTTCGTATCAAATAGCCAACTTATTTAATAAATTAAAATTTAACCCTTTTAACTTAAAAATTCATCAATTCAAAAGCCAAATCCGTGAAAGTGTTTTAAAAAACGCCTGAATATACATAGTTTTTATTAAGTTCGTCTCTCTTTATCCAATTTTTTACGTGTTTCCTTCTTCACTAGTTATGTAGGTACACTAGTAAAAAGATAATTGCACAGAAATATTATGTATTGACGCTTAGTTAGATAACTTATTATTTATGTAGCTATATGATTATTTTTGTTTTTTTATTTTTGTTAGATATTTCTTTTCTTTTTTGTTTTTCCCTTAGGGTTAGATGTAAGAATAGACTTACATGCTCTAGGCAGTAGTTTGGAGTGTGTAAGAACTAAATCTCGCCCTGTATTTAAATATTGTACAACTGTAATTCTGTATTATAATCAATAAAGTCCTTTATTATTATTATTATTATTATAATAATTATTAGTTGCTGCTTTTTCGCTATTGCAATTAGACTAATTGAATTAGTCATTTTTGACTAATTCTATTTTAGAGAGTTACTACTGTTAAACTTTGCTACCATCAACTGCAACTATCAAACAAATACTAAAGATAATATGACCATTTCTCTCCTTTTATTTTGATCAAAACAAAATAAGCAGTCAATATCAAAGCGGCAAAAGGCGCTTTATAGCGACAGAAAAAAAGAGCGGCAGACGCAAAAAAGGCAGAAACCTTTATCCAATTTATGTTTAAGTATCATATGCAAGAAAGTTTATCGTTACAAAGTACTGATTGAGTCTTTGATTTTCCGCCCCCGAAATGTTGCGCCTGCGTGCGTGCACGCACTGCACGCTCGCCAGGAACGGGCCTGTTTCTATCGACAAACAAGATAATTCTGTTCAAATCCAACTATATCCATGTTAAAATCACATTTAAAAGGTAGCAAAACCGGCCAAATCCACGATTTTATAGCAAACCCGGTTATATCCAATAAATAATAATGATGATAAGCATGTGGCTTGGATATGTCGATACTACTACTAAAATTTTTTCATGTTTGCACTAAATTTATTTTGTTAATATTTTTTAATAATAATGTTTTTTTCACATTTTATTCGTTTTTTATTCGGTTTTTGAGCAAAACCGGCTATATACAAAACATTTTTTGAAATTTTGGCCTTAATATAAAGTTTTTGAAAACGAAACTATGTCTTATAAATCAAGTACTACAAAGACCACAAAACTCAAGTTTGCTTTTTCTTTTATCTGTAAAGGCTAGTTTTTGTCATTTTATTAAAGTGGATATAGCCGGTTTTGCACGGATGCTCCTCATTTATTAAATATGTATTACAACATAACTCGTTGGTTAAATGATATAGACTTAAAAATAACATACCCATGCCTCCATAACCCCCATATCCCCCTCTATTTCCTCCGAACATGCCGCCAAACATCCCCCCACTTTTCTGCTGATTATAACCCCCGTAAGCGTTGCCCATGTAGCCCTGATTGTAGCCAGGTGGGCCCCCGAACGAAGGCTGTCCATTCCCGTAGGGGGAATATCCAGGAGGTCCCCCCTGGGGATAGTGACCTTGTTGGGGGTAACCGTGCGCGTTGTATGCTGGGGGGGCTTGGCCGTAGCCGTTGGGGCTGTGTCCTTGTTGGGGGTATCCGTGGGGGTTGTATGCCGGGGGGGCTTGCCCGTAGCCGTTGGGGCTCTGTTGTCCGTAGGCGGGGGGGTTTTGTCCGTAAGCTGGGGGGCCTTGCGGTTGGTGGCCTGCCTGGTTGTATGGCGGAGGGGCCTGGGCCTTTAAAAAAAATGTTTTTAAAGATTTAAAAAATGTTTTTATTTACTGAAGTCAAAATAAAAAATTATAGAAATCCAGAAAATAAATACTTAAAATAAAAAAACTAAAAAATTTCTGAAAATTACAGTGAACTTAAAAAATTATAAAATTTAAGTTAATTATTACAAAAGAGAAGTAAAATGGTTGTTCTTAGTACTTTAAGGCCCCTTTTGAGGCGTCTGTAAGAAACAACGTTTAAAATCATTTTTAATATATATAAACAGCACAAACCCAAAGCACAAGAATTGTAGCAGTGTTGCAGTGATTTTTAGTATTGACAAAACGAGATTGCGGATGGGTCAAAAATATAAAATTTATAACCATAAAACGTGTTAAACTTAAAGTTTTCAAATAGCTACCCAAAATATAACATCTCTTACATTGTGTTGTCCATGTGGTGGATTTTGGCTATTCGCATTCCATCCAATAGGTCTCTGTTGATCGGGACTGTTTTGCTGAACACCAGCCTGTTCTTTTTTAATACCTTGCTCTTGCACAGGAGCAGAAGGTTTAGGTTGCTGCGCATTCTGCTGAGGCTGTGCAGCGGGCTTGGGCTGAACTGCAGGCTTAGGGGCCGGACTCAACACCGAACTGGGACCAGGTTTAACTTCCGGCTTCACTCCGGGGGAATTTCCGGGCGCCGAGTTGGTTTTCTTCCGGTTCCAAAAGCTGGAACCGCTCGAAGAACTGCGACCTTTGCTTCGTGATCCTCCAGAACGCTTGCTTTCTGCCACTTCTATCAACGATAATGCGTACAAAAGTACTAGGATTGATACACACAATAATATTGTTTTCAGTCGCATTTTGCACAAAGATTCTGTGACACACTGATGATAATTTAAAAGATGCTAAAGATAAATTGTTATTTTTTATTAGGAAGAAATGTACGGAGTGTAAGGCATCCAAAAAGACCTACAAAGTTTTCAAAATTATTGTTGCATTAATGCATTTAAAGGCAAGTTATAATCATCGTTGTTACAGTATAACACAAAGAAACAAGAATTGTTTGCCATTTTTCAATAGACAAACATTGACAAAGGAAATAAAAGTGTATTTTGATACTTTCGAATGTATGTTATTCGGTCTTTCAAAATTTTGATATTGCCTTCTTCCGTCCTATGAAAATGATCCCTTCAATGTCAGCGACGAATTAAGATCGGCCTGATTCAACGTACAAAGGGAAGTCAAATCGCGCTTTCGTAAACATCAATTTTCCAATTAAAATATAAGAAATCTAATGCAACCAGTCATGGAAAATTACCAAAATATGTGATTACTTATTAGAAAGATATTTACATTGGCTTTAGGTGTTTACACCTAAATGATAATTTAAATAAAATATGTACGTTTATTATATTATTCCTTTATTTATTGTTTTATTTTAATTTGCGTGTTTTGAAAGTGAAAAAAATTACAGAAGAAAATAAAAACGTTTAAAAATTAATAAATTAGTACGTACATAAAGTGTTTCAGATTTTAATCATAACACCTAATTATAATAATTATTAAATGCTAATAAATCGGACCCATTATATGTGATAAATAAATTTAGAAAGTAAAGAAGTACTACTGACATGATGTAATTTTTATTCGGCTCTACAAAATGATAGAGAAAGTAAAGTGTAATGCTAATAATGATTACGTCGCGAGTGCACTTGTCAATTTAAATCATAATATGTAGATCATTTTTTTTAAACAATAGTAAAACTATTTCCCATTTAATAAAAGTGTTATGTGTGGGTACGAGTAAGTTAAAAAAATTGGTTTTACATCAAATTGGAAAATAATGGTAATTAAGAATTAATTTTGGGACCAAAGACAATCAATTATAGCATTTCATAGTTTTATATTTTATTTTAACAATCGAAAGCGTATTTTTTCTATTTCGAATCTGCAAAATTTAATGAAGCAGAATTAAATCGCTTTAGTTAATTTCTTGTTGACCACTTAAAATTAAAAGACACTTTCTTTTATTTGTCCAATAATAATTTAAAAGTGAAAATTTGAGCCAAATATTCCCAAGGACCTTAAAGGCCAGTAAGGTATCATTTATAAGAAACACATACTTAAAGTTATACAAAATACATATTAAATGCACCTTAAGGTGCACTGTGCAGAAGCGTAGCTCCGCAACTTTTAACCCCGGCGCATTCGCCAATTTTGAAACTAAAAATATTTTAATTTAATATTTTCTGAATGTATTTGTTTTCTTTATGATCTAATATTAATATTAACAACATTTCCTAGTCACGCACATATCTGTAAAAAGAAAGCCGCGTTAAAAAATGCCTGGAAGTATTTTAAATATATTAATAATAATACTTAATATATTCTATTTAAGTCGATTTTCTGATTCGGCAAATAAAATTACATGGTGACTGGCTTTAGCTTGAGGAAGTCAATGCAAACAATTAATTAGAATTATATTTTTAAGAACTTCCTCAATGTTTATGAATTTTACTTTGCTTTAAAATATGAGGAAACGTTTTTCTTGTTATACGAGTATGTTTATTAGATACGCTTATAGGTTTTATGACTAAGACAATGGAAATGTACATACCAGGGGGGACTCGTTAGGGTAGGCCTCTGAGGCCCTTTTGTATTTATCTTCTTACCTATTACAAGTGTACAGGGTGATCCGCTATAATGTCGCCCCCTTTTTTATTTTTATTTTTTTACTACAGGGGCGTATAAAATTAGCTCGTACCATATATTACGGGGGCGCATAAAATTAACCTAAAAATGATACGTGAGAATATATGCAAATTTATCTAATTACGTGGCAAAATTAATATATTCACAGTGGTGAGATGTAATTGCGGGGTTTGGAAACGTTCGGAATTAATGAAAAGTGACCTTGACATGACCCTGCCGTGACCTTGGCATGGCCTTCCGTGAACTTAATGTGACCTTTGACCTCGAAATGACCTTGGAATGACTTTTGACCTCGAGATGACCTTGACGCGACCTTTGACCTCACCGTGCCCTTTGACCTTTGACCTTGCGGTAACCTTTGACCTTATGTGACCTTTGACCTTTTGGTGACCTTTGACCTCGGAATGACCTTTGACCTCTGACCTCTGACCTTTGACCTCTGACCTCTGACCTCTGACCTCTGACCTCTGACCTCTGACCTCTGACCTCTGACCTTTGACCTCTGACCTCTGACCTCTGACCTTTGACCTTTGACCTTTGACCGTTGACCTTTGACCTTTGACCTTTGACCTCTGACCTCTGACCTTTGACCTCTGACCTTTGACCTCTGACCTTTAACCTTTGACCTTGCGGTGACCTTTGACCTTGCGGTGACCTTTGACCTTGCGGTGACCTTTGACCTTGCGGTGACCTTTGACCTTGCGGTGACCTTTGACCTTGCAGCGACCTTTGACCTTGCGGTGACCTTTGACCTTGCAGTGACCTTTGACCTTGCGGTGACCTTTGACCTTGCGGTGACCTTTGACCTTGCGGTGACCTTTGACCTCGGAACGACCTTTGACCTTGCGACGACATTTGACCCCGACATGACCTTTGACCTTGCGGTGACCTTTGACCTTATGACGACCTTTGACCTTTGCGTGACCTTTGGCCCTCGGTAAGGTTAAAGGTCACAAAAGGTCAAAGGTCGTCATAAGGTCAAAGGTCACCGCAAGGTCAAAGGTCATGTCGGGGTCAAATGTCGTCGCAAGGTCAAAGGTCGTTCCGAGGTCAAAGGTCACCGCAAGGTCAAAGGTCACCGCAAGGTCAAAGGTCACCGCAAGGTCAAAGGTCGCCGCAAGGTCAAAGGTCAGATGTCAGAAGTCAAAGGTCAGAGGTCAAAGGTCAAAGGTCGGAGGTCAAAGGTCGGAGGTCAGAGGTCAAAGGTCAGAGGTCAAAGGTCGGAGGTCAGAGGTCAGAGGTCAAAGGTCAAAGGTCAAAGGTCGGAGGTCAGAGGTCAGAGGTCAGAGGTCAGAGGTCAGAGGTCAGAGGTCAAAGGTCGGAGGTCAGAGGTCAAAGGTCGGAGGTCAGAGGTCAAAGGTCACATAAGGGCAAAGGTCATTCTGAGGTCAAAGGTCACTTAAGGTCAAAGGTCGCATAAGGTCAAAGGTCACAGCAAGGTCAAAGGTCATTCCGAGGTCAAAGGTCGCACAAGGTCATCATGAGGTCAAAGTTCACCGCAAGGTCAAAGGTCATTCCGGGGTCAAAGGGCACGGTGAGGGCAAAGGTCAAGGTGAGGTCAAGGTCATGGTGAGGTCAAAGGTCATTATAAGGCCAAATGTCACGTAAAGGTCAAAGGTAATTGAAAGGTCATCCCGAGGTCAAAAGTCGTTCCAAGGTCAAAGGTCACATCAAGGTCATACCAAGGTCATTTCGAGGTCAAAGGTTGCGAAAGGGTCATTCCTAGGCCATGTCAAGGTCACGGCAAGGTCGTTCCAAGGCCATGCCAAGGTCACGGCAAGCCAAGGTCATATCACGGTCACGTCAAGGTCATTCCATTATTTATATATTTTAAAGTTTTAATAAACGAATTAATGTATTTTTTATTATAATAATGGTTTAGTGGGGCTATCGGCCATTTTAAAATGGTCAACGCGTCGCAGAATAATACCTCCCGGGTGGCGTGGAAATTTATTCGTATTTAGAGTAAATTAACCTCATGTAGACTCACCTTCCTTCATATACACTTGTTATAAGAGAAAGGTCGTTCGTTCCTTCATTTTGAGGGTGAGGGCTACCCTGACATAGACAAAGTTTTAAAAACTTTCATTTTTTGGACCACCCAAGATAATAAATTTCTCTCTATATAGTTATTTCTATTCTCCACACTTAATTACATACTATAAACATTAACATTAACCTTCAAAACTGTGAAAATTTTCTGGTGATAATTTATACAAAGAACGATTAAAAACGTTTAAGAATTCTTCTTAACTTTTACTTTATTTATTTGACTTTTACTACATAGTAGTTTTGCACCTTAATGCTTTTGGGTGTGCCGCTGCTATTTGGTTTTAATTAATCGGAGAATATTTGCAAATGAAATTTAATTTTTTAATTATGTTAAACATAAACACTTGGTAATGGTAATTTAACTAATAAAAGTTGCGTTGTGGAATGTTTGAAACAAATATAATTATGTAAATAATTAAATAATAAAATGCAGCTAAAGGGATTTGAGTTTGGCAGGCCAAAAAAAAATTTGAAAAAAAGTGGCACCAAACGTACATTTCTTTTTTATTAAACCAGTGTAATTAGGCTGGCGCCACGAAATTATACAACACGTGTTATGTAATGTCTTAACGCGATTTAAAATTGACTTTTAATTCATCACAAATGTAAGCCAAACTTAAGTTAAGAAAAAAAATATTAACCAATCAATTGTAAGTAGGTAACGAAATGTTTTTTTTCTATAAGAATCATATTTATGCAATGCTTAGCGTTGAACGCCAAATAATAAAGTTTTCAAAATAGCAGCAATATGTTTAGTCGATGATTTTATATAACATTCGTATTTCAGAATTAATTTAAAAATAATAATTGCAAACCATAGAATACGAATTAGTTGCATCACATTAAGTAAGGTTCAACAATTAGTACATTAACAATAATTTAAAATTAAATTAAATTAAACTATATTTTTTTACTAATTTGTATAAACTGTATAAATTTGATTTTCTACTTTTATTGTGCAGTATACGGGGGCCAATATATTCACTAAAAACTGTAAAAATGTATTTTTGCATATATCTTTGTAAAAAAAATTGTCAGGTGGTGCAAATTTGGTTTTATACTTTTCAAAAAACCCCTATCAATTCATGAAAAAAAACAGACAGTGCCACAGCTATTTAGTTTTAATTTTATATAAAAAAAAATTCTTTAAGGCATTTTTTTTCAATGTATTGTTGATAATAAGGAATTTTTAAAATTAAATTATCTAGTATTTTTGTTATCACTTATGAATTAAAATTGTATTATTTTTAAACTGAAAGGGGTTTCCTTTTTATTCCGTGGAATAACTGGTCTGTCTGTTATTTTTACAGCTGAAATTGTATTACGTAAATGTTTTAATTTACGTCCTTGCGACCTACATTTCTTTTAACTTGTGTACAATGTATTTTCTTCCATACGCGTTTTTTTACATTACTTCCTCTTCTTGCGTGAGTATATCGGAAGTATGCCGATTGAGTAATGCCGATTTTTTTCCTATTTCTTAAATTATTGTAAACTTTTTATTAATCCAGAGTGTTTATAATATACATATTACCATGAATCTGTTATTATTGTTATTCGGATTTCTTATACCTATTTAACGAGTGTGCGAAGTATCCGAAAAAAGATGACATAACTGGTTTTCAAACTGAAATTAGCTGATACAGTAAAGTGGGTTAAAGACTCTATAGATACTATACTATTTTACTTTGTATGGGCAATCATCACTTTATTGAAAAATGTATGACACTGAAAATGCAAATACAAAGCAAACTTTATTTTTTTACAATATGTGACATATTTGTCATAATTATTAACATACTTTTTATGTTATTTCTGTAAAATTTTTCATAATTTTTCCTTGTTGACACAATGGTGAGTATAGAAAATGAGGACGTGGAAAAAATTTTGGAAATAATCGAAGAGCACCGAAAATCCTTAACGTTAACCAGCCGCTTGGACTTCAAAGATGAACGAAGGCAAAAAAGCAGCATCACAACCGATTGGGAATCGGTCTTGAAGGACGATGAAACGAATATTGCGCAAGTCAACACTGAAGACACACAAAGCAACCACATGCATGCGGGATTTATGGAATACGAGCGTCCTTTGGAGGAATTCTGCACAGGCTCGAAATACGAGGGGTCCTGGAACACCCTGGGCTTCTCTGGGTATGGAAAATACATATTCCCCCATGGGCCGACGTACGAAGGGGAATTCAGCGATGGTTTGTTTCATGGTTCTGGCCAAATAACCTACACAACTGGCGATAAGCAGAAAATATTGTCTGCTATATTTCGAAATGGTGATATCTTGGAAGATACAGTTTCCTTTCAAGTGGGGGTCAAAAAGCTTACAGCTACTAACATGGAATATTGCATTATGCCCGATAGAAGGCAAGTTTTATGCACAGCCACATAATCTTCTACAAGTATATTTTTAGATTTAATATCGAGTTGAGTTTAAACCCTTTACCGGCAGTCACGGATGAGTATCTAACAAACGCTGAAACTCCTAGAAAGTTATACGAAAAAACGTACGATGTTGGTAACGGATATTTTGATGTAAAAAGAAATGTAATAATAGAGGATGACCCGTAAGATATTACACTAGTATATTTTCCGTTATTCATATTAACTTTTCAGTGAAGAACAACAAGCTAAAATATTGTAAGCAACACTTATTAAAAAAAAACAAAATCACTAAAGAAACATTTCCAGAATCCCGAAAAAAGAACACCAAGATTGGATTGTTGCGCACTGCAGGGCCGACAAAGACTTTCCGGTAGGTCATCAACCATCCCTTTATGAATTCTGGATGGCAGGTCGAACTATGGAACGCGTGAGAAGTGGTTTCCTCGTGAAAGAAGATTCACAATCAATATCCTACAGAGATTCCACGGATTCTGAAGATATAACCGTTATTACATCTGAAGCGAATAGTACGGTGGGGAGTACATCTTTAGCTTATGATAATCTTGCTAAAGCAATCAGCGAGATAAAACTTCTATTGCACAGTGTCAATGAGAATATATGTCCGCAAGATAGTGTTTCCGATAATGTAGCCATCAATTATATGGACAGTATCATAGACTATATACAAAGGCAATACGTTGGACTATCGGACAGCAATATCATGGAAGAACACGAGCAAAGCGTCCAAGATGGGAGAAGCATCCCGTCCACCTACCCTGATGAAGATATCAAAGAGTACCTCAAAAAAATGTCACCCGGGGGTTACGAAGAAACACCAATAAAACCTATAAAAATCAGGTCGAAACAAGTTGTTACCAGGGAAACGTACCAACTACATTCAGACGATGATGACGATGACGATGAACCCATGTCTGATGTGGACTTTAGTCTGGAAGACTTGGACGATGATTTGGATCTCTTATCCGAAACAATCGAGAAAGTTGAAGAGGATGATGAGGCTAAGGAAGATGAGGCTGAAGAAGATGACGTTGCAGGAGATATGAACGAAGACGGCTAAATTTATGTTAAATGTAAGATAAAGTAATAAAGCCATGGGCAAATTTAATTAAATTGTGACATATGTTCTTAGAACGACATTGCATTGTAACCTTTAATTTGAATTATGGATTGAAACACAATTTAGCAATAACTGTGTTTGGACCTCATCGTAAATTATTTTTGCAAAATTGTTGACCCAATTTGCTTAGCTACTTTCAGATCTATTTGTTGATAGACAACAAATCGTTTATAGTATTCAATCCTTTCTCAGGTGGCAATTACTTTCTTTACTTTCTTTGTAGGTACATGGTAAAAAAATATTTGTTAATTTTAACCAAATCATAGTATAGTTTTTATTTTGGAAAATTTTAACATAATTTTTTGTAATTATTTTAACAAAGAAATACAAACTCATGATACCAAATCTGGTTTTTATAACAGTTTACTTAAACTAATCATAATATGAAATTAAAAACTTGCTTTAAAAAATCTGCAATATTTGAAAACAAATACATTTGTCAATAAATGTTTGCGAAACCCCGTATATTCGGAGTAAGTATCTTGTTTACGTTAACCTTTCTCGAGGCGAATTACACAAGCCCAAAACAGACGTTATGCAAGAAGAAATTCGTAGTGAAAAGCTTTCTCTAAAGTGGTCAACACGATAGATATGTATACATGACTTTACCTTTCTGCTACATTTTAAATTGTCGCGTGAAACTTATTGCACTAAATTAAGTTATTCATGCCCTACTCAGAAATATTTTAAGTTAGAAAATAACCCAGATTCATTTAAGAAGCAGTTTGTATGTAGTTATTTCTATAGCTATAGCTTACTCTCTAAAAATGAATTAGTCAAAAATGACTGTGGCTGCTTTTTCACTTGTACCATGGTTAACCATGGAATACCATGGTATCCCAAAATTTAACAGCCAATTCTTATGTAAAATTGTCCCCTGAATCCAAAAATACCGTCAAAAATTATGAAAGTGGAGCAGTTTTTGAGATATAGGCAATTTCATATTAAACGAGTATATCTCAAAAACTGTTCTACTTTTTTTTAACTTTTGACGACATTTTTGGATTCAGGGTACAATTTTACATTAAATTAGTCATTTTTAGAGAGTAAGTTAACAATTGGCATTCTTAAGACAGTTATATCCAAAAGACAACAATTTATTTCGATGTAGACAACAATTTATTTCGATGTAGTAATTTTTGATACTTTTCGAAATAACTTATTTGACAAAAAGAATCTGGAATATCTTTTCAGGGGTACACCAGTGGCTTTAAGTACCATCTACAGAACTGATAAAGTTGATAAAATGATTAGTTTCCTGTCCCTCAACTAATTTATTAAATTAATTCAGTTTCTGTTACAATAACGGTTAACTTACATAAAAATAACAATATTCGAAAGTAGTGTCAACATTACAAAAACAATGATACAATTATGTTTAATATTATGTGATATTAGTGTAATTACTTATCGTTTTGTATATTTTTTCAGGCGATATAAAATTAAGCAAGAAATTTTACTTTTTTCCAGTTATATAACCGCTATATGCACAATTAAAATGATTGTTATAAAAGTACGTCAAAATGAGCTACTTGTATTTTAATTTTTATGAATTTGTAGAGCGCTTCAAGCAACTACTTAATTTGTGTTATGAGGTTTCCTGCCTTTCGCTGATTGCACTCTCCAGGTTAATTTTATGCTCATTTAATTTATTTGTTGCATTATTTTTTCTTTGAAATAATAATTATTATATACAATGTATGATTTTTTGAAACTACAATTTCAAATACCATATTACAGAGTATGTAGTAGTATATTATGTATCAAGTTTCATAAACGCCATTTCATTTACGAATTTTATTAGGCACGAGCGAGTGTTTAATAAAAACGAGTGTCTAGAGAAGTTTATAAAACTTTATCTACAACCAAAACAAATAATAAATAAAGCCAAATTTTTTTATATTTCTCGGTTATTTCTCATTACAATTTCGTATCGGCTCCAAACTCACACATTACGTTCGGTTTGTTTACGTTTTCTGTACGCGGTAGAGTAGGTCAGTAACTGGACGTAAAACCGAACCCACACCAACTTGGTGTTGTGGTGTTAGCGAGTAATTCTGATCGCCGGTGTCTTCTTCCATCAAACAGTTGACGGTAGACGCTGTAACGCTGCGCAACGCAAAAAACTCGCGAAGTGCCCGTGACCGAGTCATTTTAAAGCTGTAAGTGACTTTAATTGTGATTTACGCAGGTTTTGTGCTTTACCTATAAGAGTTTTAAATGGTATTTTGTGTTTTATTAAACCTTAAAAATGCTATTCAGTATCCTTCTATGGGTTTTTTTATGGTAAGAGCTACAAGGTGGTTTATTAAAATTAAATTTATAAATTCGAAAAAAAAGCCAGGAGTTTTGAGAATATTTGAGAACAAAACTTAAAACATTAACAACTGTTATTCCTAGGAATTAAAAAAAAGTAAGTTTCACATGTAATTAATTTAATTTGTGATTTTTTTCGCACACTATCTTTTGTTTTTCATCAAGGAATGTATGTTTACATGTGAAAATTACTCTGTTTCAAAATTCCCACAAAAAACGAAGTTATAACAATTTTTTGAATATTTTGAGACCTTGTAACTATTCTATAAAAAATAGCATAGAAGGATCATTGATGCACATTTTAGGATGTAAGTAAAAGTTTTTTTGGCTATGAATACAAAATTAAGGCAATATTTTTAAAACTGACATAGTTTTGTTCTAAACCTCTTATATACTAAAGGTGATAAAAAACTCTAAAGAAACTTTTGTGTACCAGAGGTTTGATCATTAATATTTTAAATCAAAATTATTTTAGAATTACAAATTTTGCAGCAAACTGTACCTATCTATAACAAAACAACGTATTCAAACTAAGCCCAAAAAATTGTTGAAAAGTAAAAAATTAAATAGCACCAATAAAAGACAAATTATTAAAAGGCAAAAAAGGCACAAACTGAAAATATTAAAAAATTAACGCCTTAAACATAAAACAACATTAATAATTTAAATTTATAAAAAACTAATTTTACATTTATATTATTTTGTAAATTTGCCTACACTGATTAAAATAAATTTACGACTAATCATAGTAATCGTGTTAAATAAGTGGTCCACAATTAAAAAATATTTTGTATTATTTTCCAAGCACCAAATTACAGAGAAATTTAACAACCACTTTATATGAACAGTTAGCCAAGTATATTGCATTTTTTCTAGAATGTTACCACCAAATAAAAAATCATCATTTTAATAAATTAAAAACTAATTGTAGGGTATAAAACTAAAAGCTTTCCAATTTTACCCAACTACCAATGCAAAATGATTGTACGTAAAATGTTAATACTTTCAAACTTAATATATTATACGAGTATTATATTAAGTTTAAATTTTTAATCAAAATTAATTAAATGGATTAATTAGATTTTCAACCATTAAATATAAAAGGGAGCCATTTATAACAAATCAATTTATTTTAATAGCTCTTAACGTATGTACTAGATAGTTCTAAACAATCATGAAAGTTTGTAATAATAAAAATACTTTCCAACATAAACCTAATTTTTCAATAAAATCCAAACATTTATTTTATTATAAATTGCAGAAACTATTTATATCAATAATTTAAATGAATTTATACAGTAAAATAAATAAAATTACAGATGTTATTTTATGACTAATATTTCCTGAATCGCGAAGAAAGCTTTAATAAAGTCACTGGTCAACTAATTGCTATTAGTGAGTGGTAGCATAAAATTTATCAAGGAAATTGTTTTAAAATGAATACTTTCGTATGTCAATATTTTAACATAATAAACATACATTTTACACTTCATGATGTTTATTTGTGTCGCCTCATTACACATGGAGCGTTGTTTGAAATCCGTATTATTACACTCAGAAAAATGTACATGCACTGATAATGAAACTAATTTTGTAAGCGATTAATAAAATAATATTATTTAACTTAAATGACTATAAAAAAATGTACCACCTAAGGTAACTTTTTTATTACATTTTCAGTGTCTTATTGGCACAAAAACCTAAGATTTGACAAAGTAATGAGATTATTTTTATATACAGAATAAACCTTTTTACTGTTAATATAATTCTCATTTACTATAATGAAGCAGCAATGTTGAACTTTTATAAAAAAATGTTCATCCAACAAAGTAATAGTTGTTACATAAAGTAATGCGCAGTTTTTATAGTAAAATTAGTTCATTTTACTATGGCATGTTTGTCTTTTTTAAATTACTATCGTTGTAATTCAAATTAATTTTATTTCAGTTAGAAAATCTTTGTTAATAGCTTGGGTTAAGAACAATAACAAAAATATTTTATTGCTATAAAAAGACTTTTTTAATATTTACTATTGTTTTGCAATGGTAACAAAATTTTTGTTATTTCCCTTAAAAAGAGGGGGAAAGGGCCAGCGCAATATAACTTTATAATCCACAATTCGTGTTATAATCTTATTGGTTTCACTTGTGCGAGTGAAGTGTGGTAAAATTTAGCATGATAAAATTATCAAAAATATCACTAAGAAAATTAAAATTTGGACGTTCTCTAAAAGAAATATTTAAGGTCTATATAAAAAGTTTTTTATTTTTAATGCTTTTAGTTTAATTTTAAGAGTCATTGCCAAAAAATATAATAGTGAGATGATTTTTCCTTGAAACTAAATTATGAAATTATCGTCTGTAAAAAATTCATCATCAAAATTGTGAAATCAATAAAATAAAAGTTAATCAAAACAGTTATAAAATAAAATTCCTTGACTGAAGCTTAAGAATGATATCTCTGAAGTATAATAAGTGACTAAATATAAGTAAATAAAACGGTGAGTGAGGAAATTTAATGTTATTAATGCATTAATGAATAAAAACATTGTTAATTATTGTATACTATTATTCCCAACTTTTCTTTTATTACAAATAGGTATTGTTATAAAATAATACGGTTTAAGATAAAAGTACAATACAAAAAATGATTTGTTAATAAAATTTCAGTTATTCATTTTTTAAAAGTTTAGTAAGTAACTACCTACTACTGATTACCAATATAGCCAAAAATAACTTGTTTTATTGTTACCACCAAAGTACTAGTATACTCGTAGTATGGTAGATCCAATAATAACGAAGTTAATTAATTAAATCTAAGAATATTTTTATAAATTTTATTGAAAAATTGCATGTACCAAATTCAGCTTGTGTTGTCCATTAGTTTTTGTATTTAACCTTCCATATTAAGACATCAGTGAGCACAGCCATAATAAAAAATATGAATAGAATATTAATTACTTTATAAATATAATTATTACAAAATGTTGCTATGCACTTTGGATGCAAATTATTCGGTATTTAAATTTATGTTGCATACAATAAAAAAATTGAGTTTAAGACATGGTTTGGTATTTTTTTAAATTTGTTCCATAATGATTTTTAAGTAAACTATTTTTAATTTTATTTGATAAGATATCCCATACTTACAAATTCGTCTAAAGTAAATTATATTTTTTAAACTATGAACTATGATCTTTTGGCTAAAATTCTAAGAAATATTATTTAAAAATATTTAATTTTGTAAACTTTACGTATAGTAGATATGTAGTTGTTGTTTTTAAATTAATTTGCGTATTAAATAGATAATGAATTTGTAAAGATGTCGAAATTAATAAAAAATATCAGATGTTTATAATTATTATAATTAATCTTGCCCAATTTGTAATTTTTTCTGGATAAACATTGACACGATTTGATAAAATTCCTTTCTTAGAACTCTTAAACTGCCTTTACCATGTACGCATATTAAAAAACTTTTTTGACTTAAATTGCTACAGAAGTCAATCATCCTATATCCTATGTTATTTCCATGTCAATAAATAAGCGTGGAGGTAATAAATTAGATTTCCAACTGACAAATCAAGAAGTAAAAATAATTCAAATTTAAATTTTCTAATTATTTCCTACTAAACGGCATTCCTATAATAATTATTGGAGAAACGAATTGATGCCAACTAGAGGCACTGAAAATAACCGCTGCCTTTTATTTTATAAGAGAAAATAACTGAATTTTATATTTAGTTAAACTAGGAATTATTTTGTTTATTAAGGTGCATTGATCCTATTTCAAATTATTTTAATTAATGGTCATTTAAATGATTAATATGTCATGAAATTGTAAAAAACTTTCGTGGAATATTTTGAAATATTTTAGAGAATTTATTAGATATGGTAAAATAAAAGATACACTACACTCTTAGAAAAGACCTGGTATTTGTAACTAACTTATTATCGTTGGGGTAAAACTGTTGCAGAAAATAACATTTTTTGTTTTCTGTAATCAGTACCTTTATATGTGTAACTGCTTGCATCATTACCTGAAAAGATTTAGTTTTGTTGTGGAGTATTATTTACTGCAAAAAGGCGATTAAGTTATTTTAACTGAAACTTTGTGTTGGCTAGAAGTATTGACAACATTATCTCAAAAAAATCATTTCGGCGGTAAAATGTTTTTGTTGGACCAAATATTTAAGTAACATTCTCAACTGACTGAAATTAGTCCGTGGAACTAACGGTTCGGTTGTATAAACTATGCGTCACTTTTCATACAGCTAAGACACCAGCGGTGTGAAACAAAGTGTCAGTTGGGGATTTTGTCTCTGTAGGTTAATGCAACTGCAAACTTTGTGCATTTCGCGCGCGATTTGTCCAGCCCGGCGCGTGCTTTACTTTTAACCTGTAAACAAACGGTGTTGCACGGCGTCCAGACTTCGGTGGTGTTTGTTCTTTTGTATTTGTGTATCAGCTCGTGTGTTGTGTATATTTTAGGTAACAAACTAGTTTATTACAATTAGTCATTTGCCCCTGTAAATTCAGTGGCGACATAATTTTTAACTATTCATATATATAAGAATATATTCTTATGTGTTGGTTACTTATAGATATCTCGAACAAATAATATGGATAAGCGGACTGAAGTACCTAGCAGATTTATTAGGAACATGGGGTTTACCTGAATTGGTCCCAGTTTTTAAAGGTTAGGTATTATTATTGCACTCCTTTAATTACACTATTGTAGTTTTGGGGTCCGAAAAAAAATTCAAAAATGTGAAAATGCCATACCGACTGAAAATGGCCTCCTGAATCCAATGGTGCCCACCAAAAGTCTCCATCACGTCGGAATTTCGAATTCTTACCCCTGTTATCATGCAAGTATGTTACGTTGTACCTAAGAATTATTGTTAAGTTGTTAAACAAAGGCTTGCACTTCACGTAAACATCACGGTTTATTGAAGAAGTATAGTCAACTTTCATCTTAATGTACCTATCTGTGTATATTTACCAAAGAATCGTTTTTGTTTTATTGTTAAAATATTTATAAATGTTTTCTTATAGTAATTATTAATTTTTGTTATAATGTTTAAACCAAAATTTGGTGTTTTCAGTTATATTGTTATTTTTTAATTTATAATAAATATTTATAAAACGAACGGGCATGAATTTCCTTTCTCTATTTTTTATAATATTTACACAAAAAGTGTTATATTTACTAAGCAGGTATGTACTGTGGAATAATACCAATTTGTTGTTGCTACTAATGCAAGCATTTAATATTAAATATAACTTAGTTACAATACAAAACAAATTTATATTATATCAACTATTAAATTCTTTAAATGTACCTTTTTTCATGTAATTTCAATTAAAAAATAAATTCCTGCATGATACAATGTTTGTTGCGATAAATAGCAAGTGCAGTTGTTACAACTTAGACGCTGCTAAAATGACAGACTAATGTGATTGCATTAAATATCAATTATTTGTATGAAAAAAAAACTAATTTCGATGCACTTAAACTTGTTGGTTGGAGCTACCAATATTGGCTGTTCCGACAACAAACTGTAAAAACAAATTTGTATTAGTTCCCACAACATATTTTTTTGTTGTGCCTATTTTCACTAATAAAATTGGTTCTGGGAACTAAATTTTCATTGCAAATACCAGGTCTTTTCTAAGAGTGTAAAATTGCCTAAAAATACATATTAAAAAATATAATTTTTTATGGATATATTTTTAATTAAAATAAAAATCTTGTAATTTATTTAAATATCAATAAAATATAAATGTTTAACATTTGTTATCAAAAAAAAAAAATATTGAAATGTCTGAAAAATTCAAATGTCAAAATATTAATCTTGTTAGCCAACTGGTCGAGAAATATTGTTAAGTAACTAAAGCAATTAAAGTACACCAAAAATAATTAAAAACGCATTAACGAAAAGGATTTGAATTTAAAATCCACACAATTTTTGAAAGGATGTTACAGTAATTGTTGGTATACTTTTATTTCACCATTTAATTTTCTCATTTATCATTTTAACCAAAATATATATATAATATTTGATGGGAAAAGATTTCTATAAAAAACATGAATGAAATAAAATAGTAAACAAGACTTCTATAGAAAATTCAAATGTATGTAGTAAATTTATACAGAATTTACCAGTACATTAACATATCATCATTTAATATTATTGGTAATAGCACTTAGACTAAGCTCACAAATGTGTGTTCGGAATGTGTAATAATTTATTTTCATTCTAGGGTATCAGAGGCATGTCCAAAGGAAAACCAATCAACAACAGAGATATTTCAACACATCATCATTCTTACAACGGTTCATTTTAACAACACAAGTCTTCAGTCTCATATTTTATTTCATTTAGTATAGTGCGTTGTGCGTGCGAGTGACTAGATATAGAAGAATTTGGAGACTTTTTTTTGGTTTTATGTCCATAATTGGAGATGGGACGAAGTAATGTCCATGTTATATGTGCTGTGCTGATTTTTATTTTAACAATTGTTGATGCCGGGATTTTGGACACTTTCAGTTGGGCGAGATCCGACAAGATCGAAGTGAGCTTGCCTTGGTTGCCATGTAAGTGTGCCTCATTTAATTTTGATTATTATTAATTAGAATAAATATAAGAAAAATCATATCCATTGACATAAAAATACGAGAACGCAAAAATTAACAAAATCTCTTAAAAGAAATGAAAATAACTTTGATTCAAAAGTTTTAGAAGAAACTATATTTAGAGAGATTTTTCTATCTAATATCTCTTGGTCCATAAGTATGTATTGCTTTATTCAAAAGCTTCTGATCTTCGCTGAAACTACCAGCGTTGTTAGTATTTAAGCTTAAATTCCCCTCACCATATGGGCCTTTTGATTTTAATTATTGAAACCTGCATTTAACAATTAAAATCAAGGACCTTCGTAGTAAGGGGAGTTCAAGCCTAAATATTGGCATCGTTGAAAACTAGAAGATTGACTGAAAAAAAAAATGTTTACAAAAAAAAAATTTAAATAAAATAAGGCATTTATTGTTTGATATCAACAAAAGCGCAAGTTTTTTATACTACCAACAATAAAGTAACATAAATATGATTTAAAATACATATTTTATTATTGCCCCTAGAAAATGGCGCAATGATACAAAACGTACAAACGGTGTGCGCGTTTTGCATCCCCTCCCATGTATCAGAAGCTACCAGATTTTGTTTGAAAATTGACATGCTATTGGGATAATTGTGATGTATCTTGAATGAATTGCGTAAATATAAATAAATTTCATAGCTTTTGAACAAAAAAATGTTGCACTTGATTGAAAGAAGAAACATTTAAGAGATTTTGTATTTGTTTTCAAGAGAATAAATGAGGAGCATCCGTGCAAAACCGGCTATATCCACTTTAACAAAATGTTGGAAAAATGGCAAAAACTCTCGGTTTCCTGGCCTTTACAGATAAAAGAAAAAGCAAACTTGAGTTTTGTGGGCTTTGTGGTACTTGATTTATAAGACATACTTTCGTTTTCAAAAACTTTATATTAAGGCCAAAATTTCAAAAAATGTTTTGTATATAGCCGGTTTTGCTCGAAAACCGAATAAAATGTAAAAAAAACCTTTATTATTAAAAAATATTAACAAAATAAATTTAGTGCAAACATGAAAAAACAGAACAAATTTTAATAGTAGTATCGACATATCCAAGCCACATATTATTATTTATTGGATATAGCCGGGTTTGCTATAAAAACGTGGATTTGGCCGGTTTTGCTCCTATAGGTTTATAAACCTACCTTTTAAATGTGATTTTAACATGGATATAGCCGGATTTAAACAGAATTATATTGGTTGTCGATAGAAATGAACCCAAAGATGCGAAATCAAAAAAAAAACCTAAAACTGAATAAAATGGATTTAGCCGGTTTTGCACGGATGCTCCTCAAATACTCTTTTATATTAAAAAATTGTTTCTTGCCGCTAATCATTTTTTATCAAGAGAGTTGACTAATTTAGTTTAAGGGCACCTTTTTGTACTGAAGAATAAGCCTAATAATAAAACTCACTTTAAAAGTCCAAATTTAGCAAAAAAATTTGAAATTAGTATTTGCTATTTTGTTTCAAAAATGGTGAATGCGCTGGGGTAAAAAATACCTTTATAGTTAACTAAACAACAACAAAAAGGACACTAAGAAATGTGGTTATTTTTTCTTTTTTCCATATTACTTAGTAAATTTTATAAATAAAATTATATTAAACAAATTAAAAATACCTTCTATGGTCTATTAAATGTTTTCAAATTATATTTAAGTCTACTTACTAGTTAACATTCATTATCAGGATGTAAATAATTAAATTTGTTAAAACTTGCATATTTTGCGTAAAACATTTTATTTTAAGGACTGTCATGTCAAGAAAAAATTAAGTTGGGACTTCTGAAACGCTATATAAAAATTTGAGATTAAGTTTTAAATAGTGCTTGCAATGCTATGATATTTGCAACAAAATCTAGAAATAAAAACTGACACCACTAAGTAAAGAAAGTATTGGCATGTTAAAAAAATCGCTTAGGTAATAATAATCAAGTTAAAAGAAAGCCAAAAAATAAAGTAGGAATTTTATTTATTTTTACGATTATTCAAATACCAATCGCTATTATAACATTGAGACATCATGCAAATGTCGCTAAATCATTAAGCATTATTATTTAATTAGTGAATTAGTTAACACCTTGATAAAATAACACGTTTTAGGCCTATAATAAATCATATATGGTATATAAGTCATGGTTAACATGAATTTTATGGCCACATTGGAAAGAATAAGACTTCTATTGTTAAAAAAACTTGTTTATCAATACACTGTTGTAAAATTCAAATTTGTTTGTTTATTTTTTTTGTAGAAAACCATGTACATGTACTACATAGTTATTTTACAAATGAAAAGATTTTAACCAAAAGTTTTGTAAAGGTAATATATGCGATTTTGTAAGAATTTTGTTAATTTTAAAGGTTACAGATTATTTTGTAAATGTTTAACACATTATTTCGTTTAATAAACATGTTATTTAGGGGATGGTTCATACAGGGTGTAGACCAAAACTGGCCACCAAGTAATTGCGACTTACCTCCACTTGACTCACTTTCAGTTTTTTTTTAAGTAAGGCCCATGTAAACCGTGCCAAGACGAAACATCTCAATTGTGTGGTAAAATTGTTTTGTACAATATAATTTTTTTCAGTTGAAAATGAATCCAGATGCTACGATGAACTGGGTTGTCTTAACATTACTAGAAGTTGGTATCACCTGATCAACAGGCCATTCAACGTTTTTCCATTACCGAGATCTGTGATAAACACTAGGTTTATACTGTATACGAGAACTAACCCTACTGAGGTAAGTTTAACATTATTGTGATGTAATATAACCTCAAATATTTAAATGAGGTCGAATTCGGATTCTTCACCTCAAAAACCTTGAAGACCTACTTGGATAAGTGAATTTAATTGGAAAGTAGGAAGTATTGGTTGAACACAATATCTTGCAGATGATGCATTCTTGTCTTCTTCAACCATTTTATCTATAGTTCGAATTAGGAGATTCCTCAGATTCTATTACGTTATGTAATCTCCTAGAAACTATTCGTACGTGCAAGAGAATGTTCGATGATTGACCGACTCAAATTGAACCCCATTTCATGTGTTATTTTTGTTCAAGGGTCAATTAATAAAGGCTCAAAATCAGTCCATCAATGAGTCCAACTTCGACATCGAGAAAAAAACTAAGTTCATTATACATGGATTTATCGACACGCCTTTATCAAATTGGGTAAGTAATTATTTTTTACTAATTACTAAGTATATTTAAGCGTATTATATTAAATGATAAATAATAAAATACTATAGAAAATATATAATATTTTAATTATAAAACACTATGATAGATAAAATAATGTAAAAAATTTCCTGCAGCCAGTGTAATTTGAAACCATTACGGTCCTGTATAATACGTGGGTATCAGATAGGTAGTGATTTCCTGTAGGTAATAAATAGTATTGGTATTGTTTTGTTTTATTATTATTAGGTATTATAATTAAATATATGCTTGTGGTAAGATATAGAATCCTATTTATACTGATATCTGATTTTTTTGGTTTTGATAGAAAGTTTGTAATTCAATCATTTAATTCATTAAAAATAATATGTCGTAGGATTTTGTTATGGCAAAAATTAATCTGGACATTAAAATATGCATAAAATAAAATCATTTTTTCAGGTTGGCGACATGAGAGATGAACTTCTAAAGGCAGCAGACGTAAATGTCATCGTAGTAGACTGGGCAGGTGGAAGCCTACCTTTATACACCCAGGCTACTGCGAATACGAGACTAGTCGGTATGGAAATAGCACACTTGATCAACTATTTGGTGGTAAGTATTTTTAATAGTTCATTAGTTTGATTTCAACAATAGGTAAATTTGTGCTTAGGACTATTTAAACTGATTAAAGTAAATGCAAATGAATTTAGGCGTAAGTAATACGGTCTTGACCTACTTAAATAAGAGTTGTTTGTTTTATTTTCGAAAATTTTCGAGAAACGTGCAAAATGACAAATTGATTGTTATATAAGATAATAAGATATAAGAAAAGTGTGTCATATGCATAAGTTAATACGTTGTTAAACAAATAAATTAATTAATTTGTAATAAAAATTGTTAATTGTTCTGGAAATAACGGTAAATATATTTTGTAATATAATATTTCAGAAAAAATATGACTATGACGCAAGAGATGTCCATATAATCGGGCATTCTCTAGGAGCCCATACAGCAGGCTACGCAGGATCTTTGGTGTCAGGACTGGGCAGGATAACAGGACTGGATCCTGCTGAGCCATATTTCCAGGTAAAAAATAATAATATTATCTTCCATTTTTAAATAAATTAAATTATAAGGTGAATGACTAATCTATGTGCAAGCAGGATAACCCAGTGCATTTGTTGTTTTTTTTGTCTTGTTCGAAATTATATAATGGACATTACGGTATTGAATAACTTTCACATTCCAGCGCACAATTGCTTGATTTAAATTACCTTTCTTGGCGCACAATGGGTAAAAATTATAACACCATATTTACAAAGAAATTGTATTGGAAACATGTATTTTTACACCAATTAAATTTCAACGATTTTACAGTTTTTTATAGTTTTCCATAATTTGTCGGTAATTAACTAGGTATTTAGTTTTATTTTCTAATAATTTTTTGTTTGGTAATATGTTTTGTTTTTTCTTAAAATCATTTCCACCTAAAAAAATATTTTCACCCACTGTGCATTTTTGTAAATCATTTATAATTTTGTACAGGGAATGCCGGCTCATGTGCGCCTTGATCCAACCGATGCTGAACTCGTTGACGTCATACATACTGACGGAAAAGGAATTTTCTTTTTAGGTAAAATAAAAATTATTACAAAATTATTTTTTTAATATTTTTTTTGTATAGGCTATGGTATGTCACAACCCTGTGGTCATCTAGATTTCTACCCTAATAATGGTAAAGAACAACCAGGTTGTGATATTACACAAACACCTTTAGTACCATTAACCTTAATAAGGTAAAAAGGATTCGAAATAATTGTATTTCAGGTTTAAAAATATAAATATTTTTTTCTATACAGAGATGGCCTGGAAGAAGCCTCAAGAGTGTTAGTGGCTTGTAACCACGTTCGAGCTATAAAACTTTTTATCGACAGTATAAACACACAATGTCCCTACATAGGTACTAAAAAATCGCACTTAAAATAAACCATAACTTAAACCAACAATTTTTAGCTCATCAATGCGCAAATTTTAACCAGTTCATGGGAGGAAAATGTTTTAACTGCAAACCTGGATCTAACTGTGCTATAATGGGATACCACGCCGATAATACGCCAGGTTTAGACAACGAGGTCTCGCCACAGACTAAAATTGACACCATAGGGTCGAAATATTTCCTTACCACTGGACGGGAATATCCGTATTGCAGTAAGTAGTTATTTTATTATTTCCTGCTAAAATGTTACTTTTATATACACAAAAACAACATTAACAACAGTGAGAAGTTTGAAGTTGATGCTAACATCTCACTATTGTTAATGTTGGTTTTGTGTATATAAATTAGGGGGTGATATATTTTAAGTATGTTGTTCCTCTCTATACTTTATTTATAATTATTGTCTGTCAGATCGCATGTACCGCATAAGCGTGGAACTGGCGAAACCGGGCCTGGCCGAGACCTGGGTGCAAGGCTTCGTGAGAGCCTCTCTGTACAGCCCGGCGGGCGTGATACACGCCGACCTAACCTCGTCCGGGGACACGAGGCTAGAGCACGGTACGACTTACACGACCGTAGTCTCGCACCCGGTGGATTTGGGCGGGAGCGTCAGGAAAGTGGAGTTGAATTGGGAGTACGACATGAACGTTCTGGAGCCCAGGACGTTGTGTTTGTTTTGGTGCAACGACCATTTGTATGTTAAGAGCGTGATGGTGGACGAGATGGAGATGCCTGGGAGAGGGTAAGAGGTTTTAGTTTTGGATGTAACTCGGAAAGTATTCAGGTTAGGAAGTTTTAATTTGGACTACAATTGGAGAAAATATTAAGTAAGATTGTGTACAAATTTCATTATTTTATTTTTTGTAGTTTTTTAGATATTTAGAGTCAAGTTTATCTCTACATTTGTAGGAGGTAACATATTTTATTTGTTAAAATAAATTGGAGACTATTTAGTTAAAGACTTTAAAATTGGAGAATATTTTGAGATAATATAAAACAATATTGGGTTATTTTTTTTTTTACTTAGGTATTTGTAGTTTTAAAGTCAAACTAAAGCAAGTATATTGGCAAAAAATTGTTTTTTTAGATTATCTAATAATATTTTTTTTTCTTAGTAAAAGGGATGCACAATTTTCGAGCAGACTATGTACGAAGGGGAAAAGGGAGTATGCAGACATAGCGAACAGGGGAAAAGGCATTTTCCTGGACGCATGCAAATCGTCAAATAAATACGACAAAAGCTAGCAATCAAAGTTTTCTAAAAACGAGATTTTCAACGGCTGACTTGTGTCATTTTGTCGAAATCTGATTGTTTCTAAGCATCACATTTGTATTTAGAAAATCAGTGTTTCTAGTATACTGCATTGGGATGCTTGAAAAAAAGCGATTTCGTTTTTTTAGCTGAGACAAAAGAGAGCCATATCAGTTCAAAACTTGTCCAATATTTATTTATAGACTTGCAAATTTTCGATTAAACTTTATTACAAACGATGTTTAAGTCTTTATTTTCATTCAGTTTTTGAGCTATCGCGTTGGGAACTGATTGGCATAACATATGTGTTTCAAAGGAAGAAACAAAAATCTTCTGCATTATTTCAATGAAATATTAGATATACTATCAGGATTTTTTTTGTTAGAGCGAAAAAACGATATCAGTTTTTTAAACAACCCTAATAGTGTATGCAGGATTTTTTCTGCATATAAATATAGTTTAGTTTATTTACTAAACATTTTAAAGACTACATATATAGTCTTTATAAATGTTTAGTAACATTGCCAAATAAACTACATAAACTAAAAAGAAAAAATGTATATAGCTTTTCTTAGATTGGAATAGATGTTAAAAGTAAAAGTGTAGGTTGTTAAATTGTGATTTATTTTATTATTTATTTAAAGTACAAAATATACAATGTTAAATATTGATTAACTTTCATATATTTCTTGTAAATATTACATTACATAAGTTTTATGTAAATTAGTATTATTTTTAACTCGCATCGCATTTAATGTAATTTATTACTTAAATTATGGTAGGGGAAATTTCATTATTTAATATTAAAATATTTACATTGTATATTAATAATATTTGGCACAATCCTATAACTGTGCTATATTGTGATATGTGACATATTTTTATAAAATAAAAACTTTTTTCTAATAAATAAAGTTTTATTTCTTAAATTACATAATTACCTCTTAATTAATCAATCAATATGGATCAATACTTTTCCAGTACATTTCTTATCATCTATAAATTCAATTGCCTTATTCACTTCTTCCAATTCGAATTTTGCACTAACATGTGCAGAAATAATCCCTTCATTAGCCAACTCTAAAGTATCTGCCACCACAGTTTTGTATAAATCGACATTTTGTTTTCTCAAGTATTTTAGAGATACTATGGATAAAAATGAGTGGGGGGTCGGGGCCGGGACAGTCTCATAAAAAAACGGAGCTGCATGGAATATTTTTCCGTGTAAAGCAGAACTAAAAAAATATTTTTTAATCACTACAAATTTGTTATAGTCACAGTATTTCTCACCATGTTCCAACAGTTTTCATCATGTGCTCGCCAACAGCATCATAAACTACTTTAACCCCTTTATTGTTAGTTTCTTTGAGAATATTTTTTTGTAACTTTGTATTAAATGCGATAGTTTTGAATGCGCCTTTTTCGCGAACTAAGTCGCCCAATTCTTCGTTATCAACGACACCAATCACCTAAATTATATTTTAATGAAATGTTATCTTGTCGTCTTTAAGAATATCCTGAGCAACAGTATTCCAAGCAACATTTTAAGTAAAAGCGTAGAGCTTTGAGGCAATATTACTTAATTTAAGTAAATATTTTGTTAAATTAACCTTAAAAATTTACTTTGAAGTAAAACTTTTTAAAGTTATTTAATAAGTTTTATTTATATTATTTTTACCTTTACCTTTTTTAAGGTTATTAGTGGTAATAAATACTATTAATATTGACTAAACAAGGAAAAATAAGCTTATAGTGAAAAATAAAACATTAAATTTTTTCAGGTCGCCATAATGAGTTTTTAAAGATGGCATCTATTACTTATCTAAACATTTACATAATATTTTTTCATAAATATTTTTCTAAAATATAATAAGGAAAGTTTTAGTTATAAAAAAATGATTAAAACTAAATGATTTTTAAAAGTTTTTATAAAATTTTGTAGGTTTTAGGTTTTGTTGAAGCAATAATTTTTCTTAAAACCGTAAAATATTTAGAGGGCAAATCATTTTTAAGATGTATTGTGCCTATTTTTATCAATAAAATAATGTGTGTTTGAGTTTTAATGCAAAACATTATTAGTTTTGACAATTTAAGTTATATTTTTTAATTTTACTATAGGGTTACTTTGTAAGTACCATTTTGTAAAATATAAATAAAAGAACAAAGAAATTATGAATGTCAATGTTTTAGAAAGAAAGAGCAAACAGTTAGTAATTATAGCGTTATTTTTACGTAATTTTGTGGTATTTATATTGTTTTTATTACGTTATTCTCTTAGTAGATCAAAAAGGTTATTATGTAGGTAAAATAACGAAATAAACCATTCTCCAAATTTGGTAATTTTTCGTATTTATACCGTTCTAAAACCATAAAAGTTGACTTAGTAGTAAATTTGTAGTTATTTAAACTTAAAGTGCTGCTTGGGATAATAATAATTTTATGTAAACTTACAGTTGCCCCATAGACATTAGCAGCTACATCTACAGCTGCAAGTCCCATACCAGCTGGCCCCACTGTAACAACAATTTGTTCTTTTTCTTTTAATGTGGATAATTTTGAAAATGCATATAATGCAGCTGAATGGCCATACGTTAAAACAGCCGCATCTTTACGATCTACTTCGCTGGGAATCCTCCACACATCACATCCATCAAGCTAAAGTAAAAAGAACATTTTATGGCAGGTATATTGGACAACTTTTTATGATAAGTAAGTATGCATAAGAAAACTGTACAATAAACATATGCTAAATTTAACATTTCTTACTATACATTCTTCAGCAAAGGCCCCGAAATTCTCCACACTTAAACCAGCAACCCTATCCCCGACCATAACCTTCTCCTTGGATATTTCTTTCCCAACCTCAATAACATTTCCAGCCAACTCGTAACCAGGTATGAAAGGTAAATTAGGATCCCCAGTCTTGAACTTAACGCAGTCCACAGAATTAACACTCACATACGACACTTTAACCCTAACTTGGTTCGATTTCAACTTTTCTTGTTTACGTTCTTGAATTTGTAGAGGTTCGCCGGGTTTTATTAAAACCGCGGCTTTAAAAGAACTCGATAGTCTTTGCTGCGATTTCTGACACACCGAGGACAATACGCCTAAAGTGCGAGTCAAAACAGTATTCATTTTTGAATAAAAATAGTTTAAAAATTATAACATAACCTATAAAATTCTAATGAAGTTTGAGGTTATGATTACTGTAGTTACAATGTACCAGTGCGCACAGTGAAACGATTTGTAGTTTATTTTGTTTAAGTGATAACTTATCTGGTAATATTTAAGTATAGAAGAATTTTGATATCACATTTTTAAATATATAAAAATAATTTTATTCAAGTGATTGTATAATCAAAGATAATATTTTCTTTATTAATATCTTTCACTGTGCGTAAAATGAAACGTCACCTGGTAGTTCAAACGTAACATCAACACCCATCTGTCAGAAATGACTGTGATCGTACTTTTTGGCGTATTTATGGTTTAAATGTGTAAATAATCGGCATGATGCATCCTGCAACAAACGTACCAAACCAGTCGGAATTGCCCGCAGAATTGTGCGCTAAACCTTTAGCTTTAGTGGGTATTTCGGGGTTAGATACGGTGAACAATGCAACCCACAAATCTATATGGGAGTTATTTAGCGGTAGCAGACGTGTTGATAGGGCTCCCGTGCTCTTTAAGCTCATCAAAAATGATCACGAGTTCCCGGTCATTAAACCTAAAAGGAACTCCTATGATTGGTACATTCCCAAGGGGATTCTCAAGAGGAATTGGATGAACAAACATTTGTTCGAGATTCCGGCTGTGATGGTTATTTTGTACGATTTAGACTGGAACGACCCGTATTGGAGCGAGAAGATGATTGAGTGTGCTTCTAGAGTTCAGTCTATGAGGTAATGAGTACTGTAATATTAGCATTTTTAGCTTAGGGTACAGGTGTATGAAAAAATGTGTATACATAGCAAAATATCTTTTTAAGGGCTGCTTTGGAGGGTAGAGACACAAGAATAGTGGTGGTTTTAATACAAAATGTCCTCTCAATCCCTGCAAATGAAGATTCTTTGGCCTCAGATCGAGCCATAGCTTTGTGCTCAAGCTGCGAGTTAAACTCTGGTTCTTTGTTTGTTTTGCCTCATGGAGATCATTTGCAGGGCTACATAATAAGACTGGAGAACGCTTTTTACGAGTTTTCCCAAACATACTATCACAACACTGCTAAGAACGTCAAGTCCCACAAAGAGCATCTCAATAAGAATACCCATCAGTTCTTACTGGTCAGGCATCAGTTTAAGATGGGGTTTTTGCATGAAATGAAGCAGGACATCCATATTGCTCACAAGTAAGTTTTTATTTAGGGAAAGATTATAAAATTCTCTATGCGTTTTTTAGACATTATACTTATGCCTACAACAGTCTCCTAGAAATACGAATAGTGGATACAAACGCGTTGGAAATTCGTACGATAGCCGGTTTTATAAACTCTAAACTGTGCAGGCTATTTTTCTCCCTTAATTTGCCAAGAGATGCCATTTCTCACTTCAAAAGCCACATTGACAAGTTCAAGAGCAGAATCGGTTTTCAGGAGTTAGTCTTTGAGCACTTTGCTTGGCTCTCAAAGCAGTAAGTTTTTTAAATAATCTCTTTTGGGTGATTTTTATTGTTTGTTGCCTCTTAAGGTATGCTATGTTTGGGGATATTTTTGATGAGGCTGTTAAAATGGGCTTGCCGGCTGTTCAGACCCAGCATCCAGGTCTGTATTATCAGCAGGCCGCTCAGTATGCTATAATTAGGAAGAGAGTTTGTCAGGAATTATGTTCAGTAAGTTGAAATATTAATAATTATTTAATATTACCTATATTTTTTGTTCTACCTACTTTTAATTTTAGCTTGTATTTTTTTACATTAGATTTGTTGAACAAAATATTTATTTTTAATTTTGCAACGTTTTTTAAAATAATTATATTATATTATAAAACGTAAATTGTTAATTGTTTTTTAATTTTTCGTTTAATATTTTTTTAAAATTAAAATTTGTTTTGATTTTTGTTATTTTATGCGATTTTTAACCATATTTGAGAATTTTCCTTTTTCAAGACGATTTTTAGTTTTTTTACCACCTCTTTATTAATCTAAAATTTTGAACAAAACTTATCAAAAATAGGACTGGTTAAATTCTCTTTTCATTCTCTTTAGTTTTTAAAATTTAATCTTTTTGTAAAAGATAACAAAAAATTAGTCTTATAGGTATACCTACATACCTTCTTTTGATTTTAACTTCTTAACTAATTTTTTAAACAAAATTATTTATTTTTAAATTTTGCAACGTTTTTTATAATTTTTAAAACGCAAATTGTGTTTTTTTCGTATTTTTATTTTTTTATAAAGTTTTCTAAAATTTTAATTTGTTTTGATTTTTGTTAGGTATTTCATGCAATTTTTAACATATTTGAGAATTTTTATAATTCTAAATTTTTTAACATGTTTCCATTTTTTTATTTGGCAATAATGCTTAAAAGAATATTTCTTACGTTTTTTCCTGTTTCAAGTCAATATTTATTGTTTTTACCAACTTTTTATTAATCTAAAAAAAATAAATTTTTGAACAATATTTATCACTATTAACTTGTCATTTTAACTTGTCCTAATTTTAGCATTTTATAATTTTAGCTTGTCGACATTTTATTGTTATTTTAACCTATTTTTGTCATTTATAATTTTCTACATTTTCTTATTTTTATTTAAAATTTAATGTTTTTAGTTCTCTAGGTATACCTACTTTTGATTTTATATTGTATTTTTTCCATAACATTTTTTTTAAATAAAAATATTTATTTTTAATTTTGCAACGTTTTTTATATTTTAAAAAGCACATTGTTAATTGCTTTTTTAATTTTCATATTTTTTTTTGTTTAAAGTTTTCAAAAAATTTAAATTTATTGTTATTTTATATGATTAACAATAATGCTAAAAAATATTTCTTATGTTTTTTCCTTTTTCAAGGCGAAATATATTGATTTTACCATCTTTTTATTTATCTAAAAAATATATTTGAACAATATTTATCACTCTTAACTTGTATGTTTTTGTTATTTTAGCTTTAACCGGTCCTATTTTTGTCATTTACCATTTTTTAAAATTCTCTTTTGTATTTAAAGTTTAATGTTTTCCTAAAACATCACAAAAAATAACATTTTTAGCAAATTATCGCGTATCCTCAACCTGACCCGCTAGAAGGCGGAAACAGCATGGAATTTTTCGGTCAAAGACCATGGAGGCCTGGTAAAATGTCCTCTGAACCTCCAGACCCACATTTAGAGTCGAACGGCATTCAAGCTGTGCAATTTTTAGAAAAACTCGCCAACCACTCTGTAAGAATAAATACTAGGTGTTATATTTTTGCCCTACAAAAAATATGTTTTAGAATATCATTATAGCGTTGTACGGACTAGCAATATCCCAATTCAAAACTTACAAATGTCCTAGGACTAGGCGGCATTTAGTTTTGCAAATGGCCGACGAGTATTATAATTCCAAAGACTACGGAAAGGCCCTAACGTAAGTTATGTAGGTACTATGAATTTTGCTAAATTTAAGCCTCATTGTTTTAGTCTTTTGACACATATGCTATGGGATTTTCGCACGGAAAAATGGTGGTCAATTCTTTCGGATATTTTGCAGAAAGCAATCAAATGTGCATATCTTACAGCAAATATCCAAGATTACATTTTGTTGGCTCTGGAGTTGCTAGGTGATAACGTAACGTTGGATATCGATGATAAAAAGCGGATTTACGAAAACGTCCAGAGGATTTTGAAGGTAAGAATACCAAGTTTGTTACAAGGAATGGGGTAGTTAAATTTTTTCTGACCTATACTTTTTATGGTTTTATTCAAGGCGTTTTGTAATTTTAAACATTTCTGTGAAATCGGAATTTCAATTGAGTTTACCGTTTTCGAGATATTTACAAAAAAAACCTCCTAATTACGTCACTAGGGTATTGACAACGTTGCCAGCTTTTTCTATGGTTGCCAGTGTGTTTAGTTTAAGATTCTTACGATAGATGGCGCCCCGTTATAATATTTTAGTTTTAAAACCACTTGATCTATAATTTTAGTTGAGAAGAATTGATTTTTTGACGTTTCTTTTTTTCGGGTTATGTTTTTTTAAATTTAGATTATTGAAAATCAATGTTATTGTTATGTTATGTTATTTGTAATTGATATTAGATAAGTAATTTATTAATAACGGACTCCAAAGCAGAGGAATCTTGTGGAATGGTTGGTACATTGAACATTGGAGCTTTTAAACAAATAAAGTAAGTACCTATAATTATAATCATATTTTGTCGTAAATGCATTTCATTAGTATAATGCCTAGTTCTTTATATTCTTTTAGATATATCTTGGACTCTAAAATATCAAACAGTAATATGATACCTCGTAATAAGGAAGATAGGTACTTAATGAATTTGGTGACCATCTTTCACTCAACTGACAGTGACATTATTTGTACATAACCTCTTCGGGTATTTTCTGACATAACCGAATGAAATCATTAACAAGACAACTTGACAACAGGGTAATTTTCAACCAATAGAAATCTTAGAATGTTGGTCACATGGCGAGGTTTGTGACGTCATAAAAATTTATATTTTTTGTAAATATCTCGAAAACGGTAAACTCAATTGAAATTCTGATTTCACAGAAATGTTTAATATTACAAAACGCCTTGAATAAAACCATAAAAAGTATAGGTCAGATAAAATTTAACTACCCCATTCTAAAACTATTTTGTACAGAAACAAATTCCCTACGGGGACCCTAAACTCCCTCACGACGTACTGCAAAACGCCATCATAATATGGCAGCCAGTGTTCCAAACGCAAACCCTAAACTTCCAACTGGACATGGCGAACATCCAGAGCTGCGTGGAAATCAAGGCGAGTTTCTTGAAGGAAACGTACGAGGTCGACCAGAAAATCGCCGCGGAAATTTACATTAAAAGCACTTGCCCGTTTCCCATTAGTTTTCAAGGGATTTCTGTCCTAGTCAACAGCCCTAATTTGAGTAACGAATACTCGATAAATAGAAAGGAGAATAAAGCGTTGAGTTTTCAAAATAACGAGATGAAGAGGTTTGAGGTTGAGTTCATGAGCGATCCGAATAATATCAACAAACAAATACAGGTATGTACTGGATATGATTTTTTTAAATTATGGAATAAGTTGTGTAGATAATCTAATTAAAATTGAGTTACGCGTTTTTGTTATAATAAAAATAATTATTTACCATTTTTGCATGTTATTTTTTCAGCTTGTCATTATTTTATTTTGTCAATTGGGTGAATCTCACGAAATGTCCCCCGTGATATTAAAATAAAACTAAATATGAGTTTGACCTACACTTTTATTGTGTTTTGATCTTTCATAATTAAAAAGATATTACAGCTCAGGTTCCAGATTTTTAAAATGTTTTAAAAGTCTAATACCTATCCTCCGTGACTGTTTCTAGGTTAACCTATATATCTGAGGTAGTAAAAGCATACTAAAAATATCAGTTAACTACGTAAATTAAACACATCCAAAGCAATCGAATCAAATAACATAAAATATTATTAAAAATTAAAAGAAATAATTTTTATAACCATTTATGTAGGTGTTACAAAAATTGATTATATCCTCCGTGAATCTGTTTTTGTTTTAAATTTTATAGATGCATGTGATTCCTGAAGGTCAGTTAGAATTTATATGCAGATGAGAGTGTTGCTGTTTTATAATTCAAAAGTTTAAGTTCATTAATTTGCTATTTAAAAACCTATCCACTGTGTAGTGTAATATCTCAGTAAGGAGATTTTTTGTATTAATATTTTATGTAGGTACAATTGTATTTTTAAAAAATATTAAGGTGTCAAAAGATACAATAACTTATTTCAAATATACAAAGGGATGTTTTTAAAAATACATACGAAATCCTAACCTCCGTGAAGCTATCTTCCATGAAGCTCTAATATTCAAAATGTATGCTTTCTTAAAATCCTTGCATTAGTGCAGAACCACTTATGTTATGTTATTACTAGACCTGGTGGCTTCCCAAAAAACAGTAAAACAACCAAAAATAAAAAATAATCATTTTCACTTGGGGGACATCTCAATATATTCACCCATTGCAATATATAATATTGCGGCAATATAAAACAAAACAATTGGGTTATGTTCGCAGTTTGCAATGTGTTTTGTTACAAGTACCTAAATTATTATTATCTATTATTATTTCAACCTAAAACCCAATATTTTATAAAACTTCTTTTAGATTGGGGGTGTAATCGTAATAATGGGAAACCCATCAGAATGTTACTTTGAACTAAAATTTAGCAACTCCTGTGGTGAAAGTAAGGTTGCCTTGACAAAACAAAATTCGAATAAACCGAATTTCGACCAAATTGCACCCTTAATTGTGGCAACTATAGTACCCAGATATTCAAAATTGCGGGTTAATTTTGAACACAATAAACCCGCTTTGTTGGGCGAGTGGTACGAAATAAAAGTGCAGGTTGATAATGACGAAAAATTTAGTGTCGACGATTTCAAGATCGAAGCAAATTTGGTCGATGAAGATACCTCAGATGGTGAGAATATTTTTAGTTTTTATGGTGTAACTGTAAAATCCTTTTCAGTGGAGTTTTCTCTGGTTCCAACCGGTTCAATCGAAAAACTACCCGTAACGTTAAAAACCCCGGCATTTTTACCCCTCAAGGGTAAAGTCACGGCCAGCGTATACTTAAGGGGTCACAAAACAGGCGAAAAAAACGTTGAGGTTAAAATAACGTACACTTTAAATAGAGAGCAACCTGTTATAAGTATTAAAAGGGAGGTTATAACTTTACCGTTCGTGCAACCTTTTGAGGTGAAAACCAAGTTTATTTCCTTCATAATGGCCGATATAAAGAAATTGTATATGGGGGAGGAGTTTGGAGTTATGCCTACAATACACTGTATGTCCCCATGGCCAATTGAAATTGAGAATACTAGTTTTGAGTTTGTAAGTACAAAACTACCAAAACATATATTTTTTTACTTAGGTAATTTTTTAGATTTCTCCTATTAGATCCTTAGAACCAGATAATGAAAGTCAAGTTGCGGGGAACACCCTGTATACCAATGAAGATGGGGCTGAATTATATTTGGCAGTTTGTGAAAAATCTTCTGAACACAATGTGCAGATAGGACAGTATAGTGTTAAGTGGAAACGGTGAGTTTTTAATTTTTTATGATTTTAAATAATATCTCAACATTTTAGTTTTATTTGCTTTTTAGTATTTTAATAAGATACATTATAATTAATAAAATAAATAAATAGAAAATAGTACAAAATTATATTCATTTTGTTATTAGGTAGCAGATTGCAAATATTGCATTATTTTTTAAATAATAAGTAAGGTGTTTAATTTTCATTATGCATTACTTTTTTTTAATAAAAATTAACTCACTACATTTGTTCCAATGAGTAATGAATTCTTTTTTACCTTACTCATTTTTAATTTGTAATAAGTATTTTGAAATTTTCAATTACAATTTTTTATGTCAATGAGTAATGTTTTTTTAATTTATTAATGAGTAAGGTATTGTTTGACATTACTCATTAATTTTTTAATGTGTGGTGAAAATATTGCTCATTACAATTTTTTTTAATGATTAATGTATTCAAACTACATTACCATTAAAAAAAATGACGATTGCATTAACTCTGTTAGGTAGATACTTTATAACTATATTTCATAAATTTTAAAAATGTAAAAAAAAAAGTTTTTTTACCTTTGTTTATTTACAGTTTTAGAAAATTTTTTTTATTGTAATTTTAATAGTTTACCATGTTTTTTAATTACATCAAATTGTTACTAATACTTTTTTGTCTATAAATCATACTCTTCCAATATAGCTTTATTACAAAAAATTGACATTCTTAGGAATATTTTACAATAAATTACAAAATGAAATTCTTAATTAATAAATTTAAAAAAAAACAATATTTAATTGTGTTATAGTGAAAACGGTAAAGAAGGTGCTATAAGCCACACGTCTATTTTCGGTCTTCCATGTGAGTGGATACCTCTAGGTATAAAACTAGTCGCCCCTGCTCATGGTTTAGTTAGAACTCCTATGATTATAACCTACGAATTGCAAAACCGATCTCAACAACTTATAGAGCTAGATGTAGCGATGGAAGCCACGGAAGCTTTCATGTTTGCCGGTTACAAACAGGTATGTAGGGATGTTAAGTTTTGCTCAACTTTAATTTTTTTTTTTAGTTTTCCATATCTATTCTACCAAACTCAAAACGAAATCTGCAATACAACTTATACCCCTTGCTGGCTGGTAGTGTAGCACTACCCAAGTTAACCCTAAGCATTCCAGAGAATACCGTTGAAGGTCCTGCATTAAGAGAAGAACATTTGAAAGACCTTTTAGAAAGGGCTCTGCCTACCCACTTATACGTTATGGTGATTATTATTTTACTAACTCACTTTTAATTTTTGGTGAATATTTTTATTTTCAGCCTCAGGCAAAGGGGAACCCAATAATGCCAGAAATAGTAAAACTAACAATTTAATATGAAATTAAGCTGTACAATGTTATTCGTTATTTAAATTATATAATTGTTTTATATTTAATAAATTTTATATAAATAGGACACGTTGTTTTCATACTACAACATTGTCTCATCGTTTAAGAAATCGTACGCAATAACTCAAGAAATTGCGATTCCTCTAAATTTATCGCAAATATGACGCCTAAAAACTGGTTTACGGCAGATTTAAAAAAAAATTAATTTTTCAGCGATGTTGTTCCTTGGAAAGCTTTTAAAAATAATTTGGCAATTATAATTGACATGTCGTTAATTAAAGTAATAATTATCGTGTAATTTGATGCCAATTTTTCAAATTTTATTTATTTAAAAAAATGGCGAATGCGCCGGGATTAAAAACTTTAAAAATAGAATTTCTTTAAAATTGTTTGGCAAATTTGTCGCTTACGTTATTTTAGTCAAAACGTGCACTAATTAAATTAAAATATAGATTAATGTTAAGTTGGTATGACCTTTGCACGTGCACAGTCTTGGCTAGATAATGTGTTATTTCAGTAGTAATTCGAAAAAAATTAATTTATTTTTATAGTAATTTTATCATAAATTATTTTGGGAATATTTACTTCTGCAAAAAACTTATAACATAAACCTTGATATGAGTACATTAGATGCAAAACTCTGTATTTGCAGGATAAGTGATTTTAAGAAAAACACGAAAAACCGCTCATAAGGTCATATTTGAAAAAAAAAATACAAAAATCGTATAGACGTGCTTTTGCATCATTTCTTATTCAAAAAAGTAAAAAAAGTAATTTAAAATTAAGTAGTTTAGTAAATAATTGAAATCAAAAGATTTAAAAACATAGTTTTGCATCTTCCTCGTTCAAAGACCAAGTTTTGCAAGTGAAAAGTGCAAATACCAAAAAAATAACAATTAATCAGGTGATTGTTATGCCGTCAGTTAATGCGTATACTAGCGACGTGATTGGTGATTGGTCAAATACCGAGTTTTGCATCCGACAGGAAGAAACAAATACCCAGTTTTGCAGCTGCGGTAAGTTTATAAATGTATTTTATTCTACAAATATTAACTTATGCATCTGGTTTACTTAGGTATACTGTGGGCAGTGCAGTTATGAACATAAATAAGATAAAATATATATTTTTTAAAAATGTGCAAAAACCGAGTTTTGCATCTAATGTACTCATATACAGTGTCTCTAATAAAATCTTTTGTTGGTACATAAAAATAAAAAATTGCTAACAATTTATATTAATTGTAGTATTTTTAAGCCAGCCACCATTATTTCAGACAATGAGAAATTATAAAACATTTTAGTATTGTTATTATGCCAAAATAGTGATCCTACGCTTTTCTATATTACGCTCGAGACGTTGGCAGCCTTGGCTGGAAAATGGCTTTCCACCAAAAATAAAATTTCGCACGTGAGCTATAGGTGCTCATCATTTTTTCGTTATCGCAAATTTTCGAAAACTTCTTAGGTGGGGGGATCGAAAAATAATATTTTGCGATGCGAAGACGCAAAATGTTTAAAAATAAGTTTAGTTTTAACGTCATAATAAAATATGTGACGGTTATGAGAGTTCAAGGGCGGCAATTTAATATTTTGGATTTTAAAATTATTAAATGTATGTAAAATTATTTTAAAATAACCCATAATTAAATTATAATTAATTTAAGACAAACCATAACCAACAAAATGCACAAGATAAGACAAGAAATAGTGATGGTAATCATTCCCAAATCTTTCCTATTGAATAGACAGAATCTAAAATTAAGACAACGATTAACTAATAACTTCCCATTGTAGTAATTTTTGACCCAGTTAAACTTCAAAATTTGGATTATGATCAAGCACACTTAGCTTGTACCTGTCCTTTTTCTAATAATAGGAATATATTAAGGTTAAGAAGTCAATATCGTTCAAAAATAACTCGAGAATAGCATTACACACTTGTAAAATATAGTTGGAGTTATTTATATGATGGAATAACGCTTCCAATACTCAGCCAGGATTCTTTCAAGATAAAAAGATTTTTGTTGGCAGTAATTAAATATAATTTTGCACAAGGTGGCAATAACTGTAAATTAATTCGTTTTTAAAGGCTTTGATGCAACAGTTTCAAAACGCATTTAGAATCTTTGCCAATAATCAATTAAGTATTTCGCAAGCTTAAATATTACATACCTACACTGTTAGTAAAATTACAAAATGTTGTATTGTATTGCAATTTTCATACTCATTGTTGTAATATTACATTTTGTTATAACCAAAGTACTAAACAGGTTCCAATGTTTTTGTTTTTGTCAGATACTTATAGTAATTTTACAATTCAGTATTGTCCAATTGAATTTGAAATTTTGTAAAATTTCTATACATATTCGGAATTTAATTTTACTAAGATAATCAATAAAATTACTAACCAAAATTTGCTATTTGAATTACAATAAGTGTTCGGAAATATACAAATCATTATTTATTTTATAAAATTTGCATTTTTACTATATATCATTTTAATCATGTACACTGTTAACAGTTTGAAAGTTTCTAATAAAAAACATAAATAAACAATGAAAAATAAGTGATATGAATATAAAATTGCTGATTGATGTTTGCCGCTAGAAATAAGCCATTATTTCCTGGAAAACAGATTGTTGGGTTGTTTTAAATTAAAGTTATTAATTTTAAAAATTAAATTTTATAAATAATAAATAAATCAAATCGCGGTTTTTTAAAAGCTTTCTTGATGTCTTTTCGAATAAACACTGACCCCCACACAAACTAAAAAGTCTAAAAATTTAATTTCAAAACTTTACAAAAACATAATCGAAAGTTTACTTTAAAGCGAAGGTTGCTTACATAAAGTTTGGGATTTTAAAAAGTTTTCTGGTTTTATTTTTAAAAATGTTATTTTAGGATTAAATATCAAAGAACATGTTTAGTAAAATCAATGACACTAACCAAATGACTCGGGGCATGCCAATATTTTTATTGGTCATAAATTATTTTTATAAAACGTATTTATTCTATGCCGCTTTTTCAGGGCTTTCAAATGTTAAATTTACCGAAGTAAACGTTTTAAGATTACCCAAGTAAAAATAAATTGTTTTGTACAAATCATTAGAGATGGGATTTTAGGTTGCAAAATTTATAAAAATATGTTGTTTTAGGTGGGAAAATTCTTAACGCTTGTAGAAAAAATTGTATTGAACAAGATTTTTCATGAAATTGAAAATAACTGTATAAAAATATTATAATACTATTATAAATTTAATTAGTAATTAGTTAATTACTAAAAACAAAGCTGAAATTCACCCCATCAATATTTTTTTATATTCATGAAAACAAATTTTAGATAAATTAAAAATTTAGATAAAAACAATTACTATACACTGTATATTTTCTTAACAAATTGCACAATTTGTATTTCTAGTTTATTTATTTTTGACTCAATTGGTTTGATTTTAAAACAGTAAAAACTTATTTATTGGAATAATCCTTTGGTTTATATATTGTTTATTATTTCAATCATCATTCATGTTCTATAAATTTTAGTTTAAATTTAAAGTTAAAAATAAAACAATCAGATTGTTTGAATTATTTAAATACTTTTGCTTACATTAAAAAGTTGTTAAAAAGCATTGAACAAATCGGCAAATTTTTCGCAGGAGCTTCTGATGAAACATCTCAAGCAGAATCTCTGTGTTATTTATAGTTTATTGTGTTAAACATTTTTAACAAAACAAACAAAAAAACCGAAAACAAAAGATCATGTAAAAAATATTTATAAAAAAAAAATTTAGTCCCGATGAGAACTACAAACTCTATTACAATGTCCACTTTGAGTGGAAACACCAGTATAGTAACAAAATTATGTCATTATACATATATATTCGTTTTTTTAATCACCCTAATATATAAGTTGCAAAAATGGCGAATGCGCCGGGATTAATAGGTATTAATAAAACCCTCTAGATTTGTTAAACAAATATATTAAAAATGTAATAATTACCTTTTAGTAACAGAATGTGTTAACCATAGAAGTAATGCTCCTGAAATGGTAATTCCGCTGCTAAAATTTAAACAAAAAATTAATAAAAGTTTAATTTATATAATAATATACTATATTATGTATATATATAATATAATATACGCCAAATTGACCACTTTTGATTTAGCCTAAATTTGTATGTTATATTAACCCGCTAAAATCATTTTTGTAAGTTTTTTACTCAAATTGAAAAAAATTGTGTTTTTTAAATGTCAAAGCGATTTTTTAAAAATTGGTTGTATTTTAACTATGTTATTAAATATTACATAAAATTTTTCAGTAAAAAAGCATTAAAGTTCGATATTTTTTATTTTTATTTTCTTCTATTCCAAAAAACTTTTTATTCTACCTTTAATTAATAGCGCAAATTTTATAAACCTTGGATTAAGTTGGATCACGATGGAAATTGCTGCATTAAGTTTTTTTTGAAAACAAAAAAATTTAAAGAAAAAATGACAAACTTACTTACATACTGCTTTTTAAAAAACTAAAAAATGTATGATTTTTATAAATAGTAGGTAAGTACCATCTTGATTCAGTTTTTAAAAGGAGCATTAAAAAAACACCCTTTCTTTTTATATAATTCTGGGCACCCTGTATATAATAATAACAATAATAATATAATTGTAATTGTTGATACTTACAAAACAAAGGCTCTCATAACAGGGGAATGCTTAAAAACATTATATTGCCTAACTTTAAAATCTTTATTTGTTTTGAAAGTATTTATTATTCTTCTAGCACTAAAAAAAATAATAAGAATAATGTACATCTTATAATTTATAGAGAATTTTATTATAAAACACATATAAAGTCTAGAGGTGTTACAGAGTAAGTATTTTTTATAATATTTCTATTCTTAAAACTTAACTAGCTTATGACTCTCAAAGTCTTGCTTGACATTCTAAAGTTTTTTGAAGCAATTTATTGCGTTAAAATATATGTATGGATAAATAAAATTGAATAAACTGTGATTTGATGTTTCAATTGGAGGCTTAGAGTAAAGAAACACTAAAAATAAATTTTCCGGAAATCACTGTCGATGAAAACCGGTTAAAAATAAACTTTTAGCACAGGAGTGGGTAAGAGCTGTAAAGTGTGCGCAAGGGTTACGTCATCGTATTTTAAATAGTGTACGTAGCCCTTGAGAAATTATCAAATTGTTTTTTGTGTGTCGTTCCGGGCAAGCCGGCGGTTGGTTCTCGGTTTATTTTTAATTAAAACAAATTCAAGTCGCCGTTACGCACCTGTTTTTAATTAATAACGCCATTGGACCTGCGCTGCCAACGTTATGCGACTTAAAGTTATTCTGCATAATTTATTATTATAGATCGGCAATTTTGGCTATTTTTATCAAGAATATGACTCAAACTTGTTTGTTTAAATAGAACAAACACCCTGTATTTTTTTGTTTATTTAGTTATTAAACAATATATGCACCATTTTGTTTGATGACCTTAGTTATAAATTTTAATAACTTAAAAATTTGTACAGTTCATTTTTTTAAATTTGGACTCGTGTTTTTTTATTAAGAATCTACAACATTCACGTGTGTTCACATAAAATTTTAATTTCTTTTCAAAGCGAAGATTATTATCCGCTAGGAATACTTTGTCTCTCCTGGGTCGTAGTCACCTATATTTAACTACTTTTTTGTATGATTTTACTCAAAGCCAAATAAATTGCATTTTTAAAGTTAAAAAGGTTTAAAAGTAAACAAAGAGAAAATTAATTTAATTTTTAACTTCCTGTAACTGTAAAGACACCATTATTTTTTTACTAAGGAATCAACCATTTTATTGTTCTTAAAACTGTATTTTTTAATTAATTATTATTTTTGACGCGGTTAGTTTGAGACAGTGACGGGTGTGACGAGAAGTTTATAGTCATATACATAGTTATATAAAATTTTGTTTTTCTATTTTTAAAAACGTAAAACATTTTTGCGTAATAGTAATTGAAATATTTTTGTACATGTAAGATTTTTCATTTTTGTTTATTTTTAGATTAAGTAGTAGGTATGTATATTAATATACAGAGAATATTCATATATTGTTTTTGTTAACTGTCCAAAAATTCAGAGGAGAAAAAATAACTGAAATTGCCCAACACAAAAAAACTGTTTTGTCAAAAATTAAATAAAAATTAACAATAAACGATACGTTCTGTGATTAATATTTTTTACTAATGTGTTTTGGTTTTGAGGTTAAGTTTTGTAATATTGTTTCCATGTTTTTTTACCTTTAAAATTTAATTGTGAATTAATTTAAGATAAATGCAATGTTTATAATCATATTATCTAACTATGTATCATCTGTATACAAAAAATAGCTGTAATTTATTTTTTACAAAGTTGATGACGTAAATAAATGCTTTAAACTCTACACTTTATAATGCGTTATTAAAATAAAAATGTGCTATAAAAATATTTTTAATATTTTTTTTATACAAACATAACTTACTTGCCAAAATTATCTACAGCCACAAGCGCTCCATTAGTTTTGTACGAGAGTCTTTTAATTTCAACACAGCCATAGGAACTTAAAATTGAAGTCACCTAAAAAAGACAAACAGTAGTGTTATATTAAAAAAAATTGACAGTTGAAATCATGGTTTTAAAATAAAAAATGCATTGGTAGAAGAGGTGTTCAATAATGGCCGGCAAGATCTCCAGATTTAACGCCACTTGATTTTTTTCTTTGGGGTTATGTAAAAACACCACTTGAGAAGAATAACTCAAGAATCTTACTGTAGTTGATATTTAATATAGTATTAAATTATGCCTAAATATCAACATTTTACGCATACAAGTGTCAATTAAATCTAGCATTTATTTATTGCACATTTTAACGTACAAAATGGAAATAAAATAATACTAAATCTGTATTTTGATACAATGAACAATAAACCAAAAATAGACGAGTTGTACGAGCAGCAATTTGGTTTATTGATCATAAAATTATCATAAAGTGCGAATCAAGTATTCGGTAACATAAAATCGCTACTTCATCGATATGAGCGCATATAAAACGGCCCACATTAGAAAAACCTTTTTGTTTTATGTTTCTATTAAATTGGCATGTAATTTAATTTGGTTTTAAACTCTACAGAGAATATCAATAATGTTAATATTTTAAAGTTATGCTTTGAGGCAATATTACTTAATTTAAGTAAATATTTTGTTAAATTAACCTTTCAACACTTTAAAGTAATTTTTACGAAAGAAAATTACTTATAAGTGTATTTCACCTAAAGGAAAATTTAATTATATTAAATTTAAACAAGGAAAAATAAGCTTAATTACGACATTTGAAATATCTAATTCGGCAAGTCGAAAATGCAGATATTTTTAGTTGCTACATATTAGCAATAAAAGTCGCCCGCATATGCTTCAGTACATCAAAAAGCAGATAAAATCGAATAACTGGGCTATTAATAGTTCTAAATTGTACAGTTATACATTACAAATGGTCAGGGGCTTGTGTATTAAATCTGGGATTAATAAATGTACTTCATTTATATACTTACTTGACTTATGTTAATAGTTTTATTTCTGTTTGATTCTATAATAAGCCAAGGTGGCCTAGAACTAGGAGGATCCTGGCCTTCTAGATTCTGAAAATAACAAATAAGTGTTTTAAGAATAAAAAACCTAATACTTACAATATGATTAACGTATCCTCTGGCCATATTAATCTTATTCCTATGTTCCACCATTCCACCAATCAGCTCTGAACTCACAAACCTCTTGGAGGCTGGATATTTCTTGCAGATGTTCAGGTATGCCAACCTAATAAAAACATACCCGGAACAATACGAGTCCCAACCTGCCTCGTGAAAATTCCCTAAATTGCTTTCCGATACCGCATCGATAGCTGGGGAATTCAAAACAACATGCCTTCCTGTACCATTTTTGAAATATTCGAATAGATCGCCTAGGGAGGTGTCGTGGTAACGTTTTTCCTCTGGGATGAGGTTTTTTAGTTCGAAGCAAATGCGTTTTGTGTCGTATATCGTTGGGAATAAAGAGTGGGATAGTTTTTTGAACTCGCTGAAACTGCTTGGGAGATCACATTCAAAGCTGTTGATTAGTAGCATTACGTCCAAAAGACAGTTATGGCCAATCAAAGGCTTCTTCGACTTCACTAAATGTCTGAAAACTTGCGTGAATCCCAGAAGATCATCAACCAAATCTTCATCAATGTCTTCGCACTCCAAAGCCTTCAAATCTTCATCTGACACCTTGAAAACAACAAAATCTTCATCACATTTCGTCCACAAATTCTTGAATCTCGCTCTGAAGCTCTTCTGGATGAAATACATAATCTCCAAATTCCCCCTGTATTTCTCGTATACTTTGGGGAGGCTCAACTTGTCTCCAACGGGGGCTTTTTCGTACCATATTCGCACCTCTTCGCCGAATTTATCAAATATGTCCTCCAGTTCCATTTTGTAGTTTGAATACATCTCCGTAAGTTCACTGTTTTTGAGGTTTTTTCTTAGTTCTGTTTCTGTGGTTTTGTTTAGAAACGGGACTGATTCGTATGCAAACTGAAATTTTTTAGGAAAATTGTGTAGAAAGATTTAAAATCTTATAAGTAATACCTACAAATACAAAATCTGTAAAATATGAGAAAAGTAAAAGATTCCTAAATATCAAAAACCAATTCATTTAAAATTGTAATTAATACATAAAAGAAAAAATTATAATTAAAAAGACAAAAAAATTTTAAAATAAAAAAATTATTTTCATGCTAAAATGCACTTGTACCCTTTTGCTTCTTACCACTTCAATTAAAAAAATTAAAAAGGGGTAGGTATCATAAAATTGTTTTAAAAACATTTTAGTAATTAAAATAATTAATAATAATAAATTGATATAAAATTGTTATTAAAACATAAAATAAAAAATTATAATTAATAGTAAGAAATTTCTTTTTGGTTTTATTTACGTTTTTGTGATTGAAATTTTTTACTTTAATATTACCTAATTATAATTTTATGTAAAAAAAAATTACAGAAAATTGTTAAATAAAATATTAAAAAACTAGAATCTGAGATTAAAATATGATAAAATTATAACAAATATTAGAAATATTCCCCAACACCTAGACAAGACACTGTGCTTAAAGTACTTTTTAATATTTGTTTAACATATTACGAAAGTTGTCCTTTTTCAAGAATGATAAAATCATAATAAAAAATATTAATAATAAAGAAAATAAGAAAATTTATTAATAAAATAAATTATAATAAAAAAAGTAAAATAAATTAGATAATAGAAAATCGGTAAAATATCAGAAATATAAAAGACTCCTAAATATTAAAAACAAATTCATTTAAAATTGTAATTAATACATAAAAGAAAAAAAATATAATTAAAAAGTCCAAAATATTAATTGTCTTGAAAATATTTTGACATTAGTAATTAAAATAATTAATATTAATAAATTGATATAAAATTAAATAAAATATTATAATTAAAAGTAAGAAATTTCTTTTTTGTTCATAATTTTTTACTTTAATATTATCTAATTAAAATTTTATGTAAAAAGAATTATAGAAAATTGTTAAATAAAATATTAAAATATGATAAAATAAAAAATAAAAAAAACTTGAAATTGAGATTAAAAATATTATAAAATGATAATAAAAATGTTTTAATAATTATAAATCAGGAAAATATTCTAATTTGGAAATCTAGCTATTTTCTAATCAAAAATAATAATATTATTTAGGTAAAGAAATCATTTAATATATTAAAAAAAAAACATTAAAAAAGAGAATGCAAAAATAGCAAAATTAAAAAATAAATCATTGTTGTACAAAACAAAACATATGAGAAATCTAAATTAAATTTCTTAATAATTTATACACAAGTAGTTTTTGAATTAATAGGGATTTAAATTAAAAAAACTCGGCAACACTGTGTGTCTTATGAGCTAAAATAAACAACAATTGTTTTATGATACTGTGTCAAAAACCATTTTATAGGCGCATTCATGCTCACTAAAATAAGAAATAAGAATAAGAAATAAGAAATAAGATAAAAAGTTAAAACTGTGTAAAGTAATGGTTGCGTTCATGCTCATGAAAATAAGGAATAAGAAATAAGAAATAAGAATAAAGATAACAATTTTTTACTTTGGTTCTTATTTTTGCGTATAAAACTGCGCAAAGAACCAAAATGGGTCTGTGAATTATTTTGATGGGTTTTATTTGTTATATGCATGGAGCCATGGTGTTGGAAATCGCGTAGAGTGTCGCTGTCGATTGTTTACGTTTATAGCCAATATAATCCACTATAATAAAATATAATTGTGTGACAACATTTTTTATTTCTTAGGTTATCAGCATGAACGATCAATCGCGGTCTTATTTCTTATTCCTTATTTCTTATTTCTTATTCTTATTTCTTATTTCTTATTTTAAGTGAGCATGAATACGCCTTATGACAGTTGCTTTCAAATGTGTTGTTATATTATTTTTCTATGGTATTAAATTATATTATAGTACCTTATTAAAATTAAAATCATACAAAGTGAGAAAATTAATACACTCCGATTGAAAATAAAAACTGGTGTGCATGCTTGGAAAGGCTCCCGGTTTAAGGTACACATTGTATATTGTCCCTTCATAAAAATTCCTATCGGCATTGTAACTAAACGTTGTCAATCCCAATTGCACCGGTATAACTTTCTCTAGATTCTTTTTAAGCTTTGTATACCTCTCTGAGGAGCTATCAAACAAGCTAAAATAAAAAAAACATAGAAAAACAAATAATGAATTTTTGAGGTTACAAACCTAGGCTGCTCGTTTTTTATGGGGTACAAGGCACTGAATTCCAAATCTATGGCCACCAACTTCGCGTTGTCTATCGCGCTTTTAATTTCGGGTAGTTTTTGTTTGAAATTGTATTTCGTAACCTCACACATTTTTGAGGTTGGAAGCACTGTTGCCAACGCTTAAAATACAGTATCGCCAACGAAACTGAGTTTTAGACAAAAAACTTGTTGCTGGATTTTATAGCAATCATTTGTAGGCTGTAATTGTGTGTTTATAATGGTTTAAAGAGATTATTTATTAAATTTATGTTTCAATACGAACAAAGAGGATATTATATTAGTTGAGTTTAATTTTTGTTCCTCTACATAATTATTACAAGGGGGATATAGCTCAGTGGTAGAGCGTTCGCTTTGCATGTGAAAGGCCCCGGGTTCGATCCCCGGTATCTCCAAAAACTTTTTGTTTTTTATTTAAGAATAAAAACAATAAATTTAATTAAAAAAAAATAATTTTTATAGATTTATAAATTAATAAAAAAAATTAAGGGTTTTGAATTTTTATTAATTTTTTGGTACCTTTTTAATGCTTTTTGGGATTTGTCATTACCCTGAAGTTTATTGTTTCTTCTTAATAAAAATTAAATGAGCAATTTTTCTTATTTATTTTATGTAAAAAATGTACATATGAATTTTTTATACTTTACACCTATAGGTGTATACAGTTAGTGCGCCATGTACCTATATAATTTTTTTTTAATTTTAAATTTCTTTAACCCTTTCGTACGAAATGTCCACTGGAGTGGACATTTTTTTTAACACCATTTATATTTTTAAATATTAAATATTTTGTCTCAAAAACATGTTGTCCATTATAGCGGACTAGACATAAAACACAGTAGATGACCGTATAATTACTTGACCTCTCTAAAGTAACTTTGTCCATTCCAGTGGACATGTCCTATTATGAAAAAAAATAATGAAAAAATTTTTTTTTTTCAAAAATATCTCAAAATAATACCAATGAATGCAACTATAACGAAAAAAAAAATTTTTTTTCAGTAATTTAAATTTGGCTCCGAAAGGGTTAATGTAGAAAATGTCTCGTGCATTTTTTAGAATATATTCAACAAAGTATACTTTGTTTTTATACTATTAGGTCACTTATAAGTGCCTATAGGCTTACTTATAAGTGTCCTGTATATTTGTTAAAATATTGATAAGAATAATAAAATATTTAATACAATGTATATGTCATATGTAAGTATCTACCTAGTAGAAAAAAACATTAAAATTAACATTTACTCTTGCATATTTATAGATACAGTTGTACTTGGTTGTAACTTTTATTATTTGTTATTAGGTAATTGTATACAAACCGCTAAAATGTCACATTTATTAGAGTGTTAAGACCTAATTAAAGCACATTAAAAGCTATTAACGAGCTCCGAAACAATGAGCCGCTATTTTTGCAAATTGCAAAAATCGTTGGGGATAAAATAAATTTCGCGGTTAGAAACGGGGGGACAGGCCCGGTTTGGCACAGTGCCCACTCACAGGTAGCAGCTATACCGAAGTTATAAAAGCTAGTTCACCTATATTCTGTCGCCCGTTTCCCCAGTAAGCATTAGGCTAAACACTAGTACTCTTACATGGGGGCCTAAAGCGTGTTCAGTTTTTTATTTTTATTGTTATAGTTTATCAAGTGACAGTACTGGGACCATTTGTGATAAATAGCCGGTAAGTTAGTGATCAGTGTAGTGGTACGCGTACTCATAAGGATTATACTAGTGTCAACAATGTGCTAAAATATAAAAAAAATAATAATAAACAGTGTTTATAGGTAATAAAATGCAATCGTCAATAACATATTACGTACCTATCTACTTATCTATTAAAATATACAATTCTGTGGTAACAAAAGTTTTCTTAAAAGACACACAAACAAAAATCTCAAAAAAAAATTATAAGGAGTAATATTATTGCCAAAAAATTATTCTCCCAGTGCTAAAAATGTTGCTAGATATTTGGCCAAAGGCCAAGAGCCCGGTTATAGGTACGCTGAATATGATTTCAAAAATAAAACAACTTATTGACGCATTTTCGAATATTTCGGATTTTCTTTTTATAATTTTGTCATTGTAAGCAGCTTCAAAGTTTTAAATTTAAAATTCGCAAGGTTATAAATAAGTTGTCTTTATGTAACCGGCAGTGAGAGTCTAGCACTCAACTAACAGCTTCATAATATTTCATAAAACTAAGAAAATAAACATAATTTTGTATTATTATTTTATGTTAAATTTTAGATTATTAATAAAATGGGATAATTTTTAAAAAATTAAAAAAATGTTTCTTCTTATTTTGATAATTATTATTATAAAATAGATATTTACCTACTTGAAATAGTTTTTACAATACCTATGTACATATTATATTCATTAAATATTATCAGCCTTAGAAGCTGTAGACTGGAACTATTAAAACTTTAATAAATAAATAATGAACTAATAATTATTTTAAAAACAATAAATATTTTTTAAAGCATTTAGCCTGATGCCTGTTGGAAGCACATTAAAATAATAATGATAATAAAAAAAAATAAGTTAAATGTAAATTATAAATTTAAAAAAGAAATAAAAATATAAGAAAATGAATCTCCAGTTGTTTAAAGGGGACTTTAAGACTTTGGTTCGTTCCCATCCCTAACCTTATGAATACTAGTAATAATCTTAAAAAGTAGAAATATTTTTTTTTATAATAAAATAAATACAATTTTTTTCCAAAAAAAGAAAATTTAAATAAGAACTTTTAAAATGGAAAATATTTTTTTTATTAATTTATTAATCAGAAAAAAGTAAAAGGTTAATGTAAATTATGGAAAAACCCTTTAAAACTGTCAAAATTATTGTTTTATTTGTACAATGTTTGTATCTTAAACCCCTTAAAATCATCTTTAACAACATTTTTTTATAAAACAACTCAAAAAGCAAAATATTTTTAGAAATCCACTCGGGCTGAATCACAGATCGCGCCGGCTGTTCGAATTTAAAATTAGCGCGCTTTGTCACGTGACGAAGGCCGACCTATCGGCGTCAAACACATGCTTGATTTGTACAACTACTCTTTACGCATCGGAATTGCATAAATTATTACGTACTACGCGAATATCCAAACGATGTTGTTCGGGTTGAATAAAAGTTATCATTAAATTTGTTGAATAACTTGCCAGTTGTTACAATATTTGGGATTAAAATAGATAAAATCAAGAAGTCTTTCGCGTGAGTTTGCGCAGTAGGCTTGAACGTGGCCGGCTGCGATTTTATTCAGTCAGGTAGATTAGTTTGGCAGTGCACTGTATGATGTTTCTTATTTCTAAAATGTTCGTGCTTCGCGTAAAATAGTAATTTGAAATTATTTCCGGTGAAATAATTCGCTTTTCTCTGCCTATATTTATTATTCATTAATTTGTTGCATTAAATAAAGTTTTTGTTAATTATTGGTGAGTAACTATTGCATTTCCAACGTCACGTATTAGTTACAAAGCGTTTTATAGCGATCAAATGGTTTTTTAGGTTATTGACATTGCAATTTATTTTACACGATTTTGTTAAATTTGTTTAGTAGGCGTAGTTGGTAATGGGTTTAAAGTTTAAACTTTATAGCATAGCCTACCATTAAAACAGTTTACAAATACCTAGTTTTAAATTATAATTATGCTATAATATTATGTTAACAATATTCACAAATAATAGGCTGTTTCTATTTTATAAGTTGGCATTATAAAACCAACAGCCTACTGAGATAGTTTACTACCGTTATACTGTACAATTCTAACCTAAAAAGCACATGTTTTGACAAGAAAATATGTCACTTTTACGTGAAAGGTGTTAAAAACGTCGTGTTTTTGCAGGGGTAAATAAGGGCAACCATGGAGGACGCTCATATGAAATCAGTCGATGAGGTGCTAAGGTACTTTAGCGCCGATCCGGAAAAAGGTCTTTCCACTGATCAAGTTAAGAAAAATCAAGCCAAATACGGACCTAACGGTAAGTGAACATAACCTAAGATCTTCACCAGGTGAAACATTCTTGAAATCGTCAATAAAATGAGACCTGTAGAGCCTTATATTGTCTAAATTGTTGTAAATTCCGTGAAATGGTAAATACGATTTTAAGAATGTTTTATAAAATATGCAAGCTCTGCAATTTTTATTAGGGGAATGAACTACCTACCTAAGTAGGTATACCTACATTTGTAAATCTTACAGGTAGTTTTTATTGAATAAACTTAATACTATGCAATGATTTTTTGATAAACTTGATTTCAAAGTATCAAATAATAAAATTGATGCCAAACCAAGCAGCATGAAGGTAAAATATGGAAAATAACATATTTTTATTTCGTTATTTTTTATTTGCAAAAGAATATTATAATACAGTTAAAAGTCAATTTTTACATAAAATGTGGTTATTTGATAATCTATTTACAATAACTTGTTTAGTTAATATATGAACCAACCTACATTCTAATTAATTTTATCTTGATAAGGGAAAAATAAACAAATGATAAGAAAAGTGACTGTCTTAAACTTCCTATTTCACCTACTAGATAGTAATTTTCCAGACTGTCTTGATATTTATAAATGGCCACGTCAGAATAGGTATTTAAATTGCAATGGTGACGCTAAAAAATCACCTTTATGACGTCAATTAAACCACACTAAGATAATATGGAAAATTATGGACGTCAAGTGTTTCCAATTAAAATTTTTATATTTATACATGCAATTTTAGTAAGAATTTGTTTGCCATTAAACATTTTTATTAATAGAAAAAAATAAAATAAAGTTACACAAAAAACTCGACCTGTTTATTGAAACATAAACAAAAGCTTTTTTTTAAATCTCTTAGTGCTAATTTTTAAAATAAACTTGTCTGTCGATAAATAATTTTGAGCAAGATTTTCGAACGCTTTGTTTGTTATCTTAATGTTTTGATGAACTTTTATTGTGAAGGTATGCACTCTCAAAATATACACCAGAAGCAATGAAAGCTTTTTATAAACCCAAATTACCCATCTAAATTTAATTGTGTTTAAGCTGAACTATAATAAAACCAAATGTTTATTATAAGTCTATTAGTTTTCTTATGTTAAAACGAACAACATTTTTTATTTTACAAATGTTTTCTTTAAAACACCTTCGTTTTATTTGTGTTAAATTGAATACAATTCCCAACGTAACTAGTTTAACTAATTAGCGTGCACATGTGACGTAAATGACACGTCAGAAGGATGACGTTGTCTTTTGGGAACCTTGATATGAATGGTAGCAGATTTTTTTATGCTAAACGATAAAATTATTGTTTGGAGTTAAATAATAAACAAAAATACCCAACAACTGGTTTTGCCTGCATATTTTATTAAAATTATTGTATGTACTTAGATAATTACTTTTTGTTGTTACCGAGTGTTACTGTATATTAATTTATTGATTTTTTATGTTTCAGAACTCCCCACAGAAGAGGGTAAGTACCAAAGGCTTACAATTTGTAAAAAATAAAATAGGAAAAGTTCAACGAATATTGTGTGCAGATTTTTAAATTTTAATTAATTCAAAACAATTATTTGTTCATTTTTAGTATTTGCCTAGTTTTGCGGCTAAATTCTCAGTAACTCTCAGGTTAATTTGTTCCACTGATTAGGATTAAACGAAGGTCAAACTGTGTCGCAAATTTCGCTTAATAAAAAATCAATTATCATTACTGGCTACGTCATGTAATTAACGATACTTGCATAACCCATAACTGACGTTTTGCGGATTAGTTTAGCTCGACTTGCACAATCTAATAATAAGCTGTCCCATGACTGATATGGCAGGAAACTAAATATTAATAGATGCATAGACAATTAAAAATGTTATCATGCTAAAAAACAGCCAGACCAAATAGTAATGCAGTTTTCGTTTTATAACAGTATATTATTAAAAGAGAGATAATCCCAAGTGTACCTAATACTATACTATATCTACTCCAATAATTAAATAATTAATTAATAACTAATAATTTATAATAACCATGATCCTACCAAAAAGTAGGCCGCTGATTGACTAGGAACTCTAGGCTAATCTGGTCGCCTAATTTAATTTATTTTGTTATGGTTGGTAACAACCAGCGTTTTCAGTTTCTGCCAAAAAAAGTTGCCAGATTTTGTTTAATTACGAAAATGACAAAATCAACAGTGCAATTTGTTAATTTGGCGATTTTTTATTGTTGATTATGTCATTTTTATACTGAATTCAAACAAAATCTTTTATGACAGAATCTAGTGCATTTCTTTCAAATTTTAGGTTATGGGCCCAAATTGTAAATATCATTGCTTAAGCTAATAGCTGGATAAGTAAATAAATACAGAAGGGTGTTAGATCTTTAAGGGCATACAACTTTTGTATTTATTGAGTTTTTGTTTATTTTTTGCAAGAAAAATTTTTAGTAACAATTTTTTACAACTGGCAACGCGCAGTTACTTTGTTGGTTGGTATCTATGTAGTCACATAATTACATAACACCCTGTATATAGTTATAACAACGTGAATAATGAGTTAATTATTCCCGTTGCTATGGGCGGTTATAATGGTTATCATTGTATACGAAAAAACACGAATATTGCCATTATATAATATGAAATAGGAGTAGAAAAAGTAAGCTATTATATAATATGAAATAGGAGTAGAAAAAGTAAGCTATTATTTTCTCTGTCTGTACATATACAATAGAGTCTTTCTGACAAATTGGCAACATTGTTAGTAGCTTTTCCAGGAAAATGCATCTCGTAATTTTCCACCCCAGTTCCTTCAGGACTTAATAGATTAGCCTGGATTCCTGAAATTCGTGATACGCTTAAGCGGTAATTGGTTCAAAAATACTTTTTTGTTTCATTGAAAACCAAATTGAATCAAATGTCCTGGGTTATCAGTAATTAAGAAAACATAAAAATGCTTCAAGTAAGTTATTATTTTATAGAAACAACTTTCTCCTAAACATTTTATTTATAAATAATAAATGTAGCATTTTCATGTTTTCTTAATTTCTGAGCAAAATTCAATTTTTAGAAAATGCAAAAATGGTTGATTTTTCTGACACAACAATGTTGGGAGAACCCCTTAACATGAATACATAAAACTATTTTCTATGTTATTAGTTATAACACAAATAAATAGATATAAATTATTTATCATTTCAAACGAGATATTTTTAAAATTCACGGAAACAAATCAAACGTTGTTTGGACTTTTCTACAAATAAATATGTTTTCAGTCTTAAACATGAGCTTTCTTCTTAATAATGATCACAATCTATAAATACATAGTTAATTTGTTTGTACACAAGTAATAATATGTTTGTCTAAATTTATATACCTCACAAACAGTAATATCTACAGTAATATAAATTCCATTTTTAAACTACATTGCCAAACAATGCAACAACTTGTCCTTTATTTATTTTGCGGTGTAATGATACTGCAGAACGTGGCTTTGATTTATGAAAGTTATTTATTAGTTCGGGACACAACTTATTTAATAATAATAGTGTAGATAAACGATGATAAGATACAAATGGCAAATCAACAGGTGATGAAAGAAAATATTGGATTTTATCGAAAATCGGCTGAAGTCATATTATAACATTCATTAATATTATGTATATTATTTTCAAAACAGAAACTTAATCTGATTTAAATGTCTAGACTATTATAAAACACGTCAAGCCATAACATTTTCCATAAAAATTAAAATCTATAGAAAGCAATGAACCAATCAGAAGGTGTTCAAAATGTATCAGTTAATTCGTTTAGTCCAATCGAAGCGCAGCCTAATGAATATGCTAAATCATGGAAATGCAGAAAGGATGCTAATTTTAGACGATACATTTGAAATTGGGAAAAGCGCAACGACAAACTGGATTTATTAGCGCTGGATTAGTAATTTATTGCTAGACATATACGCGTGGTAACCTACAAACGTATTAATTTGCTTTTTTCATTGTTTAAAGGTAATCAAAAACATTTGTCGTCACAATAATTAAACGTTTTTAGACTGCTGTTGGAATGATTAAAATTAACAAGGACGTACTTTACTTACCTGTTTGCAATATTATTTAAAATTATTAAGTTCTAAAGCTATAAAATCATGCCTAAAATAATGTGCCACGATCAAAGGGTTTGATAGCTTTTATAGCTATTGCGGAATAGCGTGTTAACAAGCTTTTATGACCGTATGCACAAGGGATAGTTAACATTTCTTGTAACAATATTACACGGTAAATGTTGTGCAATAGGAAACCAACGCTAAAAAATAAAAAAATTAAAAATAGATTCATGTAGTAATGTAACTATTGTTTAATAGTTACATAAAGCTTCGCTCGTGTAGCAAACTTCACACTCTTTAGAAATCGCCGAAATTTTACTTTAAACCCACAACTTTAACTATAGCTTGTGCACGGATTGGACATGCAATAGGTGGATGAACATGAAATTTCGCTTTTTAAAATAAATTTGGTTTTCGCGTGTGTGATATTGAAACCATTTCCAACAGTTTTATTCACTTTTTATTCGGAATTTGACACATTTAATTATGTCGGTAATGTATGTCAATAAACTTTGGTATTTTTAATATTTAATCCTGTTCAATGCCTTAATTTTTACTTTGATATTTATAATTTAATTGTTAAATGATAAATAAGACAACAGAAAATCTCCTCAATTATTTTGTTTTACTCAATGTGATTTAATTTAGAGTCCCTAGAATTTGCCAACTAAACCCCCAAATTCCGAATAATTAATATTTATACAATTAATGTGTTTAATAAACATGTTTAACTTTTAACTCTCAAATAATATTTTTTAATGTATTAAAAATTTCAGACAATTTAAATCAAAACGGTTTTTAAAATATTTTAATGATAACCTTTTGAACTTCTGAACCAATTTTAATGATGACTTGTGATCGACCAAAAAGTTTTAATTATCTTAGGTTAGTTACGAAAAAACGAATTATTATTATTTGAATTTTAAATTAAGTTTTGTTCAACACTCTCTAAATATTCCATGTTAAAAATCAAACTTTTAAAATTAAATAACCTACACTGTTAAAAATGTAATTTTAATACGCATTTGTTGTAAAATTACATTTTGTTGTAGCCAAAGTACTAAACATGTTCCAATTTTACAATGTTTTTGTTTTTGTCAGATACTTACAGTAATTTTACAATTCTGTATTGTAGAATTGAATTTGGAATTTTGTAAAATTTCTATACATATTCGGAATTTAATTGTACTAAGATAATCAATAAAATTTCTAACCAAAATTTGCTATTTGAATTACAAGAAGTGTTTGGGAATTTATAAATCATTATTTATTTTATACAACTTCTGTTTGCATTTTTCCTATAAATCATGTACAATGTTAAATTTTTTTTGTAAAATTAAAATTGTTTTTCAAAACAAAGGATGAGTAAAATTACAAATCAGTGTATACCAATACAAAATTATAATACAATTTGAGTGATCTTCCAAGACATGTTGGGAAATCTACTAAGATAAGTTGTAATTTTACAATGTATATGTATAAATCCTACAAGCATTGTAATTTTACTAAACAGTTTTACAGTTTCTAATAAAAAGCATCTCAAATTTACAAACAGTGGACAGTAAATAAGGTCAGGTGTCTTTCGTTTTTGGTGTGCCCGACATTGATGAGACTCAAAATAGGTATATGTATAGATATGTCTAGCTGTCTGTCGGTATTTGAAGTTGGTTGAACGCACTTAAAACAAAAACTCTGGCGAGGTGAAGGTTCATTTTGTTGTACAAAATAACAATATTTGTATTGTAATATTGCGAAACGAATTTTTTTCAATTCAGTAAAATTTTAAAATTTATTTTGTAATTTTCTTAAATTGAGTTGAAATGAATTGTATAGTATAATTACCACAGACTGTGATAATTACAATACACCATTTTAAAATTACAAAACATATTTAGTATTTTTTTTAGCAAAATTACAATAGTAATGTTACTGAACAAATTTTTAATAAATGCTTAGTGAATTTTAACAAACGTTTTGTAATTTTCCCAAATTGAGTTGTAATTAATCGTGTAGTGAATTTAAAAAACTGAGTTTTATTATTACTATATTGTGGTGCGTAAAACCTTTAAGAGTCATCATTGTCAAAAATGATCATTTACCGTTGAAATATGATACAAAATGTTTCAATTATAATCGGCCAAATAGTCATTTAAAATTTAAATTTCATTAGCGGGCAGATTCCTTGCTCTTGGCAAAACTAGCCGAGATCTGCACTGTGAAAATAATGACGTCATCGTTGACCGAGTTCTTATAACGAGCAAACCTTGGCTCGCTGACTGAGAAAGAATTTATTTGCTATCTATTGTATCTGTCTCACTCATTAATACAATCACATCTATTTTGTTATATGTATTTATTTAATGTTTATAAAAGTGTTATGTATATAAATTGTTAATACATGCGGACTTTAACTTTTCCTTATCACTTGTGCAAGATTGTGAATTTTACGTTTTATTAGAATTGACCTATTAATTTTTATTGTCCATTGTCTAGTGAAGGTATATTGTTAGTAGAATATTTTAAAAAATTCCCAAATAGTAATCAAAGCAGACATTTTTAACGAAGCATGTTAAAAAACAAGTTTAAAATTGTTTATAATATACAGGGTCAACTTTAATAAGATGATATTAAAACTATTATTTTTTGAGATTTTCGGCGTAAGCTAATTGTTTTAAGTTTATAGTAAAATATTACTGTCATTATAGTTAAACAAAAAATTTAAAACCAAATGTTTTTATTATTGCAAAACAACAATTGAACTGTTTAAAGTGAAATTGTAATTTTGTCAACCTTATAAATAATAAAGAAACGTATTACGAAATTGTATCATAAATTATGGTGAACGCGGAAACGATTAAATGAACTTTTCCTGTTTAATTATGTTTTTTTAATTTGCCGACCCAAGGAAGTAAAAATTAAAGGGTTCTTCATTAATAATTTTTATTTTTTTTTCAGGAAAATCTATCTGGCAATTAGTTTTAGAACAATTCGATGATCTTCTAGTCAAGATTTTATTATTAGCTGCTATTATTTCATTTGTAAGTAGTTTCACAGTACTAATTTATTTAGTGAGGTTTATAAATAACATGAAACTATAATTAATACCTATAAAACAAATATTTAATTTTTGTGTATTTCAGTTCCTAATAGTTTATTTTCATTTTCGTCACTTCCAATTTTTCAATTAAACCGAAAATATCTGAATCATTGGGGAAAAAACAAGTTTAAGAATATGTTTTATGTTTGGCATATTATTAGAGTAGCATGTAAATAATAGTTAATTAAATCATTGGTCAGTAAATATAGTTTAGTAGTAATTGGATTGGTGGATAAATATTGATAATTTGATTGTAAAATATAAAGCTTATACACGAGTATAACGAAACAAAAACAATGGCGTTTATTGTTTGAACAAAACGGTGTAATTCCAAACAAACAGCTTTGTTTTGCACAATTACGAATTAGACGGACTTTATGAAGCCAAACACATAAACAAATGAAAATCACCTGTTTATTTTCTTTTGACTTTCGATTGTTTGAAAATTATGTTGCAAATTTTCACTTTTAAGTGAGTCAGTCTAAATTTTACTAGTTAAATAACTTAAATTTCTAGTAGATATATATTATTTCGTTATGCATATATCGGCTGTATCCCAGAAGGGGGCGCCACCTTGTCTAGGCGTCTTTATGGACGGAACGATGGAAATTTTATAAATTGCTATTTTTAGTTTTGCAACTTCATAGATACAGCCAAAAAATAATAGACTTGACTTTGAAAGTATAATTTTTTTATCAGAAAGTTTGACAAGATTTTTGAATTATCTCAGCGGTGTTTGGTTAACGCATTTGTTTATAAACCTCTACTATAAATAGTTTTAATTTTTTACAAAGTCTGTCTTCTAAAATGTTTATATTTTTATAGGTCCTCGCATTATTTGAGGAACATGATGGAGCATTCACAGCTTTTGTTGAACCTTTTGTAATTCTACTTATCCTTATTGCAAATGCCGTTGTAGGTGTTTGGCAGGTAAGAAAAAATTGCTTGATGATAATGTTTTTAATATTTTTGACATTTTTGATTCGCATGTCAACTATCTTGGATGTTAAAGTAAAATTTCATAAAATTTATATAGACGATTTTATCTAAGTAAACTTCAACTTTTCTTTGAATATTAGAATAATAAAAACCCTATATCGATTTTATCTAAACTGCTTTTGAAGGCAAAAATATCCCATTAAATCATTTCTCAACTTTTCTAATAAATTATAATTGCCAATAAAAAGCTTCAAGTAGATTTTATGTTCTTAAAACTTTTCAGTAATGATTAGTCATAACTTTAAACTAACCGTTAAAACTAAATTAACATATTTGGACAAAGAACTTCTGGGCCGCCCTGTATAAAGGCACCACAAAACATTGTTAATTTAGTTTTGTAGTCTTAAAGCTTAATTTAACGAATTAAGTAACTTCCTGCTTCGAACGTGCGAGGCATAGACATCGTAGATCAAACGTATTCGTAAATAATGTATAACAACATATTTTAAACGGTTGACATGTGTTTGGCAATATTTATAGTTACGTCTATCCAAACCGCGCGTAATTTCTCAATTGCTTTCGGAAAATTCTGTTTTTGGCAAGAGGTTCAAGTTTCCGCTTCAAAAATAATTAGTGCGGCTATTAATAGAAAGCTTTCAGAAAAACGTCATATTTGACGATTTCATAAATTTCATATAATGCTTAATTTTCGTTATACTTTTTCAAAAAACAAGCCTTAAAATTATAACTTTAAAATATGTACCCACCTTTTTATTTTAACATTTCCCAACTCTATATCAGTCACCAAAAATGCTTAACTGATAAGTCAAAATGAAAACGTACTCCACACTTCAAAGTCCCACCACGTGACTAAAGTAGAAACCACGAATATATGAACGTGACTCATCACAATCGTACGAAGTAATCTATCGAAGGTCACGGTCCATTGCAGTGCTGTTCTAACGGGGGCATAAATATTTGTAAAAAATCATGAGTGTAATGTTGGTTGCTATTCTTTTGATATATTTGCGTTTAAAGTTAAATTTTAATAATTAACATCTACGATAATTAAATAAAATGTAACTAATTAATATAATAAAATAAACTTTTTTTTTAACTTTAAACGCAAATATTTCAGAATTGGTGACAAAAAACAAAAATGTTTACGCAGGTCAGGTACAAAACAACTTGCGTTAGTTTCACGAAATTTATTAAATATTGACAATTATTTCGCTACACAGTAGCTTATTCAGAATGTATTAAACTAATACTAGTACAAAATTTATATAATAAAAATATTTTTGTATTCTAGCCTAGAATTTCTAGGTAAGGATTTTTATACGACATCTACCTGTGTTACATAATATAAACCACTGCCACTACAACGTTTAAAACGATTATTAATTCGTAAACACACACCGTTTATTTAAAGTCCAAAAAACGTACAATAACAATTGCAATAAAGTTCAATAAACATGCAATAACAATTGCGATAAAAACCACTAGTACTACAACGTTTAAAACGATTATTACAAAGATCATATGACATATAAAAACAAATGGCCGACGGTAAAGTTGGTTGCCTTACTATGTAATAAAACAAAATAAATTTCCTAAAACACGAACTCTACTGAATTCCAACAAAAAAAAGTAACAAGCTAGGACACGCGTCATATGTCCATCTTTGTCGAACACCTAGGCAGTGTAAAGTGAGATTACATCACAGATGGCGCATTTTAGACCGGATGCTTAAAAACCTACGTGTGAGTACATTTACCGCTACTGCAAGTAAAACATTACTGCTAGCATGTCTGAGATATGTTCGGCATCCGATGAGTCACGTTCATATATTGGTGGTTTTTATTGTACGTACGGAACGCAGTCTTTTGACAATTTGGCATGTAGAGCTTTTCAGGTTATGTATCATTTTGAGACTTGTTTTTGAAAAGGTTTAGTGAAAAGTCGTTGGTACTATTCGAAATTTTCATAGCAAGACGACTTGCGTTTCAGGAAAGAAATGCTGAATCAGCCATCGAAGCTCTTAAAGAGTACGAGCCCGAGATGGGCAAAGTGCTCAGGTCGGACAAGAGCGGCGTCCAGAAAATCAGGGCGAAAGACATTGTACCTGGAGACGTTGTCGAGGTATCGGTCGGTGACAAGATCCCCGCTGACATCCGTCTCATCAAAATTTTCTCTACCACATTGCGTATCGATCAATCCATCCTCACCGGTGAATCCGTGTCCGTCATCAAACACACCGACGTCATACCCGATCCGAGGGCCGTGAATCAAGACAAAAAGAACATCCTCTTCTCCGGTACCAATGTTGCCGCCGGTAAGGCTCGCGGTGTCGTTATGGGAACCGGTTTGAACACCGCCATCGGTAAAATCAGGACGGAAATGTCCGAAACGGAGGAAATCAAGACCCCGCTCCAGCAAAAGTTGGACGAGTTCGGCGAGCAATTGTCCAAAGTAATCTCCGTTATTTGCGTTGCCGTGTGGGCCATCAACATCGGTCACTTCAACGACCCCGCTCACGGCGGTTCCTGGATCAAAGGTGCCGTGTATTACTTCAAAATCGCCGTGGCTTTGGCCGTAGCCGCCATCCCTGAAGGTCTACCCGCCGTAATCACCACCTGTCTGGCTTTGGGTACGCGCCGTATGGCCAAGAAGAACGCCATCGTGCGATCGTTGCCGTCGGTGGAAACCCTAGGTTGCACGTCCGTCATCTGCTCCGACAAAACCGGCACCTTGACCACCAACCAGATGTCCGTCTCGCGGATGTTCATCTTCGACAAGGTCGAAGGCAACGACAGCACGTTCCACGAGTTCGAGATCACCGGCAGCACCTACGAGCCGATCGGCGAGGTGTTCCTCAAGGGGCAGAAGGTGAAGAGCGCCGAGTTCGACGCGCTGCACGAGCTGGGCACCGTCTGCATCATGTGCAACGACTCCTCCATCGATTTCAACGAGTTCAAGCAGGCGTTCGAGAAGGTGGGCGAGGCCACCGAGACCGCTCTCATCGTATTAGCCGAGAAGATGAACCCCTTCGGCGTCAGCAAGACCGGCGACCGTCGCCAGACGGCCATCTGCGTCAGGCAGGAAATCGAGACCAAGTGGAAGAAGGAGTTCACCTTGGAGTTCTCCAGAGATCGTAAATCCATGTCCAGCTACTGCGTGCCCACCAAACCCTCCCGCTTGGGCACTGGACCCAAATTGTTCGTCAAAGGCGCACCCGAAGGTAATAATTATTTTTTAATTTTTTTGATGGCAAAGCTCTTATTTTACAATGAATTGGTTATATATATAAATGTTTGGTCTTTCATAATTAAATTCTATATTACAGTGGAACCTTGATAAGCTAAATAAGTTAATAAGTTATAGTTTTCAACATAAAAATAAGTTTTTAAAGGTTTATACTTACATAAACTTTGGTGATATGTTAAACAAATATTAGAAATATTCCAACACCAAAACAAAACACAAAGTGCTTAAGAAACTTTCTTGATCCACTACTGGTAATATTCATAAGAAATAATTGAACCTTCACCTCGCCAGAGTTTTTGTTTTGAGTGCGTTCCACCAACTTCAAATTCCGAAAGTCGGTGGAACGCACTCAAAAAAAAAAAGTCTGGCGATGTGAAGGTTCAATTCTTTCTTATGAATATCACCAGTAGTGGGTCAAGAAAGTTTCTTGAAGAAACTAAGAAAATTTAATTTAATGTTTAGCTCGGTTGGGCTAATTCTAGATTGATTTAGGCCTAAATCAATAATATAATTAGTGTCTGTGATAAAATTTGCCGTGCATTCTTTAGACGGTGTGGATCACGTGATGTTCTTACAGCCTCTATTAGCTTACTTGAGTAGTATATAAGCTTAGGTATTGTTTTGTTATAGAGAGCTGGGAGTATCTTGAAAAAAAGATACTTAAAAGTATCTAAGATACTTTTTATATTGGACAGAAAGTTAGAAACTTAGTTACTTTGGAAAAGTATCTTGTAACTTGTATCTAAAAAAGTATCTAAGTTACTCAGGAAAGTAACTAAGATACATTCAAGTAACTTAGATACTTTTTAAAATAACTTGGATACTTTTCAGTGTAACTTAGATACTTTCTTATTTTGTTTAAAGTATCTTAGAAATACTTTTCAGAAGTAACTTTCCCAGCTCTGGGTGTGTTCCACTACCTACACCAAGTTGCCCGACACTGATGAGACCCAGTATGGGTCGAAACAGCTGTCTGTCGGCATTTGAAGTCGGTGGAACGCACTCAAACCAAAAACTCTGTTAAAAGGTGTATTGGACCGTTGCACGCACGCTCGCGTCGGCACGCAAAAGGTCCCTCTCACTTCCACCCTCAAGAACCGCATCTTGGAACTGACCAGACAGTACGGAACCGGCCGCGACACGCTGCGTTGCTTGGCGCTGGCCGTGGCCGACAACCCGATGAAACCCGACGAGATGGACCTGGGCGACTCGACTAAATTCTACACGTACGAGGTGAACCTGACTTTCGTGGGCGTGGTCGGCATGCTCGACCCCCCTCGCAAAGAGGTGTTCGACTCGATCGTGCGTTGCCGCGCCGCCGGCATCCGCGTCATCGTCATCACCGGCGACAACAAGGCAACGGCCGAGGCCATCTGCAGACGCATCGGCGTCTTCACCGAGGAAGAGGACACCACCGGCAAGTCGTACTCCGGAAGGGAGTTCGACGACCTGTCTCCGGCCGAGCAGAAGTCCGCCTGCGCCAGGGCCAGGCTCTTCTCGCGCGTCGAGCCCTCACACAAGTCCAAGATCGTCGAGTACTTGCAAAGCATGAACGAAATCTCTGCCATGGTAAGTACATGTGCTTAAAGAACTTTTCGTCAACTATGTTGGCATCTTCAGAAGCTAAGGTTGACGGAACCGTAAACGAACACAGTTTACTAAAACGTGGACCGGAACCGCTTCAGTAAACTGACTAATTTATACAACCAAGAGTTCAACTCTGAGAGTTGGGTATCGCTATTTAAAGATTTATTTCTATTCTTATACCGCACCTTCATTTGCAAGCTATACATAGGGAAAATACATTGTAGGTGAACCAGACAAGTTGAAGTCGGCGCGGTCAGCGCGAAGCGAAAATGTTCCCAGAAATTATTTTGACGAGTGGATGAGTAGACTAACATGCGACGTAACAGGTGACCTTGTTTACTGGCGATTAAAATTTTATTACGTCCAAATAATTTCTGAGAACTTTTTCGCTTTGGGCTGACTTCAACTTGTCTGGTCCATCTACAATGTATTTTCCCTATGTATAGCTTGCAAATGAAGGTACGGTAGATGTATAAACTTTCGTAGCGATCTAGCAGACTTGGTTCCCTAACTTCCTTAGTAAGTTTAAGGTTGTCAAATCCCATCATCAAGTATATGTTGGGCAACACTCGATTTCTCTTCTTGTGCTCTTTCAACCTTACTTGAATGGATCGTTTAGTTTGTCCAACATATTTCTTGTCACAATCTTGGCATTTTATTTCGTAGATCCCCGACCTTTCAATTTTAGGAATCTTATACTTGGAGTTGCCTAAAAGGGTCTGAAGTGTGTTAGTGATTGAACTTAAAGCAATTTTGTCCAGTTTAAAAAAAATTGCTTTTAGTTCAAGCACTAACACACTTCAGACCCTATAGTTTGGGAAATATCCAAAATTGGAAAACTCCGACTTTTTTGTAAACGTCGTGGCTTTTTCCAACCCCGGTTTGTTGTTTTATAGACCGGTGACGGTGTTAACGACGCGCCAGCCTTGAAAAAAGCTGAAATCGGTATTGCCATGGGCTCCGGTACCGCTGTTGCCAAATCAGCCTCCGAGATGGTCCTCGCTGACGACAACTTCTCCTCCATTGTAGCCGCCGTTGAAGAAGGTAAATAAATAAATAAAAAACATTAAACTTTCATCTATTCTGCTAGAGCTCCACTCAGAAATATAGCAGAGCCAGGCAGTTTCTAGTCTAACTAATTTTTCGTCGTTATGAAATGGAAACTCTTAAATGTTTTTTTTTTAATTTTCGCGAAAGTTACTTACAATATAGTGTAAGAACTGACTTAGTTGCACTGCAAGGTGTATTAATTGGGATACTTGTTAAGGTCGCGCCATCTACAACAACATGAAACAATTCATCCGTTACTTGATCTCCTCGAACATCGGCGAGGTGGTGTCGATCTTTTTGACCGCCGCTCTCGGCCTCCCCGAGGCCCTCATTCCCGTGCAACTGTTGTGGGTGAACCTGGTCACCGACGGTCTCCCCGCCACCGCTCTGGGCTTCAACCCGCCCGACCTGGACATCATGGACAAGCCGCCCCGCAAAGCCGACGAAGGGCTCATTTCCGGCTGGCTGTTCTTCAGGTACTTGGCCATCGGCGGTTACGTCGGCGCCGCCACCGTAGGCGCCGCCGCCTGGTGGTTCATGTACTCCCCGGAAGGCCCTCAGTTGAACTACTACCAATTGGTGAGTGTTTAGCAGGGTGATTCATTTCCGCAAAGTTTTTGTTTTCTTCGGTGCTCAAGCAAAATATTAATCTGCATATAGGAAAAAACATTCTCAACAAGTTTGAGCTCTTAATATAAATTTTAAGTACTTACTATTTAAATTTAAAGTTTTACCGTTTAAAATGCATGTAAAAAATATATATATTTTTTCAAATTTCTAATGCTTACCCACCTTTGACGATATTGCAAATCGGTTTAATACACCTTATGGGGAATTTCACGCTCTTTAAAATTGCTTTTGAGTTTTTTTTTGTAACTCGCATTGGTTCACCAGTAGGAGTCGTCAAAGGACAGTTTTTGAAAAAAATCGTTTTTTTTTTATTTTTTCGAGCAAATCGCCAAAAGTAGTGAGAAAAAAGGGCTGATTCATAAAAAAAAAGTTATCCAACCAATATTTAATGAATTTACTGCCATTTTTATAACTGAAAACGTAAGAAATTGATAATTACCAACTCATAATGTTTAGATTGATTTTTTCTATTTATTATCATTATATTTCCCTACACTAAGAAGTTTTTTAAAATTATTGATTTCTCACTTATAATGAATATGAAAACAACAGAAAAATTCATAAAAAACAATAAGAAAATTGTAACGTGAATTTTGCAATTTTTCAACATTTCTGTCATATAGCAAAAAAATATAAATGAAGATTATTTAATTTTTTGAAGCGAAATTTGAAATATGCTACATAACCTTCTGTATATTCCGATTAAAGTTTTGTTATTTTTTTATGAATTTATGTGTTGTTTTCATATTCATTATGAGTGAGAAATCATAATAATTTTAAAAAAGTTCTTAGTGTAGGAAAATATAATGATAATAAATAGAAAAAATCAATCTAAATAACATTATGGGTTGGTATTTATCAATGTCTTACGTTTTCAGTTATAAAAATGGCAGTAAATTCATTAAATATTGGTTGGATAACTTTTTTTTTATGAATCAGCCCTTTTTTCTCACTACTTTTGGCGATTTGCTCGAAAAAATAAAAAAAACGATTCTTTGACGACTCCTACTGGTGAACCAATGCGAGTTACAAAAAAAAACTCAAAAGCAATTTTAAAGAGCGTGAAATTCCCCATAAGGTGTATTAAACCGATTTGCAATATTGTCAAAGGTGGGTAAGCATTAGAAATTTGAAAAAAAAAATATTTTTTACATGCATTTTAAACGGTAAAACTTTAAATTTAAATAGTAAGTGCTTAAAATTAATATTAAGAGCTCAAACTTGGTGAGAATGTTTTTTCCTATATGCAGATTAATATTTTGCTTGAGCACCGAAAAAAAACAAAAACTTTGCGGAAGTGTTTAGCGTTCTAAAAACGTCCAGGAATCCATAAAAACGCGTTTTCTTCCTCCAGACTCACCACTTGCAGTGCATAGGAGGCGGCCCCGAGTTCAAGGGCGTCGACTGCAAAATCTTCTCCGACCCGCACCCCATGACCATGGCTCTCTCCGTACTCGTGACCATCGAAATGTTGAACGCAATGAACAGGTAGGTGCTTCGAGTCCCGCGAACGTTTCTTTCGGGTGTTTAACGTTGTTTTTTCCCTCAAGCTTGTCCGAAAATCAGTCTTTGATCGCTATGCCGCCATGGTGCAACTTGTGGTTGATCGGCTCGATGGCCCTTTCCTTCACTCTTCACTTCGTCATCATCTACGTCGATGTTCTTTCCGTAAGTGCAGTTTACTTTTTACGAAAACATTTTCTATGCGTATTTAGAAGTTGCTAAACATATTAAAGTGTTCAAGCAATTTTTAGAATGTCAACAAAACAGTTTTAAAAATCAAAAACACATTTTAGAATGTTCAAAATATATTTAAGAATATTAAGAAACATTAAAAAAGGCAAATAAATTTTGAAATGTCAAAAACATATTTTAGAATGACAAAAACATTTTAAGATGTCCAAGCATATTTAGGAATGTTAAAAGCATTTAAAAAAAATCATAAACACATTTTAGAATGTTCAAAATATATTTAAGAATATCAAGAAACATTAAAAAAGGCAAATAAATTTTGGAATGTTAAATACCTATTTTATAATGACAAAAATATTTTAAGATGTCCAAGCATATTTTAGAATGTCAAAAAAATTTAAAAATATCAAAAAACACATTTTAGAACGTTCAAAATATATTTAAGAATATCAAGAAACATTAAAAAAGACAAATACATTTTGAAATGTCAAAAACATATTTTATAATGACAAAAACATTTTAAGATGTCCAAGCATATTTAGGAATGTTAAAAGCATTTAAAAAAAATCATAAACACATTTTAGAATGTTAAAAATATATTTAAGAATATCAAGAAACATTAAAAAAGACAAATACATTTTGAAATGTCAAAAACATATTTTAGAATGACAAAAACATTTTAAGAAGTCCAAGCATATTTAGGAATGTTAAAAGCCTTTTAAAAAAATCAAAAACACATTTTAGAATGTTCAAAATATATTTAAGAATATCAAGAAACATTAAAAAAGGCAAATAAATTTTGGAATGTTAAAGACCTATTTTATAATGACAAAAACATTTTAAGATGTCCAAGCATATTTTAGAATGTCAAAAAAATTTAAAAATATCAAAAACACATTTTAGAACGTTCAAAATATATTTAAGAATATCAAGAAACATTAAAAAAGACATACATTTTGAAATGTAAAAAACATATTTTAGAATAACAAAAACATTTTAAAATCTCCAAGTATATTTAAGAATGTTAAAAACAGTTAAAAAAAAACAAACACATTTAGAATGTTCAAAATATATTTTAGAATAACAGAAGCATTTTAAAATGTCCAAGCATATACTAGAATGTCAAAAAAGAGTTTTAAAATCAAAAACACATTTTAGAATGTTCAAAATATATTTAAGAATATCAAGAGACATTAAATAAATTTTGTAATGTTAAAAACATATTTCAGAATGACAAAAACATTTTAAAATGTCCAAGTATATTTTAGAATGTCAAAAACAGTTTAAAAAAAATCACATTTTAGAATGTTCAAAATATATTTAAGAATACCAAGAAACATGGTTTTATCATATAACCATCGAATTTGTTTAATGGATTTTAATACCTAAGTAGAGAATTTATCAATTTGTAAGAACTGATTTAAAACAAAACAGTGACGAGGTAAAAAGACCAGTTTTTACTTATTTATAAATCAAGGCTCTTAAAGTATGTCAGAAATTTTTTTTAAATGTCCAAATACATTTTAGAATGTCAAAAAATGTTTAAAAAAATCACAAACACATTTTAAAATGTTCAAAATACATTTAAGAATACCAAGAAACATAAAACAAAGGACAATAAAATGGCATTTCTGAAAAATGTAGATGCGATGGAAAAAACTGATTTCAGATTGAAATTCAGCGTTTAAAATGCAATAAATAATGGAATTTTTTAGGCTGTATTCCAAGTGTGCCCATTGACCATCGAAGAATGGATGACGGTGATGAAGTTCTCGATTCCGGTGGTGTTGCTGGACGAATCGTTGAAATTCATGGCGAGAAAAATCACTGACGGTAAAAACCCCTTTTACACCGTGCATTGGATTGTGCTGATGTGGGCCGTTTTCTTTGCCTTTCTCGAGTACTCGCCCATATGAGTGTCTCTGTGTTTCTTTAACACCCCCTCCCTCGATCTAACCATCCCCTTTTATTATTAATCAAACCCCAAAAAAATACAACTTCCCTCCGACTGGAGTTGGGCTTGTTTAGTGCGTAAGCGGGTGCTATTACTTAAGTATGAAATTTTTTATTTATTTGAGTGCCTTTGTTAGAAATAAATGTTAGTTTATTATAATACATACGGGTCATTCTTGAACTTAGATAGTCTATCCACTATATAGAGCTGTTCATTGCATCATCAAAACATCCATGGTATAAATACTTCATGCCTTTTAGATTTTCCGAGGTTTTTCGCTGAATTAAACTGTTTTATTTTAATTTTATTGTTTTGATTTTGCCAGGTGATTTCAAGATGGATCCTGATTTAAATGTTAAAAAGATTAAATAGCCGAACCCCGTTTTACTCACTATGTTTAAGCTTGCGCGGAATACACAAAAATACGCGTTTTTATGTGTTCCGTCAAAACAAAAATAAATTTAGGAAAACATACATACAGACATTCGTCGAATATACAGGCAAGTTTTTTAAGAGTGTTGTGATTCTTTTATATATTACGTTAGTAAATCAACTTTAAAGAAAAAGTGCATGGTTTGGATTTAAAAAAAAAACGCAACAAAGACTGAACGTTTTTTTTTATAGCAACGATTTATTAGGCCAAATTGTTGAAATGCTGTAGTTATTTTTAATAGGCATGATTTAATTTCAATTCAATCAATTGGGCAAAGTATTATTTTGAGTATGCTGACTTACAGAATATATTGACTTTTTGATGATGGCCACAGGGCGACCAAAATTACCCATAATTTTGCTCAATTACCATTTGTCTTCGTGATATTGAAAAAAAATGTTTTTTTCGATATGCAAACATTCGAATTCGTGATTTGTTCCTTTCCTAGATATTTAAGAACTTTTTTTCATCTTAAATATAAATTTAAACACGCGCGGTTGTGTTGAGCGCCATTTTGCCAATTTTTACTTAATTGCGTTGAAACTTTGACCCAATAAAGTAGATAAAAAAAGCTACACAATTTCATAAATTTCATTAAAATCGGACAAAAACTGTTTGCGTAACAACACTTTGAAAATTTTCGAATTGTTGCCAAAAAAGATTTTATTATGTTAAAATAAAATGATTGCATATCGAAAAAAACTTTTTTTACAATATCTTCAAATCAAACCCTGGAAAAGTTATTGCCTCCCCTGTGGTAAACAAAAAAGTAGATTTTGTCTACCAGGACTTTTGAAATTTATGGACGTGATATTCTAGGTGATAAATGATTTCCCAAAATAAGTTTTTCTATATTAAACTTTCCAAGGGAAATTTGTTGCGTATTAGACAAATAATTCGTCCATTTTGGGCTACAAATAATTTTTACCAATAGTGGTTCTATAATATTAATAATAAATTAAGAGTTTGTAGTACACTAGTTCTTGCTAGCTTAGAGTTTGTGTACTTATTATATAATAATAATACGATGTTGGAATACTGTAAAGTAATACTTTGTCTGACATTTTGTACCCTTAACTTAATTTAAAACGATTTTAGTAAATCACAAAACGAGTGATAGAATTAATTGTAAAAATAGACATTTTGTGATTTACTCGTATAATTTAGACAAATATGTTTCAGATACATTTATTTAATATATAATATTTATTTATGGATAATTTTATCTGCCCCTTAATCCCCCCCAAGCAATATATAGTGTACAAAATCCGATGCCCAATTTTAATAACCAATAAGTTCTCTGTATTCTCTGAAACAACTTTGTCATTTTGTAAGCCACATATTACAAATTTGTATATAATTGTAATGGGCAGTGTTACTATTAAAAATAAAATAAAAATTGAACAACCGTTTTTTTTTGTGTGTTTGTTATATGTTTGCATTTTTGTGTTTTATTAACACCACACCTTTATTTACATTTTATATAATAACACTATAGGTACAGAAAGGTAAGACATAAAAAACAGTACTGTTTTTACAACATTCCTTAAATTAATTTACATTTCACTAGTAATTCCTGTCACACACAAGTACAAAATATACAGGGTGTTAAGTAACGCTGGTCAACAGAATTTTTAACTTTAAAAATAAATTATTGTTGACCGGTATAAATAACTTTAGCAGCTTTTTAACATCGTTTCCGCAGCTTATTTAACTTTTATTTGGACCTTGACTCAAAGTTTATTTTTATAAAATTAATTAAAAATAACATTAGTTTTAATAAAATATAAAAATTAATATCTAATAACTTGGTGTTGTCAAAGTCTAAATAGAAAACAAACTGGTGCAAAAGGCATGAACTCCAATACAAAATTTATGTAAGTATAGATGTTATACGTAAAACTTGATTTTAGAATGGATTTATATTAATAAAAACGATTTTTCGCAGTGAATAAACCAGTTTTTCGCCAATAATTTGCTCATCAATTGAAGACAAAAATGAGTGAAATGAGTGACCCTTTATCCTTACCTTTTGGAGTGAAGAAAAACAGACTTTAAATTTCTGGATTATTTTTTTTTAATTAGTTTTACTTTTAAATATTCTGTCCCAAAAAATATATAATTAAAGTTGCAGAGATGTTTTTATATAAAAAAAATTCAGTATTATTTTTGATATACATAAAGTTTTAAGATCAATTATCTTTTTATGTTTTTAAATAGCAGTCGAAAAATTTGAATAGGTAAATAATACATATTTTTAAAAGTTGACTTTTTATAGCTGTTAAAGGGTTGAGATATCATGTAGATAACCATTGAAACTTGTATTTTTTGGAACAGAATTGCTTTTTAGAGTGGCATGGCTTTCAAGCAATGGAACTTTTTTTAATGATCTTTCTTTTTTTACAGTTGGTGATGTAGTAATTGATAGATGGTAAAAATATAAAGTGTCTCTTCATGCTTTTTGTTACTTAAGTATAGTTTAATTCTAGAAGACTCAAGCTGCTTTTTATTTTTTACCTAACTGCAAGTATTTCAAAGTATTTCAATTAATTTTAAATTCGAAATTTTCTCTTTCTCTATTTGTAATTTGCTTTTGGTTTTTCTGTAATAATGAATTTGTCTTCCCGCGTTACCTGTGATGTGTTTAGAGACGCAAAAAGTAAAACTAACGAATTGTACATACAAACTTTACTATTGTTAAGTGAAAATAATCAAAATTGTTAAACACATAATTTAGGTTCCCTTGAAAGAAGTAGATGTAGATACCTATTTAATTGATTTGTAAACTTGTAAGCCGCTTACAGTCGAGATCAGTGGCGATGAAGGAAATTAAGACATTTTTTATAGAGGAGGATTTAGCCTCTTCAGAACTTCTGACTGTTGATTTTTCACTACTTTCGAATATCTCATTTAAAGGCCGAAAAGCGGTTCCATCCAATTTTTTTTCTCTCATCCCACACGTTATTAGTATTGTTATTATTTATTTTTGTTAATTTAATTTTTCGGTTTGAGCTGGTCTCGACTGAAATGGGCTGCGCTGGTATCGCCAGCCAAAACAAGCCAATTGTACATTTACAATTACATCAGTTTTGTAAAATAAAACAGGATTTTATTTGTTTAAATAAAGCGACGGCAGACGCTGTCTTAAGAATAATTTTTAAGTTTATTTTATTTCATACCCTTAGTATTGGTCTTTAAAATATATAAATATATACAGTTCATTTTTTTTATCTGGACTCGTGTTTTTTTGTTAGGTTGGTGGCTTATGCCAGTTTGACAGTATTTAAAAATTGTACTTCTGCTAAAGAATTTAATTAAATACTTTGACTCTGTCAAATTGACAATAATATTTATTATTGATAATTTACTTGTCAATTATAAATAAAAAGATAATTATGCCGAATTCGAATGTAAAAGCCCTTTTGAGGGCAAAACTTCATTTTGATGAAATTATGCCAAATGCCACAATGGAAGAAAAAGTACGTCGCCTTAAACATTTTTGGAGTAAAAAGTAACGAATTTGGTTTTATAAATATTACATCACACATTATTTTCACATTATTCACCATTGGACAACATTTACGTTCACAAAAAAAATTAATTTCTTTTCAAAGCGAAAATTATTATCCGCTTGGAATACTTTCTCTTCTGGGCCGTAAAGCAACCTATATTTAACTACTTTTTTATATGATTTTACTCATCCAAGCACCACCAAAGCCAAATTAATTGCATTTTTAACTACGAATTTCGACAACTCAACTTGACAACTGCACAATGTAACCTACAATAATTTATACATAACCACAATTAGATTTATAACTTATATAGTCACGGCCAAATCTATATGGGTGCACGTCATCAATGAGATATAATGACGTCAGCATTACCAACTTTGAATTGTAAAGTTACTGCCGTTAAATTTGCTTTTTTAAGGCGTAATTCTGATGTGTTATTAAAAAGAAATCATTCATTTGCGTATTGTTTATCAAGAACTGTAACAATTTCCTTGTTTTAAAACGTTTTTTCACGAAATTATCAAAATAAAACCATTCACTTAGTAATTTTTGTGTGTGCCAGTTGGTAATAGCTTAAGGCTGGCGCGCACCGTTCAATATTATTGATGGGTCGCTGTCATTTTATATTTGACGTATTTTTGTAATTGTGACATTTCGTCCGGAAGCATCGTTTGTTGCAAATTATTATAAATAATATTATACATTATGTTTATAAGATTCTATCCCTGGATTGTGCAAACAATGATATAAGGCTTGTTGGCAACTAGCCGTTATTAGATTTCGAAGAGATTGCGCCCTTAATAATAAATTTGGGGAAATAATCAGACTTCAATTCTGACCTGGTTTGCTTTGATGACAAGGACGACTGGTAATTTATTATTTTTGTGTTTCTGATAATTTAGTATTTTTTTGTTAGTGCATATGTAATAAAAATGTAATAAACTCCGTTTGTTTTCTCTTTAAACACATTTAATAAAAATTTGCCTGTAACAAACTCCTAATTAGTTAGTGCAGAAGATTATAACAAGGACGTTATAATTTCATCTTAATAACAGCCCCCACCGCTATAAACAGTCAACAATACACGAGCGTTAGATTGTGTCTGGGCACGTATGAATAGACCTTAACGCTGACGTCATATGCCGTTGATGACGTGCACCCATACAGATTTGGCCGTGACTATACTTATAGCTTAGTTTGTTTTAATCAATCCGACCAACTTGACAACTGTATTTACCAACCAAAACCCTAAATTTGCAACGTTGCCGCAGTCCAGATAAAAAAAATTAACTTTATATATTCATAATTTTAAAGTTGTCACATTAGACAACATATTAAAGTCCCAAATTTACATTTTAAATTTTTGGCTGTTTTATTTTCATTTACAAATGTAAATAGTGTAAAAACAAATATTTTTATCTGTAAAATAAAAAAAATGCAATTCATGCAAAAATTTGGTGGCATATTGAGTCATAAAATACTGAAATTTCAGACAGAAAAGTTAAATTTGTTTTCATGACAAAAATGAAATTGAAAAAAAATATGATATTTTTAGTAAACTGTTAAATTTTTAAATAAAACAAAAATCGTGCTCAATTTTTTGATGAAACTGAAAAATTGATGGTTAGTTGAACTTTGATCTTTAATAACTTTTTAACCAATTAGTTAAGCAAAAAATCATAAAAAACCTTTTTTGTAGGGCGTTTAATTCTCTACAAAAATCAGAAGGAACTACAAAAAATTTTCCCATGTTATTCTTATGGATCACGAAAATCTCATATTTTCACAGGCTCATTTTGATACCTAAGCGAAACTTTTAAGCCCCTGTTTGCAAGAAAAAAACCAATTCGCTTCTTTTAAATACCGTAGTATACCTACTGGCAAAATTAAAATCTTTTTCAAAAATGGCGAATGCGCCGGGATTAATTTTTGCTTTATTTCGCCTAGGTATACAGGGTGTTTCAGAATAAGGTGCTGAACCTTAAGGGTGTGAATCCTTAGTTGATTTTAAGAAAAAAAGTTCAAATAAACCTATGACCTAAACCTCTTAATTTTTGAGTTACAGGGTGTTTTTTATCATAACTTTAATAACTTCCTACATATTTTTATAAAATTTGGCACACGCCTTCTAAGCATTAACAGTAAGTTTTTGATGTAGAAGATTTTTTATTTTTTTTACCAGTGGCGTCCGTACAGGATGTGGTTATTTTTTAAATCCCCATTCATTTTAGGGCAAATTTGATTTCTTGGCCATTTTTCGTACGAATAACGGTTTTCGATGAAAAAAATAAAAAGCATTTAATGCGCATATTGCCATGTGCCTATAATTTCTGAAAAGGAGGTTATAAACTTTGTTGTTAAGGAAACAGGAACGACAAAATAAATAATTTTTTGACAGATATTTAAGTCCAGATACAGTTGCCAGATTTTGTTTAAAAGCTGCTAAATTTAGTTTAAAGAATTCAACAATTTTAATCCTAATCTTAATTATTTAAAGTGGAGGAAAAGTGGAATTAAACAATTAATTTTAAGTTAATCAAAAAAAAATCGTTCAACCGGAAATTAATATCAGTTAAAACATTATCTAACAGTTTGTGGATAAATTTTATTTAAATGTTGGATTTTCTTGGAAAACCACAATTAATGTATTCCATATTTTGTAATGGTTTGAAACATTAATTTATATAGGCTTCTTTTAAAACCAACTTGTCGAAACCAATGACATTTTTTAAATCAAAGATTGGTTAAGGTCTTGTTAAAGAGGTTAGGAAACACTATAAATTACACCATGTCTCAAAAGGCATTGTCGGAAAAAAAAATTGAAATTCTAGGACAAAAAGTTCTAAACTGGGAGATAAAAAACTGTAGTTTTTTTAATACTTTTGACCCAGAAAACTAAAAATATGATAAATTGTATGATAAAAAGTAGGTTTTTATTAATTTTACTTCAATTCCGGAGAACTGGGCATTTTATTGGGACACCCTGTATATTTTTTAGAATACTGAGAAGGCAAATTAATTATGAATTTTTGTGGTTGCATATGTAATATGTAAAGTTAATTATTAAAAACATACTTATTTATCAAGAAAAATTTTTATTGTGCAGTTTATGATCGAAATGTTTATTGTTTTTATAAAAGAATGTGTCATTTTTGTGGTCCTTATAAATTGTTTTCTACAGATGCAATGCACTTTAAATCCTAAAAATACTAAATATAAAACTAACGCCGAGTTAAAAAAGTTTATGGAAGATTTTAATAAAACTACTTACAATGTAAATACAAGGCTTGATATCATTGGAAAATCAGAGAATAGTAAGTAACTAATTTTTATATATTGCAAATTTCTAAATAATTTTTTTAAGATTTTCCCCTTCAAGTCATTGAAATAACAGCATTAAATGACACAGAAAAATTGGGGGTCCCAAATGTAAAACTAATCGCCAACATTCATGGAAACGAACCAGCTGGTAGAGAAGTTTTAATTAGGTTTTTGGAGGTAGGTGACAACACGTGTCTTTTTGGCCCAAAAACAGTGTTACTGACAACATTTTTTTAGTATTTAAGAGATAATTACCGTAAAGACAAAACCGTGACTTGGCTCTTGGAAAACACGAAAATCCACGTTCTACCCGCCATGAATCCAGATGGCTTCGATCAGTCATTCGGCTCGGTAAAAACCGGAGGAAGGGGCAGAGAAAATCGAAAGAAAATTGATTTAAATCGATCCTTTCCCGATTATTTTTTCCCCGATTTTTATAAAAACAGCATAAAAGCAGCGGAATCTGAAGCTGTCATGGAATGGATGGAAAAGGTTCCTTTTGTTTTGTCTGCTGGGTTCCATGGTGGTTCTCTGATAGCCAAATATCCGTTTTCTGGAGTTAAAAAAACAAGTGAGCAAAACTGAAAACTTACACAATGATTATTATAAGGGATTATAAAAATATAATATTCTAGGTTCAGGGCAAAGTATAGAATCCAAAACACCAGATGATGATGTATTCGTTCATTTAGCGAAAACCTATTCTTTAAACCACGAAACAATGCACAAAGAAAGATGTAATAAAAATGATACACTCTTTAAAAATGGCATTTCAAATGGGGCAAAATGGAATTCATTAAATAAAAAAAATTTAAATGGTAAAATTATCTTTTATATCGCTTTATATTAATGAGCAATAAATTTTTTTGCATATTCAAGGTGGCATGGGAGATTACAATTATGCTTATGAAGGGTGCATGGAGGTTTCTTTAAAAATATCGTGTTGGATATACCCGGAACCCAAAGAATTAGAGAATATATGGAAGGAAAATAAAAACGTAAACATTTATGTCAATGTATGCGGTGTTCAACAACAATATTTTTACTTATTTTAGGCTCTCATAGAATACTGTAAGAAAGCCAATATGGGTGTCACAGGACAAATTTTGGATTCAGAAAATAACAAACCTATTGAAGGTGCGAAATTAAAAATTATGGGAAGAGATATGACGTTCAAAAGCAAAACTAAAGGACAATTTTGGAGGATTCTATTACCAGGAAATTATACTATAGAGGTAAATAATATTTTTATTATTAATACATAAATAAATAATAAAATGTTTACAGGTTGAAGCTGACGGATACCACGATATTCAAGTTGAATTCAGAGTGAAAAAACAAACGTCAGAATTTCCAAAGTTGACATTTTTAACGATACATATGTTGAATTCATCGATTTCCACGACTACAAGAACTACTACCAGTACTAGTACTACTACTACTACCACCACAAAAACACCCAAAAGTACTACAACTATAAGAAACATGTTAGGTACTTTGGACGAAAAACTGCTTCGTTCTGATTATGTCAAATCTGGATCATTGTCTGTTGTTTACTTCAAATTTTATGAATGTTTTGTAATTTTTTTAACGGTAATATATTATTTGTAACAATTGATTATTTTAATTTATTGGTTTTTAAATAAATGATCTCAAGAATATTGTTTTTTTTTTAACATAGACATAGACAAGTTTGTATTGTAGTTTTGATTGGAAAGAAATTAAAGAAGTGATACCATTGGTATCAAAATCGTGGTTTGTTCTGCATTTGGTTGTAAAAGATATAAGTAAAAACAACCATGGTTGTTTTTACTTATATCATTAACAGCGTATTTTAGTGTATTAAATTGTTTAAAAAAATTAATATTTGCACCTCTAGTAGAAAACTACTCTTTCTCGATTTTTAAACGATTTAAATACTTAAAAAACATAACCTAGATACAGATGTTGAATTCACAATCTTTCTTCAATTTCATCGAAGCGTTTTGAATCTTGCGATCCTAAAAATTGTTTGAGAATATGCGGGAGGAAATTACAAACGTAGTCTTCCATGTGATTTTTAAAAAATTAATGTTGTATTATAAATATTCTCTATGTAAAGTTTTATTTTTGGTCTAGTTTTAATCAACAATTTTAAGTTTATTTCTAAATTTTATTTTCTTTAAATCTTTAAGGTTTTTAGTTTGTAATTTTTTTTGTTCTGACCTGTGTAAATGTATCTGTGCATGTTAACATGAATAAAGATTAATATTATTATTATTATTTACTATATAGAAATCGACTTTTTCAGGTAAAATATAAACTTTGAAAGATAATTAACCAATTTATTTTATAAAACAACAGTTTTTAAAGAAAAATACTACGTTGCCATGTCGTGCAAAAATCTATATCCACTGATATGCTTAATCAGTTGATATAAATAAATCAACGTTTTTGCATAAGGCCCTTAGTGTCATAGAAACATCTACGATCATGGGCGTTTTAAAGGTGGAAGTAGAAAAAATATATTTATATGTTAATAAATTAAACATAAAATTATTTAAATCTATTTATCATGTATAGAAATTATCGTTTTTTGTTTGTTTCTACCTCCATCCGCTGACAAGGGAACCACTTTATTTAAATAAATATGATAGAATTAGGCGGATAAAATTTAACCTTTAATTTTACCAAAGTTACCACAAATTTCAATTTTATCAGGGGCTGACCCTGGGCTAAAGCTGTTTGGGTTTTCCCAAAAATATGTTTATAAATATTAAACAACTTTTTAAATTGATACACTTACGTACAATTATATTAAAAAGGGATTTAATTTTTTAGTGGGAATGACCCACATAACAAACATAAATAAAGAACAAATATATAAATATATATTTCCGGTAAAACCATCGGACTTATTACATAAAACTTTTTGGTACATTATTTTATTTTCTATTAAAATATGTCTTTTAGAATTTTTTAAAATTACTGGTTTTGCAATAAGGTTGCCTAATATTTTCCTGAAATTAATTGTTATTCTTATAAAAAATATCAATTTGTGGAATCAGATGATCTACAAAAAAGTCCTAAGACAATTTGAAATAAATCCGAAAGTAAGAAAAAGTTGAAATTAACTATAAATTCCATTTAATTAATCTTTAATAACTTTAAAGAAGTACATTAATCATAAAATTATAAAATACCATTTTTGTAGAGCGTTTATATCTGTTCTGATTATTTTAGTCGTCTACGTCTATGCTCTCAATGGTGGCTTTAAAATTGAAATAACTCCTGCAATTTTCAAATTCGAAATAATGGAAAAGGAAAATTTGTTTTAGAAGTTTAAGAGAAATTAATTAATAATATTATTATAAGATTTTTAGTTTACATTGATTAGAAAATGTAACTTCCCGACTTAAAACCGCAAAATTATAAATGGGCGGGGCCACTTTGTTCTAATATTATATATAACCATAGGTTTTTAAACATATTTACATAAAATTATTGTTCAGCTAGATCATATCATCAATAAAATGTTAAATGTTATTTTTATAATTTTATTACTTTGTTCCATACAGATACAATGCAATGAAAATCCTAAATATAAAAGTAATGAAGAGTTAAAAAAGTTTATGGAAGTTTTTAATAAAACTTCGGAATTTTATAATGTTTCTGCGCGGCTTTATACTATTGGGAAATCAGAGAATAGTAAGTACTTTAATTTTTAAATCAGGGATGATGTTTTATGAATTAAAAGTAAAGAAAAAAATGATGTTTTCGTAGTTTTTGATTGACAAATTTTCAAAATTAAAAAAATTTTTAGCAAGCCAATCAGAGCACACAATTCTATCGGCAATCCGTGCTGCAGAGACGCTACCCTTAATATTTTGAAGTTTACTACTGTCAATAAATTTTCAGAAATTCTGGGTAAAATTTACTTAAAATTTCAGTGCAAGAATATTGAATTATCCAAAGAAAAATAAAGTATACGAATTGATTGATTGTAGCTTTGAAAAGTTAATAGTAGCGCTGCAGTGTTGCCAGATTGTGCGACTTTTCACCATTTTACCGTCTACTGAAAATTTGACTAACTAAATATTTTTAAAAATAATGTTTGCTTTATGCACCATACCAAACAGCTTAGGTTACATTTAATTAGATACAGTCAGCAATTTGTCATATAATGCGACAATCATCGTTTAAAAATTTACAGGAATTCTTGTATTCTTTTATTTCGAATTCTTGAACTTGGTAAATAAAAATAAACTTGCCAAGTAAAGACTGGACTTGAGTCTTAAATATAAAATAATTATTGTAATTAGTATTTTTACTTATAAAAACTTTTTTCAAGATTTTCCCCTTCAAGTCATTGAAATAACAGCAGTGAATGACACAGAAAAATTAGGGGTCCCGAATGTAAAACTAATCGCCAACATTCATGGAAACGAACCAGCTGGTAGAGAAGTTTTAATTAGGTTTTTGGAGGTAGGTGACAACACGTGTCTTTTAGGCCTAAAAACAGTGTTACTGACAACATTTTTTTTTAGTATTTAAGAGAAAATTACGGCAAAGACAAAACCGTGACTTGGCTGTTGGAAAACACCAAAATCCACGTTCTACCCGCCATGAATCCAGACGGCTTCAATCAGTCCAGTCCGGCAAAATACTTTACAAAGGGAAGAGAAAATCGAAATAAAATAGATTTAGACCGATCTTTTCCCGATTATTTTTATCCCGATTATTATAAAAACAGCAAAAAAGCAGCGGAATCTGAAGCTGTCATTCAATGGATGAAAAAGGTTCCTTTTATTTTGTCCGCCGGGTTTCATGCAAGCCCTAGTGCTCTGGTAGCCATCTATCCGTTTGATGCAGTAAAAGATACAGGTACGTATTTATCCCTAGATTTCTTTAGTACATAGGTAAATAACCAAAACAATGCTTGTAGTTTCTGGACGATACAGTATGGAATCAAAAACTGCAGACGATGATGTGTTTGTTCATTTGGCGAAAACATATTCCTTGAACCACAAAACAATGCACAAAAATAAATGCCATTATATTGATAAATACTTTAAAGATGGCATAGTCAACGGTGCCAAATTGTACATAGTTCATGGTAATAACCAAAACAATCAATAAATAAATAAATTACGTACTTTGTATTTTAAAGGTAGCATGGGAGATTACAATTATGCTTATGAAGGCTGCATGGAGGTATCTCTGGAAATATCGTGTTGGATATACCCGGAACCCACTGAATTGGAGAATATATGGAAGGAAAATAAAAACGTAAGCATTCATGTCAATCTATACGGTGTTCAAAAACCATATTTGTATTTATTTCAGGCTCTCATAGAATACTGTAAGAAAGCCAATATGGGTGTTACAGGACAAATTTTGGATTCAGAAAATAACAAACCTATTGAAGGTGCGCAATTAAAAATTATGGGAAGAGATATGACGTTCAAAAGCAAAACTAAAGGACAATTTTGGAGGATTTTATTACCAGGAAATTATACTATACAGGTAAATAATATTATTATGATTAATAAATAAATAAATAATTAAATTTTTACAGGCTAAAGCTGACGGATACTATGATACTCAAGTTAAATTCAAAGTGAAAAATGACACGTCCGAATTTCCCAAGTTGACATTTTTAACGATCCGTATGTTAAATTCATTGGTTTCCACGACTACTACTACTACTACTACTACTACTACTACACCAAAGACAACCACCATAAGTACAACTACAAGAGGTGAAGAGTTTAAAATTGTAAGTAGAGATATGACGTTCAAAAACAAAACCAAAGGACAACTTTGGAGGATTTTATTACAAGGAAATTTTACTATACAGGTGATTATTTTTTTTATGATTAATACATAAATAAATAATTAAATTTTCCCAGGTTAAAGCTGACGGATACTACGATTCTCAAGTTTAATTAAAGTGAAAAAAGAAACATCAAAATTTCCAGAGTTGACATTTTAGTACCTACTACCAGTACTACTACTACACCGGTAAAAAAGCCTCGTCTCGCCTATCATTTTCTATTGGTTCCCTAAGGTTTTTTGAACGTTTGTTAATTGCTTTAAAATTTTATCTTTGTTTATTTTAAAAATTACTGTCTATAAGCGCACTAAGTTCCTGAAAAGAATATATTTGGTTAGTACTTATGTAATTATGTATGTTTGTAAAAAGTTCCCTTAACTTTGGTTAGGTGCTAAGATTTATTTTAAAGCATAAACATATTTTATATAATTTTCGTTTCTTTTGTTTTGGTCCACATTTATACAAATAAATAAATAATTTTGCAAGAATGAGTTATTTTATTATTGAATTTTATTTTATAAATTTATAAAGTTAATTTCTGCTTAAAATTTACAAAGTGACTAGAAGTACACCGGGAGTACGGACATTAAACGTACACCGGGTGGAAAAAAATCCTTATTTAGCAAATTTTTATATTTGTCAATTGTATAATATTAAATGGTCGCTCAATTTCGCGCTCAATGGGGCGGGGGGCCCAATGGGGCGGGGTCGGTTGGGTTGTTGAGTTTGGGTTTGTTTGAGTAATTCATACTGACATTTCATTAATTTAGTTGTTAATTGTATTTCAATCACTTAATTAAATTTTAATCAATGTTTATACAACTTGAAAGTTAGCTTATTAATTACATAATTATTATCAAGAGTTAACCAGCTGTTTACCAAATGTTATACAACTGGGCCTTAGTGTACCAATTTAATCTCAACTAATAAATCCGAAATTTTACCATCAGCTGGTATGGAAACACGCATGCGCACAAACCTGATGTACGTTTAATGCCCGTACTTCTAGTCACGGCGTAAAATTTAATTAAAGAATTTTAAAAAATCAGCCCATACCTATTAAACAGGATAAGATATAAATTTTAAAAATCCTTGTCTCATATATATTAGAGAAGAACAGTTTTATTGTTAATGGTATAGTATATTATAATAATAGTATACATTCTGTAATGTAAGTCTGTAATGATTTTAGGCAACCAAAGTTACAGATAATATTATTTGTTTTACTGTTAAATTTAAAACTGCTTTGGTAAATGCTGATATTATACAAATTGGGCAAACATTTTACATGGAATGTTATAGGAACGATTTATTGTACCATCCGTTTCTAATAGCTCATCTTATTAATATGGTTATAACATGGTACCATGGTATGTATTTTTGTGGTTGCATAAATAATATGTAAAGTTAATTATTAAAAACATACTTATTTATCAAGGAAAATTTTTATTGTTTTTATAAAACCATGTGTAATTTTTATGATTCTTCTAAATTTTTTTCTACAAATGCAATGTGCAGTGTAAATCTTAAAAATTCTAAATATTAAACTAACGCCGAGTTCTCTGATGGCTAAATATCCGTTTTCTGGAGTTAAAAAAACAAGTGAGCAAAACTGAAAACTTACACAATGATTATTATAAGGGATTATAAAAATATAATTTTCTAGGTTCAGGGCAAAGTATAGAATCCAAAACACCAGATGATGATGTATTCGTTCATTTAGCGAAAACCTATTCTTTAAACCACGAAACAATGCACAAAGAAAGATGTAATAAAAATGATACACTATTTAAAGATGGCATTTCAAATGGTGCAAAATGGAATTCATTAAATAAAAAAATTTTAAATGGTAAAATTATCTTTTATATCGCTTTATATTAATGAGCAATAATATTTCTTGCATATTCAAGGTGGCATGGGAGATTACAATTATGCTTATGAAGGGTGCATGGAGGTTTCTCTGAAAATATCGTGTTGGATATACCCGGAACCCAAAGAATTAGAGGAAAATAAAAACGTAAACATTTATTATGTCAATGTATACGGTGTTCAACAACAATATTTTTACTTATTTTAGGCTCTCATAGAATACTGTAAGAAAGCCAATATGGGTGTCACAGGGCAAATTTTGGATTCAAAAAATAACAAACCCATTAAAGGTGCGAAATTAAAAATTATGGGTAGAAATATGACGTTCAAAAGCAAAACTAAAGGACAATTTTGGAGGATTCTATTACCAGGAAATTATACTATAGAGGTAAATAATATTTTTATTATTAATACATAAATAAATAATTAAATTTTACAGGTTGAAGCTGACGGATACCACGATACTCAGGTTGAATTCAGAGTGAAAGAACAAACGTCAGAATTTCCAAAGTTGACATTTTTAACGGTACATATGTTGAATTCATCGATTTCCACGACTACAAGAACTACTACCAGTACTAGTACTACTACTACCACCACCAAAACACCAAAAAGTACTACAACTATAAGAAACATGTTAGGTACTTTGGACGAAAAACTGCTTCGTTCGGATTATGTCAAATCTGGATCATTGTCTGTTGTTTACTTCAAATTTAATGAATGTTTTGTAATGTTTTTAACGGTAATATATTATTTGTAACAATTGATTATTTTAATATATTGGTTTTTAAATAAATGATCTCAAGAATATTGTTTTTTTAAACATAGACATATTAAAGGAGTGGACAAGTAACGCCTATTGTTGTGTATTGTAGTGAAGTGTGTCAGATGTGAACCAAAATGTCATTGTTTACTTGACAAGTGTGTTTTGTATTTTGAATTTAAGAAGAATTTCTCCATAGCATGTCACGATGTTAAAATGTAAATGGTAGGTATAAAAGTGTGTCAAGTTTAACGAATGAATTATATGCAAAATTAAAAAATCCAAACATAAAAAATTAATATTTGCAATTCTAATAGGAATCTACTCTTCCTCAATTTTCAAACAATGCTAGACACAGAATCTGATGTTGAATTCATTTGTAATTCTTGAGAAATCTGTTATAACATTCTAAAATATTTTTAAATATTTTTACCACATGGTGGTTTTTAGGAAAATACAACTTTGGGTTTTGTCAAAAAGATTTCTTATATTTATAGATAATAAACAACTTTAAAATTAAATCCCTTTTTTATTATAACTGTACTTACATAACAAACATAAATAAAAAACAAAAAATAACTTTTATTAACAAATAAAAACAAAACAAGCTAAAAAAAAATCATCAATGGACTGAAATGAGCAAAACATATTTTTATAGAAAATTAAACGCTGTACAAAGAAAGAGATTTAAATATCCTTTGACAGGTAAAAATCTATATTATTAATAATAACTCGTCTACGCTCTTATTGGTGGCATAAAATTTAAATAACTCCTGAAATTTTACAAATTCGCAAAAAAGGTAAAGAAAATGTGTTTTAGAATTTCAAGAGGAATTAACTATTATTATTATTATTACAAATATTGTTGTTTACATTTATTTAAAATGTAACTTCCCGACTTAAAACCGCAAAATTATAAATGGGCGGGGCCACTTCGTTCTAATATTAAATATAATCAGGTTTTAAAACATATTTACATAAAATTATTGTTCAGATCATATCATCAATAAGATGTTAAATGTTATTTTTATAATTTTATTACTTTGTTTCATACAGATACAATGCAATGAAAATCCTAAATATAAAAGTAATGAAGAGTTAAAAAAGTTTATGGAAGTTTTTAATAAAAGTTCTTCGGAATTTTATAATGTTTCTGCGCGGCTTTATACCATTGGGAAATCAGAGAATAGTAAGTACTTTAATTTTTATATCGGGGATGATCTTTTATGAATTAAAAGTATAGAGTAGTTTTTGATTTTAAAATTTTAAGCAAGCCAATCAGAGCGTACAATAATATACAGCTTGCCGAGCTGCAGAGATGTAGACGGGCATTAAAAAAAATATGCAGCGCTACCCTTAATTTTTTGAAGTTTTCTGTCAATTGTAAAACTGCTTTTATTTTCCCTAGGAAAGCTTTCCTTCAAAATTGACGTCACTTATCTTGCGGATTTTATAATAAAACCTCGGGCGCCAACTTGAATAGTTTAGGTTAAAGTTCCACCGCATTTTGCATAATTTACTGAAAATTAAATTTAATAAACATTTTACTTATTATTGTTCAAACACCATACCATACGACATGGGTTACGTTTTTTAAACTTTTTAATAAAATAATAATAAATGTTTTTAGTGCATTATTTATTTTTTACTTTTTAGTCTCAAAATTTAGATAGTTAGTATGTTACTTAGACAAAACACAACTAGATGTATAACTAGTTGCAATAAAGTATTAATTACATTTAAAAAAAATATTAATTTTCAAGATGTAGGTACTAAAGCTTTTTGACTAAAAGTGAATTGAATTAATTCTCAACTATTATACTATGTAATTAATTAGATACAGTCAGCAATTTGTCATATAATGCAACAATCATCATATAAAAATTTACAGGAATTCTTGTATTCTTTTATTTCGAATTCTTGATCTTGGTAAATAAAAATAAACTTGTCAAGTCAAGGCTTTGGACTTGAGTATTAAATATAAAATAATTATTGTAATTAGTATTTTTACTTATAAAAAACTTTTTTTCAAGATTTCCCCCTTCAAGTCATTGAAATAACAGCAGTGAATGACACAGAAAAATTGGGGGTCCCAAATGTAAAACTAATCGCCAACATTCATGGAAACGAACCAGCTGGTAGAGAAGTTTTAATTAGGTTTTTGGAGGTAGGTGACAACACGTGTCTTTTTGGCCTAAAAACAGTGTTACTGACAACAATTTTTTAGTATTTAAGAGAAAATTACCGCAAAGACAAAACCGTGACTTGGCTTTTGGAAAACACGAAAATCCACGTTCTACCCGCCATGAACCCAGACGGCTTCGATCAGTCCAGTCCGGTGAAAGACGGTACAAAGGGAAGAGAAAATCGAAATAAAATAGATTTAAACCGATCTTTTCCCGATTATTTTTATCCCGATCATTATAAAAACAACAAAAAAGCAGCGGAATCTGAAGCTGTCATTCAATGGATGAAAAAAGTTCCTTTTGTTTTGTCTGCTGGGTTTCATGGAGGTTCTCTGGTAGCCAACTATCCGTTTGATGCAGTAAAAAATACAGGTACGTTTTTATCCATAGATATCTTTAGTAAATAGGTAAATAACCAAAACAATGTTTGTAGTTTCTGGCCAACAAAGTAAGGAATCAAAAACTTCAGACGATGATGTGTTTGTTCATTTGGCGAAAACATATTCCTTAAACCACAAAACAATGCACAAAAATAGATGCGATAATAATGATAAATACTTTAAAGATGGCATAGCAAACGGTGCCACATGGTACATAGTTCATGGTAATAACCAAAACAATTAATAAATAAATAAATTACGTACTTTGTATTTTAAAGGTGGCATGGGAGATTACAGTTATGCTTATGAAGGCTGCATGGAGGTATCTCTGGAAATTACGTGTTGGAAGTACCCGGAACCCACTGAATTGGAGAATATATGGGAGGAAAATAAAAACGTAAACATTCATGTCAATCTATACGGTGTTCAAAAACAATATTTGTATTTATTTTAGGCTCTCATAGAATACTGTAAGAAAGCTAATATGGGTGTTACAGGACAAATTTTGAATTCAGAAAATAACAAACCTATTGAAGGTGCGCAATTAAAAATTAAGGGTAGAGATATGACGTTTAAAAGCAAAACTAAAGGACAATTTTGGAGGATTTTATTACCAGGAAATTATACTATACAGGTAAATAATATTTTTATGATTAACACATAAATAAATAATTAAATTTTCACAGGTTAAAGCTGACGGATACCACGATACTCAAGTTGAATTCAAAGTGAAAAAACAAACGTCAGAATTTCCCAAGTTGACATTTTTAAGGATCCGTATGTTAAATTCATCGATTTCCACGACTACAAGAAGTACTACCAGTACTACTGCTTCACCAAAGACAACCACCAAAAGTACAACAATTACAAGAGAGATGTTTAGGAATATCGCTGAAAAACAGCCTCGTCTCGCCTATAGTACTTTGTCGTCTGGATCATTTTCTTTTGGTTCCCTAAAATTTTTTGAACGTTTGTTAGTTGCTTTAACATTTTATCTTTGTTTATTTTAAAAATTACAGTCTATAGGGCACTAAGTTCCTGAAAACAATATATTTAGTTAGTAGGTATGTAATTATGTATTTTTGTAAAAAGTTCCTTTAACTTAAGTTAGGTATTACGTTTTATTTTAAAGCAGAAATATATATTTTTTCATATAATTATCGTTTCTTTTGTTTTGGTCCACATCCATCCGCTGACAAGAAAACCACATTTATACAAATAAATAAATCATTTTGCCACAATGAGTAATTTTAATATTGTATTATATTTTATAAATTTATAAAGTCAAAATTTAATTTAAGAATTTTAATAAATTATATAGGATAATTTTAAAGTTTTAATAATCCTTGTAACTATATATTAGAGAAGAACAGTTCTACTGGATATGGTATAGTATAGTATACAGATACATTGTCTCTGGTTATACTGTTATCATTGTAGGCAACCCAAGTTACAGATAATATTATTGTTATACTGTTAAATTTAAAACTGCTTTGGTAAATGCTGATGTTATAAAAAATGATCAAATAAAGTATAAAAAATTGGATGTCAAAAATACATTGGGACGATTAGGACAGTTGGAGTTGAAAATTAAGACTATAGTCTAAACGTTTTTAGAAAATTATTGGTGGGTTATTTTCGAAAAACATGTCGAAAATATTATTTCAAGTTTTTGTACTTTTGCTTTAGAATCTACCAAAAAACTGTAGTGATGGAGCATTTTAATTTCAATAATAAATATTGGTTAAATTTTGGAGACCTGTTTTTAACAAATTAATCTGTCTAATTAAAATTATAAAACTACACGTTTGAAAAAAATTGTATACCTACATAATGTAGTACATATGTATACGTAAATAATTAGTTTTTAATAGATGGGAGACAGTTTAATATTACGTAGGTTTTTCCAATTCAATTAGACTATTGACACATGCAAATGAAAACGGTTAACATAACTGATAACAAATCGCGCAAAAACTTAATTAAGTTAATAAGACTTATAGGTGTCAATTCTAAAGCATAATATATTATATGTTACCAACCAGCCTATTTTAATATTTTTTAAATTACTTATTGGTGACCTACACTTTTATTGTGATTTTAACCGCAATTAATTATTTTGTACAATGTTTTAAAAGTCTAAATCCTATCCTCCGTGACTGTTACTCTTTTCTTTTCTTTCTTTATGTTTTCAAATATCTGAGGTAGTAAAAGCATACTAAAAATATCAGTTCAGTGAACTGAGTTCACTAAGTAAATTAAACACATCCAAAGCAATCGAATCAAATATAAAATATTTAAAATTAAAAGAAATAATTTTTATAACTATTTATGTAGGTGTTACAAAAATTGATTCTATCCTCCGTGAATCTGTTTTTGCTTTAAATTTTATGCAACGGATGGCGTTTTAATCATTTTAAATAAGCAAAAACCTCTGTTTACAACATTATATATGCATGTGATTCCTGAAGGTCAGTTAGAATTTATATGCAGATGAGAGTGTTGCTGTTTTATAATTCAAAAGTTTAAGTTCATTAATTTGCTATTTGAAAACCTATCCACCGTGAAGTTTAATATCTCAGTAAGTAGATTTTTTTTATAAATATTTTATGTACCTATGTACAATTGTATTTTTAAAAAATATTAAGGTGTCAAAAGATACAATAACTTATTTCAAATATACAAAGGGATGTTTTTAAAAAAACATACGAAATCCTAACCTCCGTGAAGCTCTAAAATTGAAAATGTATGAATTCTTAAAATACAGAATTCTTCTACTAACTAACTAACTAAAATACTTTTTCCGCAATATAAAAATATAAGAGTAGTCTGTTAGTAATATTTATTAGATTATCCGTTGAAGCTTGTTAAAAAGCACGCGTGAAATGCAATATCTTGTACATCGGGATTCTTAAGGTCGAAAAAAATTTATTACTTATACCGGAGAATCTTTATTAATTGTCCTGGCAATTAATCTTAAGATATATTGGTCTGGCCTTACGAGAAGCCACGATTTTACTACACTGCTCAACACTGACCTTGCACCTTATATTTCAAAACGTTAAACGTTAAAGTAATTAAGGGATGTCCAAACTTTGTCAACACATCTCGACCATGCTTGAAACAATTCTTTGACGTTTGTGTTTAGTAAGGTTTAGTTTCACCATGGAACTAACTAAAAAACTTTTGCTGAGCGGTGGTTCTAGTGTACAGAGGAAAAAAGTCGATAAAAATTATTATCGTTTCCATATCACACGATGAAGGCAACATTCAGTAGTCAATAAAAGAATGCATTAAAAACCGGACCTGCTCATTAAAACCAGTGGCTAATTAACGATATGCTCGCATCGGATTACCAAGCGAGATAACGTACGGTGCACCAAGTGTACGCAGTCAGTACTGATATCGATATGCGGAAGATTCCTTAAGAGAGTTTTTTGAATTTAAGTTCTGAAATTTTGAGCAAAAAAATAGTGGCACTGATAGTACATTTCTTTTTTATTAATTTGTAAACCAATAAAGGAGCTTTTTCAACCTGCACTGTTTTACAAAAAATTTTATTGTAATTTTACATGTTTAGGAAGTTTTGTAAATTCACTATACACGATTCATTAGAACTCAATTTGGGAAAATTACAAAACGTTTGTTAAAATTCACTATGCATTTTGGTGTTTTGGAACACACCAAAAACGAAAGACCACTGAGCTTATATACTGTCCACCTAAGTCAACCGAGGCGAGATGTAAGAACATCAAAAGATTACCGCAATCGGTACATACTATGCATTTTACATAACATTTTAGCAAATCAAATTACAAACAACGTTTGTAAATCTGAGATGCTTTTTATTAAAAACTGTCAAACTGTTTAGTAAAATTACAATGCGTGTAGGATTAATACATATAGATTGTAAAATTACAACTTATCTTAGTAGATTTCCCAAATTGTATTATAATTTTGTATTGGTTTACACTGATTTGTAATTTTACACATCCTTTGTTATGCAAAACAATTGTAATTTTACAACAAAATTTAACAGTGTACATGATTAAAATAATATATAGTAAAACTTCAAACAGAATTTGTATAAAATAAATAATGATTTCTATTTTTCCAAACACTTATTGTAATTCAAATAGCAAGTTTTGGTTAGTAAATATATTGATTACCTTAGTAAAATTAAATTCCGAATATGTATAGAAATTCTACAAAATTTCAAATTTAATTCTACAATACAGAATTGTAAAATTACTATGAGACAAAAACAAAAACATTGTAAAATTGGAACCTGTTTAGTACTTTGACTATAACAAAAGGTAATATTAAAATGTAGTAATTTAACAAACATTTTTAACAGTGTGGCTTCAAGCCAAAACCGTTTGATGAAATTCATTACTAAAAAGGACTATTAAAATCTGAAAGAACGTTAATATTCATGCTTTTATTGTTTTGTTTTTCTAATAAAAAAAATTCCACAAAATCATTTTGGGATTAATTAAATTTAACTAACCAGTACGATAAGTTATCAAACTTATTGTGAAAAGAATTGCTATTTTTTAATAAATCCTCAACTTCTATTGCAATTTAATTGTCGATATAATTTATTATGGAAACATTTAATTACTTTGACCTTGACCCACAGCGATAAAAATAGGTTTATCAATTTTCTTCGTTTTGGAGATTTTTATGAATGAAGTCAAACATATTTATATCTCTTATAATGTTTGTCATTTAAATCGACCAGTGGGTTTGGCAAGACTTTTTGCACAAAAAATATAAAGTATTAATCGGTTGAAAACGCCCTCGATGCTACTCAGACATGAATGGGAAAAATTTGGCTCTATTCCAGAAATGTTTGGTAAAAACATCTTCCTTATATATATTCATATATTCTGTAGTGCTTGCAATAATTTTATTTAAGTTTTAAAAATAAAATAATGGATGTCTCATCATATTGCTGAAAATAAAGGTTTTTCCAAATTTTGTGATATTCCATGATATTGGAAATATCGAAATGATATTGAAACAAGCAGAGAGACCAGTGGCATTCTTCTCTTGAACATTGTCATCTTGTGAACATGTTCTGCAGAACTCTTCTGTTAATAAAGTCATTTTTACGATGTTCAAATCAAATAACATAATTTAGTTTAGCCAACAAGTAACACTTAAATGAAAATAAAACACCAGTTGAACTTGTGACTTCAGGCAATAATTTCATTATCTAAGAACTAAATGCGAAAGGTTATCTTTGAATACAGGCGTTTTTAATATAATTCAATTATTTCTTTCCGTTTAACTCTTACATATAAGAATTGTTACTTTTCTGGATGGCAGCACATTTCTATGCACAATCTCAATCATTATTTAACTCCGTGTTGGAAACCTTTCATTGTTTCCAGATTTTTATTTCGTTTTAATATTTGTTTCTAAATGTTATTGTTTTCCATCACGATTCCCTGTTCTATTACTCACTTACGATAAAAAGTGAAAATAAAATTAAAAAAATATATTATAATCATATCATTTATACAGGGTGTCATATTTTATTGACTGTTTCAACCTCTGTACTGTAACTTATTATTGCTTATTTCTATTTGTCCAGTTTATCATTAATTGAGATTTCTGAGAATCGACACCACGGCAAAAAGAATAACCGCAATATTCATTTTTAATAACTCTTAAAGTAGCTGACTAATACCGTTATGTTGATGAGGCCAGTCAGCCAATAGATGTGGATGTAATTCTTTCCTAGAAATTCGCACAATCATAGGCGAAGAGATAACTACTGAGAAATTGCAAATGATTTATCAGTACAAACGATTTTTTTATAAATCTGACAAAATGGCAACATATTTAACAAACACGGTTAAACCATTTCACGATGACTAACTGGTAAGGGTAAGGGTGAGGAAAATACCACTGCAGCCATTTTCCAGCTACTTTTCAGACAATTAGTCCATTGGAGCTTAAAGAACTTTGGTAAAAACGAATTTTTGTATTGGTCCAAATT